GAGGCAGTGGCCTAGACCACTGCCTAGACGCATGTGTCTGTCATAGCCGATTGGCTCCATATGGACGTTAAACTTGATTAAATAAATAAATATATTCTAAATCTATATAAAAATCTACAAAAAAGTTAGAAACTCGATATTGTAATGCCAAGAAAAACCCGCTCGGGTTGGGGCGGGTTCGGGTCGGGTCCAGCAGGGAACCCGTGCCACTCTAGTCTTTGCGGTCCTTTCCTAGGCCTAGTGCGGCGTCACCCTATATATAGGGTATAGATAGCTGTTCTCAGCTTACCTCTGCATAATCACAGTATGAAGTACCGTATTTTTCACTTTCAACTTCTTCGCAGCTTCATCCTTTCACACTGATCTATACAGGATCCATAATCGTCGTAGAGGAACATACATTAAACACGATATCCATTATCAATCCACCGGCGTGGAAAATGGCCTAAGTGTAAGATACAATCTCCTACTCAGTGGCAATCTAGATACTTGGACCGCATATGTTCAAGAATCAAATCAGTAAGCCCTCCAAGGGTCCCAGCTTTCGCGATGGCCACAGTCGAAATACTGATAACTAGTTTCCTTCGACAGTAGTTACTGATCTCCATGCACATAAGTGAATCTATCGACACATGAGAGATCGCATCGTCGGATGTATCGGGTGAGCAAGCTTGGTAGGTCATGAAAAGCTTGGCTAGCTCACTGAGTATCGTATTCCTAGTCTCAACCTTGTCAAGAGTATCGGGACACTGCTGAATAGATGCCATCAGGTCACGTAAGGCTTCTCCGGTACCGGTCTCCTCATGATTAACCGAAGATTGGTGATTAGTATAGGCACTGAACCGAGCATCCCGCCCCCAGATTGGCTCAATACCGGAACCCCCCACTGGCTTAAGATACTCCATCCCGATCGCTAGTACGCTGCATATCGGCGGCCCCGTAGGAAGGTTCAGTGGGTCGTGCGAGCGGCTGATGGCTACTTGCAGCGAGTCTAGCACCTCTCTCTCCTGCAGCAGGCGGAGAGATGATGCACGGGCCCAATCTAGGATCTTTTGGTTTTGGGTAGCGCATCCGATCTCCTCTACCACACCAAGGTCCAAAACCGAGGCTGGGAGCCCACAACCACGCCGATGTTGGACAAGGGAATCAAGATATGTGTTCGCAGAAGCATAATTAGCCTGACCAGCATTGCCGCAAAGGCCGGAGATGCTGCTAAATACAACGAAAAACTCTATATCAAGGTCTAACGTTGCATTATGGAGGTTCCACGTGCCGACAACCTTGGGGTTAATAGGTCTGTACCAGTCATCATAGGACATTTCTGTGAAAGACCGGTCCTAAAAGTTTGTATAATGGTTAAGCACAGCACTGAACCACAGTAAATGGGGAGTTACCTACGTCTAAAACTGCCGACATCTGGATAACACCCAGTAAAGGGGCATCACAGGAAGAAACTGCACGTCGCACGTCGTCCGGGTTGCACACATCCCCTTGAATAAGACTAATCTTGCACCCTTGGGCTTCCATCTCCCTAATAAAGTCAATGTGGCCGATTGACCCAGCTGATCGGGAAAGGTAGACAATATGACGGGCTCCCTTCTCTGCCATCCATGTAGACGCAGCTTTGCCAAGGCCTCCGAGGCCACCCACCAGGAGGCATGAACCCGTCGAAGGTAACGCAAAGTCTTGTTTGGATCCCCAAACTGGGAGTTCTGATGGCGCTTCAGGGATATTTATCACTATTTTTCCTAGATGAACTCCCTTCTGCATGTACCTAAATGCGTCAATAATTTCGCTGGCATCGAATAGCCTTGTAGGGTGGATTGGTTGAATTTTCCCGTCCAAGAACCACTGCATAGATTGCTCCAGCAACCTTTTTGGAAGCAAGTCATTAGTATCTTGAACCGCTAGTAGAGAGTATAATGGCCTGTAGCATACCTCTGAAAGTCATCCGGCCATTCCTCACCGAGACGAGCCATGTCGACGCCAAAGAACGCTCTATTAGATTCGAACGCATCCATGGCGAGCATTCCGTGGCCCAGAAAATCTCGCTTGCCAAGCTCTATCATTCGTCCAAATTCTGCCACGCATTGCCAGGATGCGTGCAAAAGCTTACCGGAAAGTGAATTAAGAACGATATTTACCCCTTTTCCGTTTGTCTCACGCATGAGCGATGGGAGGAATGATGTGCTCCGAGAGTCAAATATGCGGTTTTCGCTGATATTGAACGTATCTTTCAGAAAGTCTCGCTTTTGTTGGTTTCCAACAGTAGTATAGATCTTGTCGGGCACAGTTAGATACCACTGGTACAAAATCGGGGAATGTCTGTAAACCAACCTCTGCGCCTATCGCCTGACAGACCTGAATGGCAGCCAGCCCAACACCACCGCAAGCACTGTGTATCAGAACCGACTATTGGAGATGATTAGCATAATGAAGCAGCTGACACTAGAGCGGGATATATCAACTTACTTGGCCTTTTCGTAGACCTCCCAGCTCGACAAGAGAATGTATGGCTGTTGCATAGACGACGGGCATAGTTGCGGCCTGCTCTAGTGAGAGGGTCTGGGGAACTTTCAAGCAGCATCTCTCTGGTACGACTATACGAGTTTGAAAGATACCCTTTCCAGCAAGCACGACCCTGTCACCCACTTGAAGAGATTTCACAGATGTGCCAACCTGCCGCACAACTCCGCTACCTTCCAATCCCATATCCTCTGGTTTACCTAAAACACCCATCGAAATCATTACATCCTAGAAAGTTAGCGGGGCTGGCATATAGACTGGGGATATTAAATCTGATACTTACCTTGAAATTCAGACCGCAATAACGAACCTCCACCTCCACCTCATGCTCGTTCAGGTGTAACGGCCCGGCAGGAACCCACTCCAATGTGTCCAGTGATCCAGCTGTCCGCACTGATAGTTTCCTCGGCCCTTCATCATTAAGAGGAGAATGGAAATGCTCGGACAAGGGAAACCAGTGGAATCTAGCAGTGTAGATTGTTCCATCAACTAAAGAATACTCATAGTCAACCTGCGCATGGTCGGCATCAACCTGCTGTTGGAACTTCTGATATACAGGTGCAATGGCATGCAGTCCTGTATCATCGAGTGTATCCAGCTCAAGCGTCGCTATATCCATCATCATCTCATTCCTGATACTCCGGGCTAGCCCCAGAATCAGTGCATAACGTGGATCAGCGCAGGCTGTTTGCACGCATTGTGTGACCCACAAAATACGAGAGTTTCTAGTACCAGTCAGATAGGACTTCAACGCGGCATACTGCGGTTCTGATATGTCACTCAAGAACGGGCTCTCCAGATCTAGAAGAAATATAGTGTCTTCTCGTTGAGTCGGTCCATCCTCGAGCGTGCCTTCGCTGACGGTATGTCCGTTGTTCTCGAGACACATTTTGAGTCTTTGCGCCCATTCTCTGTCGGCCCCGTGCACAAGGCGGATACCCTTGTCAGACGAGCTGTGTGCTTTCTTTTTTGACAAGAGGTTAATATTAAGTCTGAATGGCTCCTGATCATCAAAAGCAACGCTATCAACGCCATCAAATCCAGCGTTTCGAAGTTGCAAATCCCACCTGTGGCGCACATCGCGCTCTTCCTGTACTCTGTCCATGTGCCAGTCCGGGAGAATACCCTGTCAAGGGCTGTTAGCGGGATCAATGTGATAAAAAAATACAATCATACCATAATAAAGTCTATGCAAGGGATATCTGTTGGATGTGAGCTGGTATTCATAAGATGAAGAAAGCAGAACATATGTACCTTGAAAAATCTCTTGGACAAGGAGACACCCTCCAGGTGCAAGAAGCTTGTGGATATTTCGGAGACATTTCTCCACATTTCTGACGGACCGCAGAGCCTATGCGCTTGATGAGAATGAAACATATTTGATAGGAATGTAGGAAGATTACATGAGAGGCAATAACCAAATCGAACTCTTGCAACTTAAATCCTTGTGAAAGAGGGTCTTGGCTAGGATTCAGTACTTTGAATGTGATATCTTTGTGATTTATCAATCGTTCCTTGGCTGAAGCAATTGATACCTCTGTAGGGCCTGCCCATGTATAGTTTGAATACGCAGGTGCCCCTGTCGGAGTCCTCAAACATTCAATGGCAACTTCTGTACTAGCGCTGGCGCCTCCTGTAAGCTCAAGTACCCTTAGCTTGGCATTAGAATGCCCCAACAAGGATAACAGACGGTGCCATGTATGGTGTGTTGACAATGGGTCGAAAAGAATGTCGTCGCGGACTTTCTGATCTACAACCTGATCAGGCGCGACAGCTCCAGCAAGAACTGAAGGGAGATTGTCCAATGTGATGATCATCGCATTAGCAAGCCGTGGGACATATTCCTGCTGTTCACTTAGTGATGAGGTCAAATCCCTCAAACGACTTCGTCGATACGTAGTCTGACTCAACACACAATGATCTGGGCCTGGTGCAGCTGGGCGGCAGACAACATCCGTTTTGAGACTGGTGGCATGGATCTTGTCCCAGTAGCCCTGGAGGTATATGGGCCAGGATCCTGTATTGCTAGCTATATAAGCTGCCTCCAGGAAGCACAGGTCGACTACCTCGGCAAGTAGGGCTCTATTTGGTCTTTTGCAAGGAGGTACCAATAGCCTCCCTGGTGGCAGCAAACTATAGTCCGGTTTCCACTCGATGCGGCTGGATAGGGGGTCGCTGAAAAGACTACGGACATGTTCACTTTCCAGGGGGAGAAGCATTGCTCCTTGTATTGACAATGCGATATCATCACCGGCTGCAACGAGTGCATTCCCATGTAGCATGGCTTCTGAAATAGAACGCGGCGTCGACTCCAGCCAAAAGTCCGTACCTTCTTTCAACTCTTGCTTTGACATATATAGCCGCTCAACAAACGCTGGGATGTAAAGCCTATTCATGCGGCGGGAGAGCCCCTGGCAGGCTGCGACCCCTGCAAGCTGTATGGCCTGATCAATGATTGTTGGACGTAGTGAGTAGTTAGATTCAAGCCACGTTCCAGTATCTGCTACAGTTGCAGTTGCACGGTAGGACTTGGGATCAGCAGTAATGTTTTTGAGCTGCTGAAAGTGAGGTCCGTAGTCCAGACCTAATTTCTTCATGGCCCGATACCATGGCTGGGATGGTACATGGCGAGGAAATGGCTTTCTGATAGTTCGAGCCAAGTCATCATATGAGTCTGAACCGAGGCGAGCTTGACCATGGCAATGCTTAGTGCAGTCCTTGCCGTTATCAGCCATGATTGCGAAGTCATACCAATCTGATTCGAGAGTATCCGTGAGTCTGATACGTTTCAATGTAGTGACTACCTCAACTGGGAGCATATCATGGAGGATAAGAGGCGTTTTGAAGCACATGTTCTTTATCGAGAAACTCTCACTGTCGGTAATCTGGCGTATTGCCTCTCCTATCATTGCGATATACCCCGCTGCGGGAAAAACAATATGCCCAGCCACGCGATGGTCATTGAGCCAGGATACATCTTCGTATCGGAGAATGTTCCTCCATACTGGCTCCAGATTACTAGCGCTGGGAACCAACGAGCCCAGGAGCTCATGCTCTGGAAATTGACGAAACCTCCAGCGATGTGTGGCAGCTGCTTCGTTCCATAACTTTACATCGTGATCCCATGGGTAGGCCGGAAGGTCAGTCAGGACAGGTGTCTCGCTAGTGAGCCGATGGAAGTCTATGGGTATCCCATATGTGTAAAGCTCGCCAATCGCCGACCATATGCAGCTCACCTGATCCCGTCCCCTTACCTGTGCTGGGATATATGGGGTGAGTTGTGGCACGTTTGCTGCCTCCAGAGTTTGTCGCACTGGACCTGATAACGCTGAATGAGGCCCTATCTCGAGGAAAATGCGATCATTGGAGTCAGTCTGGACGATTCTATTCATGGCTGTCGAAAACAAAACAGGTGATACCAGGTTCTGCCGCCAGTAGTGTGCACCGAGTCTCCTCGGGGTAGTGATGATATCTCCAGACATGGTTGAATAGAGAGGGACCATTTCTTCATTCAGTTGAAGTGAGCTCCTAATAGCTGCCTCATAGTCATCTCCCAGGGCATGCATATGATCTACATGAATTGTTAGTTGATTTTTGCACAATGGAAGAGGCCATGGCCACATACACGAATGATATGCAATATTCACCGCAAGTCTCCGCTGAAATATTGAAGGCTGACTTTCCGATACAGCAAGTATTACCTTGTTGATCTTGTCCACATCCCCTGAAATGGTGATACTTTGAGGACTATTTTCGCAGGCGACCATGATACCGTCGGTCATATATGGCTCGAAGTCTGCAGAGCTCATGCCCAAAGCCGCCATTGCTCCTTCTGGGCTTTGTTTGGCGATCTTCCCCCGGTAATAAGCCAAGATAATAGCACTTGATAACGGAATGGCCTTCGCTGCGTATGCAGCCGCTATCCTACTGTTAACTTGCTCATTACAATGGAGGTCGCAAAGCGATGATGAAATGGAGGGTAACTTTTTCACTGTGAGGGGCTTACCAATTTCGCCGCTAGAGTGTCCAATCACCGACACAGGGTGGATGCCCCATGTGCTAAGGAGGTTTACGATGCCTATTTGCACTGCAGTGCACAACGGCTGCGATAGCTCTGGGTCATCCATGCGAGCTTTCTCGCCAGTCAGCAAAAGCTCTTCTACCAAATTGTTAGTCTCAATGGTACCATGACAGCGGACATCATAACGCTTTACCTCGTATTCTCCATTTTGGGGGAATTTCCAAATTTTGTAGCACCTTTTCCATATCATCAATGGTATTAGCAAAACAGGGAAAGCTCTGCAGTAATTCATTTCCCATCCCAACCCATTGAGCCCCTTGTCCGGTAAAGACGAATGTTAAGCTTGGCAATATAGCGCGACGGATTGGAGGATCCGGAACGGTAAGAGGCACATCGTCTTGGCCTACCAGATAGGTACGGTACTGCAAATGCTCCCGCCTTGCAGATAGAGTATGGGCAAGCTGATGGAGGTCAGGGCGTTCACGGTCGATATACAGCTTAATATCGCGAATACGACTTTGTAGTGCTTTTTCGCTACCTGCGGACAGAAGAAGAGGGTAAGAACTTTGAGGCCACTTAGGGGATGTCTCCTCCGCACTAAATTTGCGAAACAATGAAGGCGAATCAAGGATAACCTGGAGAAGATAATGAGCACTTTATGTACGCATGACAGGTACCGTTGCCTTACATGTGCGTTAGCACCACCGATACCAAAGCAATTCACACTGGCTCGCAACTTCCTGTCCCTTGGCCACGGTACCTGGGTAATGGGGACTTGAAGCTTTGCCTCTTCGAAAGGGACTGTTTCGGCGTTTTAGAAAGTGATCGTCTTTTAATGAAGTTGACTTGGACAAAAGAGAAAAAAAATGGAGATGGACGATATCTTACTTTTAGGGTTTCGCTGATTGAAATGTATATTGGGTGGTATCACCTGGTGTTCTAGGGCCAATACTGCTTTGATCACACTCGTGATGCCGGATGCCCCTTCAGAGTGGCCGATATTCGGTTTGACCTGTGATAAATCAACATCACCTCTCTTACGAACCACCTACAATTGACTAACCGCGCCAATATATGTTCCTTTCCCTCGGAAAAGCTCAGCGACAACTGACGTTTCTGCTCGGTCCCCAACGGCCGTGCCCGTTCCATGAAGCTCGAAAAATGCAGTTTCAGTGATATCCTCTATTTCAGCCCTTTTATACGCTTTCTCGATAAGCTGTCTTTGCGTTTCTGAACCAGGCATAGTTATACTCGGTGTCTTTCCATCACAGTTTGTGGATGTCGACCGGATAATAGCTCTAACGGGATCACCGTCTCTCAGGGCAGTGTCGAGCGGCTTAATGTAAATAGCATTGATAGCCTCCCCACGCCCATAGCCATCGGCATTAGCATCAAATGTCTTACATATACCATCTGGGGAGAGAACCATATTATCCGACATCGTGGTTGTCATAGTCGGGGTTAGAATAATGTTCGACCCTGCTACAATTGCGCCAGCGCAATCCCCCATCTGCAGAGCCTGGCAAGCTTCATGAAGGCCGACCAATGATGACGAGCACCCCGTTTGCAAAGTCATACTAGATTAACACTCATTTAGCTCATAAATTTTAGTTCTCTGGTGAATCCGCCCGCAAAGTGAGGTCGTACCTAGGGCCCTTGAGATCGTATTCAAAGGAAACACGATTAGCCAGCGCAAAGTTCCCTGTGCCTAGGACATGGTATCGATCAACATGGCTAGTATCTTTACTTGATAGATCAAGCCAGTCTTCACCGAAGACGCCCACATAGCATCCAATATCTTTGCCCATCCAGTCCTGCTGTCCAGCATTTTCCATGCACTCCCATACAACCTCCAGCAAAAGTCTTTGTTGAGGGTCCAGACGGGCAGCTTCATAGCTACTAATTGAAAAAAACGGCGCGTCAAAGTAGGCTGGATCCTCTTCTAGGAAGTACCCATACTTTGTCTTCACCGTATGCATCTTCGAGTCACTGTAGAAGCTTCCTATATTGTAGCGGGATTCGGGGACCTCACAACGAGCGTCTTTTCTTTGCACCATTAAGTCCCAAAATTCTTTATCCGATCTAATGCCCCCAGGAAGCCTCATTGCCATTCCTACAATAGCTATTGGGGTGTATGCACTAGGACGCGGGACGTTAGATACATTGCACGGGTTCACCGGTGTGCTCTCGTAGCGCTTGCTGGCTTTCATGTTGGTCGAAGTTGTGTTGTATCTATCGGTTCCAGTGTGCTAAATTACGTATATTAGAGTGCCTCTGCTTTTCAATTCAATTATGACAACTCACGAAATGTTGTAAGCCTTCACTGGACAGTGATCTGTCAACTGGAGCAGCAGCCGAATTGGAATGCATCCGTGTAACGACAAAGTAAAGTTAGGACTTTGGGAAGGTATAAATGTACAGTGGGTCTACTTTTCGGGCTGAAATGGGAACCCTCTAATTGCAGAAATCGCCCGCTTTCCCGCGAGACTGAGTTTGCGTGGAGAATCCTCTACCAGTATTGTGTATGGGGGTGCTGCAAGGATGGAACGGCCCTAGGCCAGGTAAAAGCATATTGGTTTCTCGAGTCTACAAAGTGGGGTGAAGCTCATACAGGGTATGACGTTACCGATAGTTAATTGGATAGGTAATATTGATTTTCCAAAAGCTATCTAACTGAATATCCCTTGCATTGCTGAGCCAAGGAAATACTCCAGCGAGAGCCTTTTCTTCCAATACCCCTTGTTTAGGTAAAAAGTCATTCCGCTGTCACATATTTCTCCAAGCAGAGGCAAACCTTACTCGATTTCGGGTGTCCTGTGGTTCACAAACCCCCAGTGTTTACCCATAGGTGGGTCATACATTCATAAGCATATATGGCGTCCTTGATGATATCAAATCGACTCAGTACTACTACTAAAGAGCACATCCCGGAGGGTAGGATAACGTCCGAACCATGCTTTTGACTACTGGATGCTTGTTAAGATCAGTAGACTGGTTCCAACTGGCCTTTTTGGCTTTTCCACCACTGGTACTTTACTATGGGTACTCGCATGTGCATTATCAGTCTAAGACCTTGATCTGGCAGGTTTTCCTGCAATGCCTTGGCGGTGTTTCTATGACTGCGGGTATTAACCAACTGCGTGCGCCGTGTGAATCTGTTGATTTGCGCTAACAGCCTCTCGGGCAGGGTATCACCGTCTATGGTCCCATAGGTCATATCAAGCAAGCCGCCCGTTGAAGTATTTCCTCGCGGCCTTTGGGGCCAGTACCTGCCAATGGTCTATTATGTGGTGGGTGCGACACCATCGAGCGCATCATCGGTATGTCGACACCGACCGAGACCCATACAATGCTAAGAGAGGACTCTTTTATTCGCACATCGGATGGCTTCTCATGAGAAATGGGGAACAAACTTGGGGGAAGGTTGACCTGTCCGACTTGAAACAAGACCCCATAGTCGAGTGGCAACAACGGTATTATGTCGCTATAGCAGCCATTACAGGGTTGATCCTACCAGTGTCCGTCGCCCACTTTGTATGGGACGACCTTCGAGGCGGATTTGTGTACGCGACTTGTTTCCGACTCGTATGGACCTGGCATGTCACCTTCTGTATCAACTCACTTGCCCACTGGGCGGGTACTCAGCCGTTCTCGACAAGATCCTCTGCACGCAATAATTGGCTCCTCGGTTTCGTTTCTTTCGGAGAAGGGTGGCATAACTTTCACCATGCATTCCCTTACGACTACAGGAATGGGGTCCATTGGTACCAAGCTGATATTACTAAATGGTGTATCTGGATCTGGGAGAAGTTAGGATTAGCGAAAAACCTCAGGAGGATGTATTTGCGTCCGAAGGTTGCTGGCGTTTAGCTGTTTACAAAGAAATTTCACGGGTTATGATTACAGATTAAGTCATGGATTATGCGATAACAATCCTTCTGGCACTTGACAATAATGAATCATATACATACATATGGAGAAGGTCATGATAGTAAAACCTGAAGATCTCAGCCCGTTTCATTCAAAATGGACTTCGGATGGTAAGTATACCACTACATGGTTTTTCGCGCAACATATATATTTACTTTGGTGCTCTAACACTTGTCATGTATCTAAAGTAAACGTTGCCATTTTGGCCCTTGTAGGAGAGGGTGCCGGCATGTACGGAGTACACGAATATCAATGACACAGAAAAACCTGATTATGGGTGGATATGCATACGTGGCTTGATGTATGATATGATATATCTCATCGTGGAGCCACTCCGAGGAGACAGCTCCTAGCGTACAAAATGATCGGCACTCCGACCATGCAGAATAAGTCCATTCCACGATCAGTGTTGGTCCTGTTGAAATACTGGATGGGGCGAAGGGGTAAGACAAATCAAATGCGCGAGCAAACCAGTACTAGAGATCATCCTGCAAGGGATGCATTCCTCAAAACCTAGTACATCACCTAAGCTATCATAAAGCTCCAAGTCGGAGACGTAATTGGGATGCAGTCGAGCAAGCACATCAGCACATTGAGTAATGGTGCTTCACTATCACTATGGTAGTGTTCTCGATTATCCTCAGTCTCCTACTTCTCATTGCAGGTTGGCTCACGGCGATCTGTTTCACACCACCCCAGCCGGACCGTTTTCAGCGTCACATTCAACATGATCGTATCGGCTTTCTTTCCACCGTATCTATATGGATATTCCACCGCTATGCGATAATGACTGTTGCATTTTGGCATGTCTTTCTCTCCCTCCATATGTCGTTGATCTCGAAGGAAAGTCAATTGACGACACCGTTATGCCCTGGTGCCTCACATGTCAACACATGTTTGTTCACGTGGAGTCGCCTTACTTTCCCCTTGTTGGCCTTGATCCTTCTAGTCGGTGGTCCCATTCGTCTGGCTGCCTTCAAACACTTGGGAGAGAACTTTACCTTTCATATAACTACTCCGGACCGACTTGTCACTCAGGGGATTTACCAATACATGCAACATCCATCATATGTCGGACAGTTGGTATTGGTCGCCGCGTGCAGTCGCTTGTTCTGGAGCTGGGATGGCTCCCTTGGCTGTTTCATGACCACATCTCTCGCCGAGAACATGAGAGGCGCGGAGTGGATGTTCTCCTTCGGACTAACTGCTATTTTTCTACTTGCATTTGGAGTACGCATACGAGATGAGGAACACATGCTGGAAGAGAGGTTTGGGGAGAAGTGGATAGCTTGGAATCGAAAAACAAAGCGATTCATTCCTGGGATTATCTAGATGAAATAGACGCCTTGTGTCATATATGCGTTTCGATTATTTTAGGCTGTAACTCAGCAAAGCTGTCTTACACTAAAAACTTGCATTCTATCATTTAGTTCTTCCCTTCCCAGTATACATCCCACGATTCGGGCCGCCTTCCTCGCGGATTAATTATCCATCTACCCCGTAGACGTTTTTGTTAACCACACGCTGTCAGGAACGCGATGTCTTCACATATTTAACCCTGAGAAGCTTTCAACAACGCATCATAAGCATGCTCAAAGTTCTGAAACCCTTCTGCCGCTTTTTCCTGATCAACTGTAGCCATTCTGGCCCAGACGAGCGTCTGTAACGCTCTATCCTGTTGGTGAAAGTCCTGTACCAGCTTTTGAGCCACCGACCCATACCCGGCTGCTCTAACCAATGGTATCTGCCCAAGAAACCGAATTTTGTTACAACCACGGTTTTCGCCAATCACACATGATAGAAGACGTACCTTAGTCCTCCCGATATTCAAGAGATCTACTAGATGGCCGTGGAGATCGACTGTGCGGTTGGCAACCGCAGCGCTGTCCGCGGCAGTAAAGCTCTCCCTACTTTGTACGTCACTGACAAACTTCTTTGTCTGTCGTCTAGTGGAGTACAGAGTGTAGGCAAGCGCCGGAGTATCAGTGGCTGCACCATTGTATTCTCTCAGAGCCTTGGCGGAGGATGCGATCATAGTCTCCAAGGTTCCAATACTCTCCAGCATCTCGGCACTTGGTCCCGGCTCCTCCGCATTGAAGGGGGCAGCGAAAAAGAGAAGGGCAGGGAACAGAATATTTCCAAAATGCATGTTATCACTGCCGGGGTTTTGAAGGAAGATGGTCCGTTGAGATATTTGATTGTGCTTGTTGAAGCAGATATGCTAAAGAAAGGGGGACAGATTACAGAAGAAAACAAGAAAGGAACATCCTGGTAGCCGGATGGTTTGTTACATACATGATTTGCTAGATAATTTATGGAAATTTACTACTAACTTAGAAGTCTTATAGAGCATTTTTCTTTGCCTTTTCTGTTTTTAGCTTTTCTTCATAGCTCTGATCGTGACTTGGCTCGCTGATTTCCTGGCATCCCTACTTTTACCCCTGCTTGGGTGCCGATCTAATGACCCGTCTATCTGCTCGGTTATTCTTCTCTGCATTCCGACCTGCAGCCACTCTTGTCACGTCATGCCATTATTCGAACAATGTATGCAAAAATGCTTGGCTGGCAGAGATACGGATGGTATGGTGATGATCATTCCTTTAGCCTCGGAAGAACTGACTAGGTAATAACTAAATACGGCGGCCGAGAGCCACCAGCAACGCAGAACAAGAGCAAACAACAAATGCGGGTTATCAGTGGCGGGGTGGTCAGAAATTAGTCTTTGACCCTCTACCGCCTTGGTCACATGATAGTAGCTGAAAGGGGTCAGAATTTTATAAATCACGTGGTATAGCTCCAAGGGGGTCAGACTTTTAAATAGAATTAAGATAGTTTTCTGACCCCCTGGAGCCTCAGTCACGTGAAGTTTGGGCTACTTTAAACTTTATTTAAACTAGACAGTAATTGAGCGTCAGTAGAGTTTAATACATATTTAGGGATTATTCAAACTGAACGTGCAACTGGACTAAATATATTATATGTCAAAGAAATATCTACTATTTAAGGTAGAAGACCTGCCAACTAGTTAAGGGTACGTAGGCAGAAAGCTAAGCAGTATATATGAGGCAGACAGAACACTGATTCTTGCCTTCTTCTTCTATTAACATTAGGCTAACTTTATATCTAGAAGAAACCCCTTATTATCCTAACAAGATAAGACTGACAAGGAGCTACTATACACTATTGAAAAGTTAACGGACATATAATCTGTTGTCGCTGTTCGGCCTCCGAGCTGTGTATACATAACCAGCAGGGTATACAATACAGTTATTATACAGAGTTATTATTGAATATATGACAAAACCGGTAGGCCAGATACCGGGAGACTACTCGATACAGGAAACATACAGAACTTATATACAGAATCCAGCCACGGCCGTTGAAACATCGCGGTTAAGGCAGTCTGGCGGAGCTCCGGTGTCGCTGCAGTTGGATACTTACTATACTATCGACACAGATAGCTTTCCAGATGCCATAGATAGACTGCGTACTGACAGACAGTACAGATCGAGAGACAATATATAGAATTGTACAAGAAGGGATCTATTTTTCTATAATATCGAATATAAGAAGCAATACAAGAAGGGGACACAAACAGAAAATAGATTCAGAGATGGAGAAATACAAAGCCCGCATCTCAGGGAAGCAGGATATAAGGCTAGAACATAATAGAGTAAGATATATATAATATATATATCATATTAAAAAAGTATTACTAAGACTAATAAGAATATAGGAGATAATATTATCTATTTCTAATTATAGGAAGTCTTTATATAAGAATTCTAACAGTATTAATAATATATAGTATTGGTATATCTACTATATATATATATATATATATTAATATATAGATATAATATCTCAGAGTAGTTCTTACTAATAACTATACTATTAATTTAACTGTGTATATATTCTTCGAAGGGAAGAGAAGAGAAAAGAAGAGAAAAGAAGAGAAGAAAAAGGAAAGAAAAATAGATAACAATAACAACACAGGCGCGAATAGATTGCCACATACTTTTGGCGGCGGGAACACGGGAGAACACGAGAATTGAACTAATCCGCGGGCCCGGATGCGAGACGTACGTGCATCCCCCAGGTACTAGGGTATAAGACATGTGTGCGGCTGAGCGGCGACCCGGCACGAGGCTGAACTAGGAGCTGTCGCTTTCCCCTCACCGCAGGTCTCGTCGACAGTACCATCTTCCTAAATGACAGATTCGCTGCTCGTCACTGTACGCTTTATCATATCTTTTTATTTTCAAGCAAGTCAAAGCGTTGCGACATCAACCTGAACACCGCATCAGCTCCTCGGGTCCGGGTTCAGAACAAAAAGCACCCAGCATCATTACCCTTCAAGGCACGAATGGTCTCTTGTCTCGGCGAACCCACAGAACGACTTCAATATGTCGTCGAGGCAGGAAGACTTTAGTGGTGACAACGAGCTTGCTGCTAACAAGGCACAGAACCCCAGTGACGACTGCAATCCCCGTGCAACAAAACTAGAACACAACAATTACACAGTTGGATGGGTATGGGTCATTAGGGTCAACATTAGCAGACGGCTGCAACAGAAATGCTAGATCAAATTCACCCAGATCTACCAAAACCACCAAGCGACCCTAATACTTTACACCCTGGGCTGCATTGGGAGGCACAACATCGTCATTGCCTGCTTACCGAAAGGCCAGTACGGCACGAACTCAGCATCGGTGGTTGCAACTCGGATGGTAGGCACTTTCCCATCCATTAAGGTTGGTATTGTGGTCGGTATCGGTGGCGGCATTCCACCAAAAGTCAGGCTCGGGGATGTCGTGGTCGGTACGCCTATTGATCAGTATCCAGGGGTGGTCCAGTGGGATCTGGGCAAGGCAGAAGCAGAGAGTGGCTTCAAAAGGACTGGCATGCTGAATAATCCCCCGGTGGCACTGCTGACGGCATTGACAAAGCTGGAGACGAGGCATGAGATGAGCGGACCCAAAATGTATCAGTATTTGGATGACATGGGGCAGAAATGGCCCAAACTGTTGCCTAGGTACACTAGATGTGATTCTCTCGTGGACCCTTTTTTCGGTCCCAATAATTGCACTAGAGAGAGCCAACTCGGAGAAGGATATGTGCACTATGTTTTAATAGCGTCCGGTAACCAGGTTATCAAGGACGCTCATTTCCGTGATAATCTAAACAAGAGCCTCGGCGGGAATTTGTTATGTGTTGAAATGGAAGCAGCTGGGTTGATAAATAATTTTCCATGTCTTGTGATCCGGGGTATTTGCGATTATGCCGACTCAAAAAAGACCAAAGATTGGCAAGAGTATGCTGCAGCTGTCGCAGCGGCGTATGCAAAAGAGCTTCTTGAGTATGTCCAACCAAGTGATGTTGATGGGGAGCGCCCAGTGAAGGAGATGATTGACAACGGTTAGTTATCCCCAAGGCCACTTGTCACGTTCATAGCTGTTTTTTAATAAGCCCTATAGTCTTGGGATCTGTATCGAGAACTGAGACCAATGTTGAAGCAATGAAGTTGAACATAGATAGAAAAGAAGAACTCGAAGTCCTTGAATGGCTTACACCAATCGACTATGGTCCTCAACACAGTGACTTCTTAAAGAGGAGACAGGCAGGAACAGGGCAGTGGTTCTTAGACTCTGCAGTATACGAGGCATGGATAAGCTTAAACAAGCAGACTTTATTCTGTCCCGGTATTCCCGGCGCAGGGAAAAAAATTCTGACCGCAGCAGTTACTGATGATATCACTGCCCGATTCCTACATGACAAATCCGTTGGGGCTGCGTATGTCTACTGCGATTTCCGCCGGCAAAGCGAGCAAAGCGTCGAAGACTTAATAGCAAACCTTCTAAAGCAATTAAGCCAATGCTGGCCTTCCCTGCCGGATATTGTGAGCAGCCTCTATGACCGTCATAGACATTGACGGACACGACTAGAATTCGACGAAATTTCGACGACATTCCGATCCGTGGCTGCTATGTATTCGAGAGTCTTCGTTGTCATCGATGCGCTCGATGAATGCCAGATATATAATAATTGTCAAACAAGGTTTATCTCCGAGTGTCTGAATTTCCAGGCAACGTGCGGTGTAAATATTTTTGCTACTTCAAGGTTCATTCCGCAGATTACTGAGAGATTCAACGACTGCATGGAAATTGGAAATCCGCGCACATGATCAAGATGTTCAAAAATATTTAAGAAGTCGGATATTACAATGTGAATCGAGGCTGCTGACCTCACACAGTGAGGAGATTCAAACTGATATCACAAAGGCTGTTGATGGAATGTCAGTAACTTCCCCTGTTTGAGTAAGACGGAACAAGCTAACAATTAGCTAGGTTTCTGCTAGCGCAACTTCACTTCGACGCAGTGAAGTCGAAAAAAACAACCAAAAGAGTAAGAAAAACTCTGAAAAGTCTTCCAAAGGGTTCTGAAGCATACAATGATACATATGAAGATGTGATGCAGCGAATTGAAGGGCAGGATATAGATTCATGGAAGCTTGCACACGATGTTCTATCGTGGGTCAATTGTGCAATAAGACCGCTGAATACATTAGAACTTCGATATGCAATTGCTGTGGAAGCTGAGTCCGGATTCGACAGAGACAACCTTCTATACCTGGATGATATTATCTCTGTCTGTGCAGGTTTGGTCACAGTTGACGAAGAAAGTGATGTCATTCGATTGGTACATTATACAGCACAAAAATTCTTCCAACGAACGTGGACAAGGTGGTTCTCAGACGCACATCATGACATTGCAACAGCTTGCGTGACATATCTCTCTTTTGATTCCTTCAAAATAGGGCCCTGTTCCACAGACATGGAGTTTGAAGCACGATTAGATGCATACCCCTTTTTTTCATAGGCAGCGAGAAACTGGGGTCATCATGCTCGGACACAATAAATGAGAATGGGCTTGATAATAGCCCTGATTGAAGATATACCCAGGCTAAATGCCTGTGTACAAGGCCTCTTTGCCCGCAAAGAGTTTTCAACTCACTGGAATTACAGCTAACAGGTTCCCAGGTTGTTCACAGGACTACATCTTGCGGCATACTTTGGGCTAGAAAATGTGGTCCTTTACAAGATTCAACAGGGGGAACAGTCTGAAGTTATAGATTCATTTGGTCGATTCCCCTTGACATGGGCAGCCTTTAATGGGTACATGGGAGTAGTTCGGCTCCTGCTGGAAGGAATTGTCAATCCAGACACAGGAGATAATGATGGTCGAACTCCACTAGCGTGGGCAGCATGCAATGACTACGAGGGAGTGGTCAAACTTCTCCTGGAGAAAGGCTTTCACCTAGGCTCGAAAGATATCTTCAGCCGTACTCCACTATCATTGGCCGCCTCGAATGGCTGTGTGGGAGTGGTGAAGCTCCTATTGAAGAAAGGCGTTGAAGTAGCCTCGAACGATCAAGCAGGTCGAACCCCACTGGACTGGGCATCCTACTACGGTCATAAGACAGTGGTCGAACTCCTTTTGGGCAGAAGCCCTGATAGGCATCCGCACGCCATTGGTGCGGCCGTTAGGGCTACTGTTATGCAGGACCATCGTGAGAACGACGAACCTCGAAATGGCTCGTGCGGCTCACGTTCCTGTGCCCACACCCCAAGCGCCACATGGTCAGATGACCATGAAGTTCGACACCAGGACCAGCAGAGGCAACGACTTAGGGAGCCCAGCTTGGAGAGTGCCGGGACTCCTACGACAAATGGCGACAGTCAAAGCCGGCCACTGTCTCAGAAAGTCGCCTCGCCTCAGACTGTGCCCTCCCATCACTTCGAGTGGTATTGCCGGCTGTGTTCTCCCGAGGAAAGCCGCTTGTATATAACGCTCGGGGCTTTCAAGCGACATATAGGATTGACACACGCCGTTCGGTTCCATTATTATTGCACTGACCCTCACTGTCCTGATGCCATTGCACGCAACCCAGTTGCCCCAAGTCCTGATAGATTTCAGGCTCATATAACCACGAAACATGGAAGGTGGGCAAGTAAACAGGAAATATACCAATCCCGACAAGAACAGCCACATCCTCGTTTCTGTCTAATTTGCGATACACGCGTTCGCTCGCGGCAGGAGTTCTACAATTGTGTCAGTCGCCACTGTCAGCGTCAGCGTTCTTCGGCTGTCACCGACGAACGGAGTGCCGGTGGCTCGCAAAAGACAGGGCTGAAACTGCGCATCAATGATGAGCCTGGCCGGTCACTCACCGCTCCTGATTTGGCACGCAGTGGCGAACATGCACAGCAAGATTACCAAATGCAGTTGATGTTGCTAGAACAGCAAATCAAACGGCGTCGATAAAGAGGAGGGTAATATTGATATATACCAGTGACTCAATAGCTGAAGGGATTAGTGCATGAGGGCAATCCTAATTGATGTCCGTGTTTTGACGTCAGATCTCGTTCTCAGTGGCGATTCGGGTGTCTCTTCAGCTAATTCGGTCGTGTGGGACCGCTGCGAAGGGTTTACAGAACGGGTCGAGGCCGCTCCTGAGGTAAATGGACTCCCCATCCAATCCGTATTAACGATACCAATTCCCGCAATAACTGGCGAAGATGCCTTTTCATTTTGGAGCGTTTACGCAATGAAGTCATGATGGCTCCCAATCTGAGTCAATAGAATTGACGTGTGCCCCTAGGAGCGTGTTCTAGATCAAGGACCCGACCCGGGAGATTACCGGGTTCGGGATGGGTTCGGGGCGGTTTTAGCGAGGAATCTGATCAACTCTAGCCTAACCTGGCCAAACACCAGCCTAATTGTAATATTAATAGTAGAGAAAGATAAGAATCAGTCTTCTGTCTTGGTATCTAGTAACTACTATCTATCTTCTGCCTAACGTATCCTTACCCTACTTGACAGGTCTTCTACCCTGACTAGTAGATATTCCTTGACATCCCCTGTGTCTGATCCCGGAGCTTGATAGTTAGTCTTGTCACAAGGGCCTGAGGAAAGAGCAAGAATAGAAACCTCTAATGGTGGTAGTAGTAGTAGTAGTAGAAGAAGAAGAAGAAGAAGAACAAGAAGAAGAAGAAGAAGAAGAAGAAGAAGAAAAAGAAGAAGATTTGCACATGACCCAAAGTCAGACAGAACTCCAGAGAACAAACTGTTGTGCATCTGGAGAATAAATATCAAGAAAAATAGCGAGCCAGGTGCGTGCAATAGAACGGGGTTGTTAGATTAGATGAATGTGACTTCACTGATATGCTACCACGTGAAAGAAATACTCCAACAAGCATACAAAGTAGAGAACAACAGGTAGGAAGGCCTTCCTATGATAGATAGCTTGCTCAGATGCCTCCGCATTGAAGTGTCAAATAACCCTCACACCCCCTACTAGATCTCATGAGACTCCGTGCACACCTTTCAACTCGATTGATCTGGAATCGATGCTCTCGATTTTCACTTCTAATTGGGAACGCACAGTCCTGTATTGCAGTCACAGTGTGCGTTCCGGTCTGGGCAATTTGTTGCATAGTGCCATACATTGGTACCAACCCCGTTCTTCACACATCTCATCTTTAGAAATTATATGTTAGCATACAAATATTAATTAGATAGCATGCAACGCACAGAATGGCCACCGTTCTTTTCACATCCCATCACACCCTCACTAGGGCAACCCAAGTTATTCTTTGCGTTGCACACAGCCCGTGGAGCCAAGGTCATTGCAGAGGCAGTGCATGCAAGAATAAAGACCGAGAAATACGGTATCATCATCTTGAAAGAGGAGGTTCTTAGAGGTTCTTAGTAAAACCCAGATTTATTGTCTTGTTTGAGTAGTTGCAAGGGAATTGGGGAAGAAATCAGAGGGGTTCTATAGGCATATTTATAACACAGAAGTGGCCCTGTATATGTTGGTTTGTCTGTTCATTTTACTGATTCTCTAAATGTGTAAATTGTTGTCCAGAGAGCCCCGCTGGGAGGAATAGTCGCCAAGACATTTAGTTTCATTCAAATGTCTCAAGAGTCACAACAGCAAAAGAAGCTAGTTTTTGCTGGCTCGGCCCGATGATTGGTGGTGTCGTGTACTCGTGTTTGCTTTAAATCAATACCAGGTTCTTTAATGAAATCCGGACAGGCCAACCCTGCATCCCAACAACCATTCCCAGGTTATTATTGGCTCGGGCGGGGGAACCGGCACGGCCCGACGGCGTCAATCAACCTACTCTCTATTCTTTTTCTCTTTTCTAAGCCCCCTTCCCTGGTGCACTGCCCTTTTCTGGAATGGTGCCATTACCTCCTCTCCCTTTTCGCTCATCAGCTGCGGAGTCACCGACGTGCCATCTGGTGGACTGAGAGCTTTTGTGTTTGATTTTCAGGCAATCCACTTTATCGTGCTTGTGGTAGGATGGAGCTAGTCGGCTACCCTGTATCTTGCGGTTAAGATGGGTTTCGCCGCATCAGGCACAGGTCGATCGGTGATTTTGAGTGTTGACATCTTTTCCAGCTTCCTTCCTAAATTCCCTCTTTTTGTCCCTTTGAGCATGATTAATTCAGCGGTGGTAAGGATGTCTCCTGTGGTAGAGGTTCATTTCTTAATTGTGTACGTGGAGTAGTATTCCGTAGTCATATGTGCAAAACCATCGGTCAATGGCCGCGCCATAATTTTGATCGATTCATCTACTTTAATGGTCAGCTTGTGCAATGGACCTGCGGGGCTTTAGGGGGCCAAGAACAACTTTCAGGTAATCCGGTTACCCAAGCCAGAGTATCATATAATCAAGGATGTATGGCCTGGAATGCACTGCCTTTCGGGGCAATTCCTTGACCCACCGAATCCAGCTTCTTTATTGTGCCCTGCCTTGTTTATCGGCCAGTGTCAAAGTCACTGCTCGTATTTCATGCTAGCGTATGTCTACAATTGAGCTAAAAACCTGCACTAGTTCAATAGTCTGTTTGAGAAGTGAGGTTTGCAGCTGCAGCCGTCGAACACAGTTGAAGCGGGGCACCCGGGTTTAATCATCAGGTGATATTGATGATGACTGGTGGATATGTCTGCAAATTCTGGTGAAATTTGAGTGTTGGGTGAATTCGCCTCGCTGCTATTCCATAGCAAAGCAGAATGATAGAATCAGTGCACCTATACCAGGTATAAAGAAGGCAAATCGAACCTTGAAAAGCATTGGCACTGTGATATACTTATTGTTACATAAACACTATAATCCGCATATTTTGGCACGTGCGGGGATAGAGAGAATCGGTATATTGTGATCCCGATGTTTCCAGGGACTAACATCTATTTCTCACCGAGCAAAAAGCTACGGGCGCCAAGACCATTACCGTTCTTGTTCTAGTAGGTGAGCGGTGCCACCCTGAAGTCGCGCGACCAGTGAGTGGCGTGAGTGGGTGAGCACTAGGGGTGACCGTTGCACGACTGGATGCTCAGCCAAGGGGCTGTCTATCCTTTGTTCAGATTCCCCACAAGACCAAGTATGATACTTTATTTGAAAATATTTACTGATTTTCAGCTGCCACCGGCCTCAATAATAATATATTCATTTCCACTCTCTTGTTATTGGCTCTCAGTAAAAAAGAAAACGAGAGCGGAGAGACTAGGGAAAATAAAAAATAGGGCGAGAGCTGATTAGAGTCATATAATCTAAGCGAGTATCATTTGATAGAATTGGGGACTACTTCGCCATAAACTCGCATATAGCGAGGTTAATGGAATTTTTATACCTAACCATGGTTAAACCAAAAATTGGATAGTTAATCTAAATTAACTATACTTGAGGCTAGGGGGTTCTACCCTTGGAGTATTGTGTCTAAGGGAGTCTGCCCTAGGCATATTATGTGCTTGAGTAAGCTCAGAATCACTAACTTATTTCACAAGCGAGTGTGTCACAGGTCCGATGATGACTCTTCATGACTGTATTGTATACCCTGCCCGCTGTGTATAGAAAACTCGGTAGCCGAATAGCAATATCGGAATCTATATCTGTTGTCTTTATAATAGTATATAGTAGCCCTCTATCAGTCTTATTTTGTTAGGAAAACAAAGGGGCCCTTCTGACTATAAAATTAGTCTAATATTAATACTTTAATAGCAGAGAAAAGTAAGAATCAATCTTCTGTCTGTATAGTATTTACTGCTTAGCTATCTGCCTATGAACCCTTACCTAATTGACAGGTCTTCTACCCTGAATTGTAGATATCTCATTGACAAATTGACTGATATAAAATAATAAAAAATTAATAGAATCTACTAGTCCAGAAATGAATTATATTAAAAAATAACCTATTAATTGTATATATATTAGTAGTAAGATCAGAGTCCTAATTAAAAACTATTTAATAGAGAAGAGTTATTTCTCTAAGAGAAGAGCAGTATAGTATAGCTGAAAGGCACCTAACCTCGGGGTCAGGTAACACAAGGTTTACCAAAAGATCAACATTACCCGCGAGATATCTCGCGGATCCTAGAACCTACTAAGTAGCGCGCTTGGATAGCCTAAGGTGACCACCTGCACCTTACAATAGTATCGTGAATTTCTATAAAAAAGTAGGGACAAAGATTAGCTATATATATTATATATAGACTGTACAGAAACCGGTGCAAGCAAATATCTGTAGTGCACTGTACTCCGCGCACAACAGCCCGTAGAGTCCAGGGACCATTATTATATAAGGTTATTCGCCCAAGTAGCTCTCATTATCTTCCGCAATAGAAGACTGTGCGTGACATCCTGTCTCCTTATATGTCTCATCGACTCATAGAACATACAGTATGAAATTACTTGCTGCTTCGGCCTGAAAATGGAGTCCTGTCCTTCGGCTCAACTATGAATCCCTCTCCCTATCCTATGCAAAACCTCTAAGACGCATTACCCTGCCGCTAGACTGATGGACAGTGCGCACTGACTGGAACTCTTTACATTGGACCACAGCGATATGTGAGCAAGCGTACCGGGCTCCTGATAAGTCACTGTAAAGGCAAGAAGTGCGGAAAATGTGCATAGATTGAAGCGCTTTGTACATGGTGTGTATCGTAGGGCCTTGCGGCCTTTCTGTATCGGGTATACTATTTACGATCAAATGTCATCTTCTCACATCCCAGAGCGAGTCAATGTGTGCTGGAAAGTCCATGAACATTGAGGGAGTTATGTGGCAATTGATACCAACCCACCTATAATGGCAATGAGGCTGCCACAAAACCGATTGTTGTATGTCTGGCTCAGGCCTAGTGCCGTTCACTTCGCTGTTTTCATATCCTTGCCTTGCTATCGATAGGGTTAGGCTCTCCCCCCACAGTGTGACGGGCTTACGATGAGCTAAAGTAGCTCCTGCACAAGTCCTCTTGGGGGGAGCAAAAGAGACAAGACGAGAAAGAAAGAAAACCACGTCGAATTACCCAGGGCAAATAAAATTCGCAAAGTAGGACACGTTCGTAGAGTTTCGTCCAGTAGGGGTTCGTCTTTCGGCATCTCGGCGCCGATATGAGGATGTTGAATAGTATCAGAACCATGCGGCCCATCGGTGCCGAAGCGCCATGAAGATTACCTCATCTGAATGATGCCGAATTTCCGAAGCCCAATGGCTCATTTACATCGCTAATCAGGTATCATAAACGACCTACATGAAATGGACAGTTGACTCAACTTCAGCTACCCGGTTTTTGCTGTGGAAGGTCTGGCAAAATACCATTATCAAAACTACCACCCCTTGCTCCCTGCAACCGACGATTGCCTCATTACCAGAATGCACGATACCGCCCACAATCCGCACCATGGCCCTCAGCCTGAGGTAGCTGTGAGGGCCGACAATGAGTTCCTTACTATATCGCGGCATCCAAAAGACTCTGAAACACCACAGGATGACTCTCATCCCATCCATGAAGGAGGATATGGTTGGGTCTGTGTAGTATGCACATTCCTCATGAATGCTCACACATGGGGTATCAACAGCGTAAGGCACATTACGGAAATTGAGGTTGAAAGTCAGCTGACGCAACTTCTAGGCGTATGGAGTATTTCTATCTTACTATCTCTCCTCCGATGTGTTTCCCGGAACAACAGCACTCGAGTATGCGTTTGTCGGTGGTCTTAGTATTTCTTGCGCCACGCTTGTATCTCCTCTCGCTACTTACCTAGATAGGAGGATCTCCACTCAATTGGTCCTCAGCATTGGGACGGTTCTCGAGACCCTGTCGCTCATCACCACGTCATTTGTGACAAAGAATTGGCAGCTCTTTCTCTCTCAGGGAGTTTGTTTTGGACTTGGAATGGGTTTCTGTTTCTGTGGGTCCGTGGGAATTGTCTCTCACTGGTTCACGAAACGACGCAGTCTAGTGAATGGGATCACAGCAGCTGGGTCCGGGACAGGGGGCCTGATTTATTCGCTTGCCGTTGGACACATGATCCCGACGGTAGGGTTTCCATGGGCGATGCGCATTATCAGTATTATATCTTTCGCTATCAATCTGGCTTGCGCAAACCTCCTTCGGGTGCCTTCATTCTCCCGGTCTAACATGAGACAGACCCCAATTTTTAGTATGACGCTACTTCGACGACCAGACTATCTTACCTTTCTACTCTGGGCTTTCCTCAGTGCGCTAGGATACATAGCGCTGTTATTCAGCTTGTCAAGCTATGCGGTCGCGGTTGGCTTCACACATGACCAAGCTAGTCTCGCCAGCGCATTGCTCAATTTAGGGCAGGCAATAGGACGTCCCAGTGTTGGGTTGCTAAGTGATTACCTTGGACGTATCAATGTCGCTTCTGGTGCTTCCACTCTGGCAGGCATACTGTGCCTAGTTGTCTGGGTTTTTGCAGAGTCTCTCGTGGTGCTCTACTTCTTCGCCATTGCCGTTGGACTATTCGCAGGTACGCTATTTGCCGCTGCCGCGCCACTCGCTGCAGAGGTCGTGGGTATTGAGGATCTCTCTGCTGCCCTCGGCATTCTGTGGTTGGTTATTTGCCCTCCAACGGCTGTCGCGGAGGCAATTGCTGTGCAACTTCGCGACAGTGAGGCCACCCCTAAGCCCTACCTTCGAGTCCAACTATTTACTGGCATAATGTACTTGGGAGCAGGAGGTTGCCTGTTCATGTTGAGAGTGCTAATGTACGGGTATGGGTCCAAAAGCCGAGGTGGTAATGAGAAGGGAGCTCGCTAATCCGGGTTTGGTTGGTACGAGGGAACAAGCATGATTATGGTTAAACGGAGCCCTGTATAGCTCTGCAAGAGATACAAAGATCAATCTAGAATTATAGAAGTGACTTTCCAACAGTCGATTACTAGGCGAATGTGACTTGCAGAGAACTCTTGTATGCGTGAGAGAGAAAACATATTTCCGTGACGCTGTATGACCGACTTGGCTACTATTAGAACATTCGTATCTAGAAGCCCCGATATTTAATGAGGCAGATACACATCACTGATTGCAATATTTATTTGTGTTCGCCAGGCCATTCCAAACGACTCACAATCACTCAGGTCTTGGCACCATTAGGTGGGTTGTCGAAGGGGGCGGTGTTGGCTATGAGGACAGCCTACCTATATACTACCTAAAGTAGAACAAGAGAAAATGCGATATCCGAAGCCAAACAAAACCAGGTATACATTCTAGTTCTCGTGGGTGAAGTGTTGACAGTTCACCCATTGCTCCACGGCGGACTTTTCGGCGCCGAGAGTCCGAGATGGCAAATGAAACTTCACCACCACCGCAATCGACAGGCTGATTGACTACATTATCTTCGTAGTCCTAACTCAATAGGTTTCCTTTGCGTATATGACTATCTACGAGCTTCTTTTCTCTTCCACCTCTCTCTCTGTCTCTATCTCTCGAAGTTCTCATTTCCCGTTCTGACGTATTTGACAGACTCTACCAAGTATGCCAAAAGTGCAGAAAAGCCATTCACCCCACCAGGACGCTCGATGGTCGCCCCCACCGCGCCTAAGTTCAAGATCGTGTTTGTGCTGCCACCGGCGCAAGGTCCGATGTGATAGAGGTGTACCATGTACCAATTGTGCTAGGGCAGGCTGGACATGTGTGTACCCTAGCAGAGATACCGGCGACGGATCGCGGAGGGTGACGAGCCTGCAAGCAATTACAGACAGATTGGACCGACTGGAGGAAATACTATTAGACATCCGCCAGAGCCAGGGCCGACAAGATGCCCCAGATGGCAACCATCTGGTAACTCCAGAACTCAAGGCCAAAACGCCGACGGCACTCGACCCACGACCCTCCAAACCCTGGGAGCTGTTGTTGGGCAATGGACAACGCGTGCACTATGTGAACAATTCTAATCTTAAGGACCTTTTGCATGACGAGGACCATATGAGGCCTCCTTCTGCCGACCTTGCTACAGTCTCCCCAGCTGAGCACGGTGTATCAAGGAGCGGTTCAGATCGATTAGCGAAGTCTCCCGTGGACGCTGCATCGAGTCTGCACCATCTTCACCCAGAGCCACGGGACGCATTACAACTTTGGGCGCTCTATGTGAAGAATGTCGATCCAGTGTCGAAGATCCTGCATATACCGACCGCGCAATCTGCCATAATTGCCACCATTTTAGATTCGAAGCAGGCCGGTAAATCTATGTCGGCTCTGACGTTTGCCATTTACTTTGCAGCACTTACAAGTATAACTGAACAAGACGCCGCTGAGCTATCGTTGGATAGGGCGCAGCTCCTGGAACACTTTAAACGCGGTCTGGGCCACATCCTAGTTGGAACTGAGTTGTTAAACCAACCAGATATGCCGGCGTTGCAAGCGCTAGCCATCTTCCTAGTAGGTTATAGGTTTATATGTCGGACGATTATCTGATAACACTAACTATCGCTTATTGAAAGACTAGTCTACGCGTCCACGAAACGGGACGTGGCGTCTGGGTCCTTAATGGGATTGCAATTCGATTAGCTCAATCTATTGGCTTGCATCGAGACGGTACCTCCCTCAATTTAACCCCGTTTGAGTCGGAGATTCGTCTACGCTTATGGTGGCACTTTTGTGTGCTAGATGCTCGGTCACCAGAGGACCATGGCTTTGAGCTGACAGGCGACCTACTTAACCATGGCCCAAGACTTCCACTAAACGTTAATGACGACCAGCTTTACCCGACCATGGAGAAGCTGCCGAAGGAAACTGATGAGTGGACTGAAATGTCTTTCTGCATCGGTGGAATAAAGGTTACTAGGCTTCTGCAGCCAATATTGGGCACACGATCAAAGGATACCCTGGGGGATATTGCAGCCAAGCGCAGAACCATCGATGACTATAAGACGTGGCTGGACAGTTCGCTTTCTTCCAGTTGCCATCCACCGGATCATCTTTCCAACCTCGCCTACCGACATTTCATCACAGCCTGCAAGAAGATGGAATTCTTGTTACTGGTACGGCAAGAAATATACCAGGAAAAACAAGCGCAACTACGAAGTAGTCCTGACTACTCCACAAGACCTTCGTTCAAAGCTGCCTGCGATGTCCTAGAAAGCAGTTACATGCTTTTGGAATACTCCGGGCCCTTCAGCCATCACACGTGGCTATTTAAAACATATACACAGTGGTATGCTCTTGCCTACGTTCTCCGCTGTCTCTGTACGAGTCGCAGCACACCGGAAACCGACCATGCCTGGGACTTGGTTAATAATATCCTGCACTGCGCGACTAATTTCAATCTTTCTTCGAACTCTTGCACCACAATCGGCAATAGTAGCATCTGGAGATGTCTCTGCTCACTCCGGGCCCAGGCTTTGTCTTCCCGACTAGCTCAGCAGTCAGCTATAGATTCGGACAATTTAACTCCTCGTTTAGGTTCACATGATGTCGGCATATCTAATGAAAATATCCATGATCGGAACCCCAATAACACTAGGCACGGTCAAACCCCTTTAACTACACCCAACGTCTTGCCTATCAATAGCCCGGCTTACTTCAACGACCCAATAGAACAGTCCTTTGAGAACTTTGCTGATACTCAGCACGGTCTCTTCCCTGCCTCATCTTTACTTGAAGTTCCTTGTCTTCCCGGATGGAATGCCGTGGTCAATGGTGTTCTAGACGACGACTACATCTAGAAGTCTTATACCGATTCTTGAAGGCGTTGCGGGATTTCTCTACCGGGTATGCCATCCACGGTTAAACGAGAATTCCAGGGAGCCAGTCAACCATCTGCTCAATGGTTATTGCAATCTTTGTGTTAGCTACGCCATTCCGAAGCCTTCGAAATCACTCGGGTCATGGGCACTATTCGCCGATTTTTCTGGTGTATTGTTAGCTACAGGATAGCCTACGATGAGCCATGGCTACCACTCCGCAATAACGGAACTTGATTGAGAACTTAGACACCATCTCTTGGGGGAATGGTCAGTTCGTGTTTTTAAGATTTATTGGTTGAGATTCTTAAGGGACGATTAGAAATTGGTGGACCCACCAGTCGAACCCAAAATTAAGCTCTATTACTGAATGTCGATCAGACGGGGGCAGAGGAATAAACTATCCGACAGAGCATCATAAGTAGACTGGTGTTTGGCCAGGTTAGGTTAGGTTAATGGGGTCAGTTATACCTAACCACTAGATTATAGCTAGATCAATAGAACTTCTATATCTAATTACAGTTAAGCCAAAAGTTGAACAGTTAATCTAGATTAACTATACTTAGTACAAATTAGAGTAATAAAATTAATAATTAAATAATATTAGGATTGGTAATGTTATTTAAATAGAAGTAAAGCAGAAGTAGCCGAGTAGATAGATTACTATATATACTGTACAGCAGATGTATGTATATATATCAAAATAGGACCAATTAGCAGGTGAAGAACTGGAGCAAGTCCCTGATTCCCCAGGCACTAGGGTATAGCACGCAGACATTTCCTCACTTGATTAAGCCTCAACCTCTACATCACCAACGTCCCGTTCTCTTCCGGTCGCCTTCAGACATTCGAAGCCGTTCGGGCGATAAAGTCTAATCCTGGAGACATCCAAACTAACTCAGTGATATAACGTTCTACGCTCATCGCACCATATCTCAAGACCGAAGCATAAGCCATTCGAATGACTCAGTAGGATGCAGCACACCTACTAATGGACAGAACTGCCGATGGAACTCTTCCCTGTCTGTGGTGCAAAACGAGATATCTTAAGGTTACAGCGGTCCAGCTTCATTTACGGGGACGTGCGCATCTTCCATAATATCCAGGAACAGACCGAGGAAGACTGGTGTCGTGAAACAAGGGCCTTTCAGTTCCCGGTTCTGGTCTAGTTTACTATTCGTGGTCCCAAACTTCTATATATATGGAAATCTAGCTTCCATGTTTAAAGTGGTTCAACGGCATACATTAATCATTCCATACAGACCACTGTCAGCTAAATAGACGAGAACATAGAAAGAAGGATTATTCCATAGACAGCTTGCCAGGCCTCTCTACCACAAGTGATAATCTGTTTTCCTCACTTTACATAGTGCCTTCATCGCAACCTCAAAAGGTAAAGTATCAAGACGTCGAGTCAAGAGACAGACACCTGGAGAACAGTTCGAAGATCGTCTGCTTGGGAGTCCAATCTTACCTTCTTCGGGGCTCACCCTTCTAAAACGTCGGCACAAGCTTCCTGGATTTTGTTTAAGCCACCAGGACGCTTTTCTAAGGCCGTGGGGGTCACGTTCCCGCCCAAAGCCCCGGGGAGGTAGTCACCATACTACCATTCCGTGAAACCTGTAGTTTCCGGCTTCTAGGTGGTCTTGCTGAAAAAGTCGCAGACCAGGTGGACATTCTCGGCCAGATGCGTTCCATTACTTTGCGGGCCGACAGAAGCAAATGTGCCGCCTCCAGGTTGTAGGACCTCGCTTGAAGTGTTTGTGCCTATCGCATCGCCTGACGCTGTCATGATAAAGTCATAGGGACCGGGACTTTTCAGCTTCGGAACTATCTCATCATCCTTGTAGTCAAAAACCGCAGAGCCCCCGAGGCCACGAACGTCTTCAAACTTTCGCGGGGAAGCGGTTGCCATGGCCTCGTAGCCAAGCTAAAAATGCTGTCAATTATCGATCGGAAACATCAATGGGCTATTCCTACTCACGCCGGCAGCATACTGAACAGCATTATCCCCCCTCCCACGGACCCGCTTGCGCCCCAGACTTGTACTTTTCCATTGCACTTTGTTCCAGGTTTATTCATTCCCAAGCGTAAGTGTGAGGCTGCAACAGCTGTTAAGAGTGAGAAAGGTATCGCAGCAGCGTCCTCGAAAGTTGTGCTTGTTGGTATCATAGCGGTGGTAGCTTCTCTGCTCACGACGAATTTCTACCAGCCTCCGTACTTACATTCTTTGACCTGTTATATAGGTGTATCGCACACGACGCGGTCTCCCTTCTTGAATCTGGCGACTGACGTGCCGACTTCATGGACAGTGCCGGCAACCCCATTACCTGAGATGAATGGGTAAGGCACATCGATGTACGCTCGGGTGCGGACATTGGCATCGAAGGGTTGTATTGCGACGGCGTGACTCTATTACACCTGTTAGTGAAATGATTTTAAGATTAGGGCTCTACTCAAATAGCCATTGTTAACTCCATCACTATTTCATCCTCTAAAAGAGCTGTTATAGGCCGCACCGAATCACGTTTGGTCACCCATTGACTCCAGTATCCAAGCGGCTTCGTTCATAGGTGACATAGTGCCTTGCTGACAACGATCGCGCGCTGTAAATCCAGAGACTTAGGAGTATAATTGAATACTGGATCTTTTATTGCCTTTGACTTTCGGCTAATAGATGTATTTCTCCAGCTGACGAGGTGCGGCCTTATGACATCAGGAGTTTCGGCGAAAAGGAACCATCGCCCCACAAGAGTTTTCCAAAGCATTGGCCTATGTTTGCGATCAACCAATGAAATTTCAGTGGCCTTTATTCATTATAACCAAAAGCGACTTACTAGGTTCCAGACCATTAGTCTTTGTATCCCTATGATTATTTAAACTTTGGTTATGCAATTCTCGCTGTTATGTCGCTCTCTACAAGCCCTCGACAAAGAATAAAGGATGCCTTCAGAATTATTCAGAAAGATGTCATAGTCGTTTCGAAATAAAGGCGGCGAGCCATGGCTCCCTTCCATTGTACTAGAACGCGTTTGAGACCAACCTGCCGTTATGTGCCTCTAGAAGGTCCTTTGGAACCTTTTACAAAGGGTAGTTGAACTGCCGAGTCTAGCTCTTCAGTCGAGATAGGGGCGTTTATCATTCGCTATGCCTACAAGTGATACATAAAGGCAGATCTGAAGAAGTCTATCAAAAGAGCTAGTTCTAGATACCGGAATTACTCAAGGCCAACTTCGCCACATGCTACCCACCGGTACCCCATCCGTGGTCACAACATCCCCACCTCGAGCTTAAAGAACAAAATTGTCAGCTGACATGTGCGGAGGTGGTCTTCTCTGTCTTTCTGCAATGTCCTATTGTATAGCTGCTTACAATCCAAAAACACCTTAGCATGGAGAGAGTTACAGTCGCAGACGCCAGAGAATTTGTCCTCTGTTTTGATGGCACGGGATATAAATTCCGAGGAGATGAAGCAGATAGTAATGTCCTCAAGATTTACAGAGTAAGTCTGTGTGGTAGGAACTGGTTTCTTAGGACAGTCCTTACACGAATAGAAGATGCTTGATCGCAATGACGCACATCAACTCCATTATTATCAGCCGGGATTTGGGACGTATACCACCTCAATTTGGCAGTCCCACAATACCAACCAGAATCGGATCACGAGATGGTTTTCGAATGCAAAAGACGCCGCAGTGGGCACGACATTTGACGAACACGTCATGGATGGCTATAGGTTCCTCATGCGCTTTTACCGCCCCGGCGATGGGATTTACATCTTTGGTTTCAGTCGTGGAGCATATGTGGCGCGTATGCTTGCTGAGATGCTGGACCATATCGGCCTGTTAGAGGCAGGGAACGAAGGGAAGGTCCGCTATGTTTGGTCGATATTCTCCAAGTGGGCGAAATGTGTCAACATTGCGGACAACGACAGAAAAGCAAAAGATGATTTATATACGTACATGAAAGCACTAAGGGAGACTTTCTGTCGCCCAGTATCGCAGATCCGATTTCTCGGATTATTCGACACCGTCAACAGCATACCGCGATTCGAACTGAATCGTAATAAGTTTCTGTTTCCTTTCACAACAAAGACTTCAGCGAAAGTAATTCGGCATGCTGTCGCTATCGACGAGCATCGTGCTAAGTTTCGGCAAGATTTACTGGCAGATGTCAATCCAAATACACGGTCAACGCGGCGCAAATGGCAGGGTCACCGGGAGCGACAAGGGCATCTTCAGCAAGGGCGTTGTACAGGAGAGGCATTTTATCGGCCAGCCCCTCGTGTCCGTCCACAGACCGTGGACTCTGGTAACAAGCGAATAGACACAAAGACCCAACAGCCGATAGGAACGCCATACGATGCGGGGGATCGCCCTTTCACGGAGAACGAGGATACCACCCAGGACATCGAGGAGGTGTGGTTTGCCGGATGCCATGCTGATATTGGCGGTGGATTAAGTTTGGATAAAGAAGAAGACCTGGCGCTGAGCCATGTGCCATTAGTATGGATGGTACAGGAGGCGCAGCGTGCGGGACTCCGATTTGATCCTGAAAAGATGAAGCTATTCCACTGCTTTGATGATTCGGCTGCCGATGGTGGTCTCTCAGGCAATATAGAGCACAGCACCGATGGACAAGAGGCAGGCGACGAATGCGATTTTAAAACCTCCCTCTGGAAGGCCACTATAAATGGACATATACATGACTTCTTACGGTACGGCCATGGCGTCCCATGGCCCACTGTTTTATCATGGAAAATAGTGGAGTACCTTCCGTTTCGGAGGATGGCGTTGCAAAGCGATGGATCTTGGAAACCGATTCGGTGGCCTCTTCCCCTTGGGGAGAGACGTGATCTCCCTAAGGGGGCTAAGGTCCACGGATCAGTCATTCGCCGCATGGAGGCCAATCCAAAGTATAGACCGGGGAATTTGCTCCAATATGGAAAAGGGAAGAACAAGAGTCCCTTAAAGGGTGGTATTGGTGCGTGGGAGGTGCACGCTCATCGAGGCTGTCCAGTGCGAGAAACATACCACAGGAAGTTGTACGAAACCAACTAAAAATTGCGTGACCTGCTATTCGCAGTAACACGTGAGTCATACGCTCTCCTGGAGTGGACAAACTATAACAAGCGCAGGGCAAGGCGAGAAAAAAGGACAACAAAGAAATAGCTAAACGAAAATTATCTGCCATACAGATCATGCTTGGGAATGAAGTCAATTATACCGATGTGCCCGCTTCCTTTATCATAGGCTGAGATCTTAACACAACAAAGCAGCACGGTCAAGTGTCCTTTCTAATTCCGTCCTTCGCAACTCGTATCTTTTGTCAAGGAATGTGGGGGCCAATAATTGCCAACAAATTTGGACAAGAGAGCGATGTCACTCTGATTCCTTGGCACTGAAACATGTGGAGAACTTGACCATAACACTCTGCATTATGGTAACCTGCTGTCGTGGAAAGATATGATTTATATCCCCTTAATTGAGATAGCCAGGTGTATACTAATGTTGACCCTGTTTAATCTCCTCACAAAGAGGGTAGTGTTAGAACAAGATCAACGAAGCCCCAACGTGAGGATAATCCTGGTTAGCTCTTCCTCTTGACTAACTCGATATCCTGGTTGGTAAAAGTCGGATATACCCACCCCTTGTTACAACTAGGGCATCCTTCTACTATAATACTACGATCCTTGTTACTCTCTACACCTTCCATTTTGAGATTCAGACCCATGCTAAGATCCACCGCACCATGTAGGGCTGTGCAGTAGGTGAAAATAGGCCTCCTCAAAATCCGATCATGGAAAATGTCTCTATATTGGGTGTAAACAGGGTAGATAAAATCTGGAACAAGGCTTTCTCGTCGCATCCATCGTACACTCCACTGCAATGCCTCGTCTACTCTTGAAATTAATTCTATGCCTCGCCTTTATATCCTGGACGATTTGGTACGGCAAGACATACTTCTACCGCGACCCTGGCAGCATCTTCTATGATGAAGTCCACGCCTTTGAACAGCGATATTCCCAGCATCGCCGCAGCGAAGTGGACACCTTCATCCGGCTCCAAAACACAACACCAACGTCAGAACCACCCATCAAATCCGGCCCTAATCCCACTCTCTGCTTAGCCTTTAGCTCCGTCCGCCGCCAAACAAGCAACTATCTAGAAGTCCGTTGGTCCTCATCATCCAACCCTTCAAACCCGCAGTTAAAAGCTAACCACCAAAGCTAACCCCAAAAAGACCTCAATAGCGAGCGCCCTCGCAACCCTGACCTCCCAAGAACGGCAAGATCTCCACGTGGCCATCCTCATCGCCGAACCAAACCCATTCCGCCACCCAAACTGGAATACCACCTGGCTGCGCACGATTGCTGACACGTTCACCACTTACAATGCCAGCATAGCCGAGCTATCCCACCTCTCCCACCTCCAATCAACATCCAACTTTGCCGAAAAGGGTATCATCGACTACACCCAAGCTCTGCAACTCTGTCACACAACCGGTGCCCCCTACATTGCCCTGTTTGAAGACGACATCCTCCTCGCAAATACATGGTTCATCCGCACCCTGCTCGGCCTCTCCCAAATCCCCCCCTCAAAAGCCAATTCATGGCTTTTTATGCGTCTCTTCAACCAAGAACGCTCAACGGGATGGGCGAGCCGAGCCATCGGCGGAAACAATGAGCACTGGATTATTCTCGCCATCGCGGTTTCCATTTCGCTAGTAGGGTATCTGGCCCGGCGCCAGAGTAGCATTGCCCGGTCGTGGGTCGATTGGGGCACGCTGGGGGTAGTGGTGCTCGTACTTAATCCGGCGATGGTGGTGCTGTTTTTCCAGGCGGGCAAGGCATCGGTTTTGCCCCCTTCACCTGGGGTTTTTGAGGAGCCGTTTGGGTGTTGTTCGCAGGCGATGGTGTTTCCGACGGAGAGAGTAGCGGATATTGTGCATTTTTTGCGGAGCATGGGAAGTGGGCAGGTGGATTTATTGTTGAATAGGATGGCTGTTGAAATGCAATGGGGGAGGTGGGCGTTGTATCCGATCATGGCGCAGCATATCGGTATGTCCCTCTTTTCTATTTCTGGCTTTTCATTTTGTTGGGAGTATAGTTTGGCTGATTGTGGAGCAGGTCTTGATTCGGCGAGGAAGACTGCGAAAGCTGAGGCGCAGGCGATCTGGAGTATGGCGTTTGAGGATTTAGATCCGGTGGTGTTGGAGAGGGAGCATTCGAGGTTTGTTGAGGAGTACTATGGGCGTTAGATCGTGTAGATTCATTGAATATTTTGCGCATTAACACAGAGTAGGGAGTGGTGTTGGAGGTATCACAGGAAACTACTATGATTAAGTCAATACAATTACCACATAGTATGTCAAGGTCTCACAAAAGTCATATGGTTGAGTTACGTGTTGCTATGTACGGTTGTGTAAAGTGTGACTTGAAGGAAAATGCGGTTTAATGCTCTCGTTACGCCAGTAAACAGAATATCAGTAACATTTTCTAGATGACTTCATCTTGCCCTAACTTCCTAGCCAACATAGCTTGTGGCCACTTCAGCTCTTAGGTGGGGACCCTCGCACCATGCATTTCCCCTAAAGAGTATAGTGCATATGTGCAATCTCAGGGACATATTTCTTCGAGCTGCCAGTCTTAGTTCAACGTCGATGGTTCCAGGGTGGGGAATATCGGAGTGGATAAATGGGTGTTAAGTATTAAAAGGGAGCAGGCGCATATAGTCGGTCCTATCGATATACCAACACATCTGATTTAAAGTTTGCTATCATATGTACCGGGCAAACTCCCAATAACATCAAGTCAGGCTGGGTTTATGCAGTCATTTCTTCCTGCCTCAACTGTTAGCGCAATATCTCTCGGCACTCGGATTCAGAAATCGCCCCCAGGACAGTAAGACAAAGTCTTGGCCGAAGAATGAAGACATAGTGGGTCTACCGTACCAAGATCCCACCGAGCAGGCAGTATCTGCGTTCTGCGACCCATCAAATCTCGTTAAAAGCTGACACAGGAACTTTTCACAGGGAATACTATCAAAAACAATGACTATGTTGGCTTGACTCCGCCGGAAGAATACGCCATTACTGCAAACAACAATAATTAATTATGTAACGATGAAAAATGGCCCCTTGGCAGTTTGCACAGATTGACCCACGGCGAATAAGCAACCATGCCTGACTTGGAGGCTTGTACGACCATCTTTAGTAGCTAAGAGAGACCCATTTATATCAAGGCCGGAATTCTGGATATGTCTGACCTAGTCCTGTAACTGGGGCTTTCTTTCTAACTCTTCACCGTCTGGGTTGTTTGATTTGCTGATTTTGAACTGACTAATTGGTTAGTGTACAGTTAGCCCTCCACAGCAATATAACCGAACATTGGGTGTGCTGGACAGAAAGCTATAAAGCCGTGCCAGTGTCTAGAAAATGTCGATTCTCATGCTCGATCGTCTCAATCTTCTGAGATACCTAGACCCGCGATAATGAAAGCCTTCAATTACATCTGGTTCTTGGCCGCCGCCCTTCTGGCTCAGGTTCGTTTCATATTCTGTTCATCATATCTATCATCCTCCCCTAGTCTCTTCTAACCAATTACCAGGCCCAACCCGACGAAACCCCAATTGAGGGATATAGCATCGAGGAATTCTCGTGGGAAGTCGAGACAACGCCCGGCGGCTCAACCGTCGTCCTGAACGGCACAGTCGAGCAAGTCCTCTCTCAGCTGCGCGACATCAACCCCAACTACGACGCCGAGTTTGCCATCCCCGCCGATGAAGTTGAACAGCCTGTGGAGGAAGAAGCCACATCCTCGCACCTGACGAAGCGCGGCGACGTTAAATGCGGAGGCTATCCGAAGGCTAGACGGGTCCACATTGAACAGGGCATCAAGTACTTGAGGGGTGTTCCCGGCAAGCCCCAAAGAGGACCCGGCCCCGGCAGCTGCGGCCAGGTCAGCTGCTCTTGGTCCTCGGCTATTTGGTGGTGTAATGATGTAAGTGTCTTCAAGAAATCTGCTCTCCTTCTATCCTGGTCTGATGCATATTGACGGTATTCAAAGAACACTTTCACCAAGGTGCTACCCAGCTTCAACAATATTGCGGATGGGGCGCAACTTATTAAGAATACTTGTCTTCATGGTGGCCAGATGTTTTCTGGTCAAGATTCCCATAATGATAAGTGGAGTACTATTGTGCGTTGGCACAAGTGTTAGTTAGCGGAAAGTGTGTGTGCGCTGGTGGAGTCTCTATGATGTATCATGGATCTTGCTGGTTTCTAAAATTCTATACTGTACCTTTATGTACTAGAGAGTTGCTTTAGCTTCGAAAGTCTCGGTGGTGTGGGGTTAAGTGCGAGTAGAAGGTTGTTAATGGAATTCACCCATTGTCGGTAGATAGATATGGTGATCTTCTCATGTAGTTCCATCGTTGCTCGCAAGGCATTGCTCTCTTCAGTTAACCATAAGCTTATCATTACGACCCACAGCCGAAGGAATTCTGGCTCGTTATGTGGCCTGAAAGTTGCTCGGTGAATAAATAACTGCGGAGTTTAAATTTGAAGAACCGGAGGGGAGACAAGATGCATATAAAGTACCCTGCCAAGCCTAAGCCCTGTCCCCCAGGCGGCCTAATAGCGACGATCCCATCCAGTAGAAGCGAAATAATATTTATTTCTCGAAACAACGGCCTTCATCTCACTCACGATAACGATCCTTTTCCAACTATAGCATATCTGTACATCGCTCTTCAATATAAAGCTTGCCCCGGGGCTTCCCCTCACTAACTACGGCTTCCAATTGCTTATATTTCGCCGTCAGAAAGAGGGTCTTTCCCCAGACATATACCGCGACCACTACGAAAACGTCCACATCCCCCTTATAAAGAACTTAATCGGAGACACCTTCCCTCTGACCCACGTACGACACTATGTGAAACAAGATAGAGCACCCGACTTTGTTGCAGCTGTTTTAATGGGCGACTAGACGCATTTCGACTACAACGCGGTGGCGGTACTGACGTATCGGGATAAGACGCACTTTGACGCTAATTGGGCTTTCTTTGAGGACAAGGAGAAGTTCTCCGCATGGGTGACGGGGGCTTTAATCAGTACTGAATCTACTGATATGAGAGCTTAAGAGTATATACACGCAGCTAAGAAGGCAGCAGCCTGCAAATGCGGACCAGGCTATTTGAGGGCCGAGCTCCCGTTCATTTATGTGATCGCCAAGATCAAGAAAGAGCTCTCAATCTGCCAATCCTTATTGTTTCTCGACCCCAATCGCTAGTGCTAAAAGCAACACCCTGCTATTTTATGGTGGATCAAATCGATTGTCGGAAGTAGTCCTAGTAAAACTATTATCATCTTGACCCGCTATAAAGCATAGCCAGAGACCAAAGCCCCAATTCTGGTTGTCTGTCCGTAACGTAACCGATAATTCTACACTTCATATATTTTGAAGCTAGTCAACCACTAACGATAGGTTGACCATGCCTGCGACCGTTTCGGTAACGGCATTCTGGATGATGGACCGCGCCTCGTCGTCTTTTTTGCTGGCAGCACAGTGCTGCAGCATCGCATAAAGAATTTCCGCATTTCCTTCCTCCAGACTGGGGGCTTCTTTCAGATACTCCAAGGCACTTTCTGGGTCAGTCGCCCATTCCGCGCAGAGTAACATACTCATAGGTTCTTTTAGTACTCGCCCCCAGCGTCATGCATAAGCACGTGTACAAATGTGTCACCTAATCGGGTACACCATATGTAGTCCGCTTCGGTGACTTTCAAGGGTTGCTTGAACCACTGCTCGGCTTTAACAATCCTGTTCCAACGTGGGGTCGTTTTCATAGAGGATAATTCGCCCGTCGTCTTCGTCTGAGCCCTCAACCACCTCACCCACATCCTGCTCTAGCTTGGTACCCTGGATCTGGAGAGTGTCAGGGATTAGGCACAGGAGCGATCAACGGGGTCCAGCGACTACTTACTAAAGTCAAAAGGTCCGCTGATCCATCTGAATGCGACAAATATACCCCATTCAGTTTTCTGTAGCCAATTTCGGGCAACCATAACGATGATTGGAATCAAATAGACTTGAGTTGTCATGTTCTTCTTTCCTTAAATCTGCCGGCCGTCGATTGTCCCGAGGCCCTAAGCCAGTAATCTCGACTGGGTCATCCAGCCACTTCCAGAAAATCTCAATATACTCATTACGGTGGTACCAGGATAAACAGCGAGTCAATGTCCACTACATAAGAATACATAGATAGGAAAGTATACATCTATCATTCACTGAACAGTATGAGAACGCCTGAGCATTGGTTCTGGTTTCGTTTCCCGTCTAACACCACCCTCAGTATCTTAGGATTCCTCCTGTATCATAATGCTGTGTGATTGGGAATATAACTGGTCAATTAAGTGATATTGGAGTTACGCTAGCACTACGCTGTCACAGGTAGTGAGTAGTGTAGATGTACGAGGGGAGTATTCGCTATAGATTCTGGGATGTTTTCACATTAGGCAGTCAATTTGACGAGACTGATCAACACGTATTCCCTGGGATTTATTCTCTACTGTACAGCCTCTATCGCAGACTATATCAATGTATCTAAGAATTGCGGTTCGTTTATCCTTAGTAGAACAATGCCGAATGACTGCAAAGCCATCAATTAAACCAAAAGACTGTAGTAAGTTAAAGGCCTTATCTGCTGAGCTAAACTTCTAATATAAAGGCAGTTCTGGGATAGTAATCCCTGTACTTTCGTTTTGATACTGAGGCTCTCATTGGCTAGAGAAGACAATCTCGAAACCATCAAGAAAGTCGTCCATGTCCAGCACTTTATATAGAGCTTTAGGAAGTACCTTTTTACGTAGGATATTGGATATTGGATATATGCATTTGAAATGGGTTTACTAGTGTGGTTTTATCATCATATGACTGGTTTTACCTTCCTATTCTAGTATACTGTCTCATCCAAATAACAATTCCCATAGAAAACTACCCTTAAAGCTGATCGTCTCCACATCCATTTAGTACCGTACCGGAACGCCGCGTTCAACGTGCATCGCTCACGGGCCTGGGGTCAAACTCACCGCGTCTTGGATGTGAGATAACCGCGGTTGTAGAGAAGGGTATGATCAGCATAGACTCCACTTTCTCCGGCTACCTAATTATGGGATGTGACTGAAATACGCCATCATGCTATAATACCATGTAGCTCCACCGCAGGCGACGTAATATGGATATTCTTGGAAGCATCCAGCATATAAAGATGCCATTGTCGACACCCTCCGGAGTCTATATCAATTTGTCTTCCGTCATACATTACATACTCTTGTGACAAAGTGCATTTCGCTATATACCACTCTCAAAGCAACATGAGAACCACGCCGACAAGACATGAAACCTACGACGTCGTGGTGGTAGGGGCTGGCCTCAGTGGCCTTCAAGCAGCACAAATTGTGCAGGGTGCAGGTTTCAAAGTGTGTGTCGTGGAAGCCATTGACCGAGTGGGCGGGAAGACATTGACAGCCAAGTCCTGTGAGAAGGGGTTTAATGATCTAGGTGCATCCTGGATCAACGACACCAACCAGAGTGAGATGTTCAAGCTCTACCAACGGTACGGTATCGACACCGAGGTCCAGCGCGACCGTGGACACACTCTGATTCAATCAGCGGAGGGATCCCTGGTCAAAGTGCCATATGGAGAACTTCCAGTGCGTCCTTTGTACTCGTCTTTCCTTTCGTTTTTGTTCTTCTTCTTGTTTATTTGTGTTTTACTTTTCCATCATGTTGCCAACCTAACTGAGAGTATCCCAGGGCGACCCTAATGCATTCCTGGACCTCCTTCAGGTGTTTCGGGATGAGTGCTCACGGCTAGACTTGGACGGCCCAACAAGCTCTGCCCGAGCCAGAGAAATCGATCAACTCACATTCCGTGACTTTTGTATCGAAAAGATACAGTCGGAGAGCGCTGTCACCATCGCTGATGTGCTTTCAGTCTCGTTACTTGGGGTAGAAAGCTATGAAGTCAGTGCTCTTTTCATGCTTCTGTATTTTAAGAGCGACGCTGGCATCGACAATATTATATCGGACCAGAAGAATGGTGGCCAGTACTTGCGCAACCGACAAGGTAGTCCATAATGTGTTATCACCACCTTCAAGAGTCGGTTTGTCTAACGTCACCAGGAAACCAAACGATCGCTCGGAAGATGGCAGAAGAACTGGGTCCCGACGTGATAAAGGAAGGCAATGGTCGAAGATGCCCCGCGCATCCCGTCACCAACAGGCTTGGGAGCAATTCAGCCAGGCATTTGGTCAGTACGTTGATGTCCCTCAGCCCGTTAATATTCTGGAGATGGAATGGACCAAAGAAGCCTATTTCCTTGGTGCCCCCTGCCCGATCACAACTCCAGGCACCCTGTCAATCGTGGGCAAGGAAATTGCCGCCCCGTTTGGGCACGTGCATTTTGTGGGAACCGAAACCTCTCGCGTATGGCGTGGCTATATGGAAGGTGCGATCCAGTCTGGTCAGCGAGGAGGCGCTGAAGTGGTCAAAGCCTTTTCCACAAACCCTACTTCTCGTCTGTGACGTGACAGCCTCACATGGCTTGGTAACGCCTCCTGGGCATTACATGATCTTGCCTACAAGAATGTTCCCGCCGTGTATTATTTTACTGTCTTGAATCAATTGTCTCCACTCTCATTGGTTCATTCCTCTTGGGGTCCTGGACTCCTATATCAGGATATTATGAAGAGACGATAACCTTGACCCATATTTGTAGCACTGGACTAAGTTTCGCAATTTGGGGCCCACCTCTTATCTGTAGCCGCCGATATCTGTACCCGCGTTGCCAAGGCGAGGCAGGCAGGACCCGGTCAAGGAGCAGGACAACCAAATTCTCGAAACCAACCGAAATTTCGACGTTCGTACCTTCAAAGCTATTGATATATAGGATTACAAGAGGCGCTAGCCTGCGGATGATACTCAAACAACGACTCAAAATTTTAGATTTACATAAATTAATGTAAGTTAGCGCCTCTTCGCAAAGATGGTTTATCGTTGGAAATTTCAAGTTGCTGCTGGCCGCGCTAAATATATAACCGCAGGTGGTTGGATGGCAGTCAGCAGTCATTAGAGTCCTGTTAGGAACGTGAGCTATCCAATTTTTTTTTCTCCAAGGAGTTGGCTAAACACGAATATCCACTGTGTAATCATTTTCTACTTTCTTCTGGCTTTATCGTCCCCTTCCTGTATTAATACCTTCGGCAGTGCCATTGAAATTTCCCTGCGAAATGTCAGAAAGTTCACCACAATTTGTCGTAAATCCAAAAGCCTCCCGCAGAAAGAGGAGTAGGAAGGCATGTTTCCTTTGTCACGATCGGAAAATCCGATGCGATGCGACAGGAGGCAGACCATGTACGAATTGCAGATGGTTCAAGCGCGAGTGCATCATTCCAAAAAGAAAACACGAAAGACAAGGGCGCGAAGGCGTGCCCAACACCCGGAAATCCATGCCTCGATTGTCAAGGAAGGAGGATAAGGCCAAAGATAGCAACGCATCTACAGACGATAACCAAGCTAGTATGTCTACTCAGGCAGGTGTGTTGACCTGGGAAGAGCGGAACTTGTCTAGTCCTACCGTTTTTTCAGAATCTCGGGGGCATTATAAGATGTGCCTTGATGTTGAGGTCCGAAACGTGACTTTGCCGCAATATATCAGTCCATTACCGCTTGGACTATCTTCAGCTGATCGGGACTATTTGCGGATGAAGGGTGCTTTGAATATTCCAAAGGCTGAGCTACGGGATGCGCTTCTGGAATGCTTCGCACTATTTGTCCACCCCTTATTGCCCGTCATTGATCTGGGCGACGTTTACTCGAGAATAGAAAGCAATGGTCGAACTGGCACAGTCAGCCTATTGTTGTTGCAGATGGTTATGTTTGCTGCAACTGCGTACGTGGACATTCGCATCCTCAACAAACACGGATATAATAGTGCAAGTCAGGCGCGATTGGAGTTTTTCAATCGAGCCAAACTACTCTATTCTCTCGACTGTGAACCGGATAGACTCGCAGTGTTACAGACGGTAATATTGATGACTCTCCGGTCTGACCAGCCAGACCTCATCACGCACACCCGACACCATATTTCTGTTGCAATGACGCGTGCGCAGTTAATCAACCAAGATCCAGCGATGAAAATTTCCCAGAGGCTATGGAAGCGCATCCTGTGGACTTGCTATATGAGGGATTGTATCCTAGCTATCTCCTTCCAAACACCTATGATAATCCGGTACGAAGAATTTGATATCCCTCCGCTCGAGCTTCAGGACTTTGATGCAGCATCTTGGCTGAGAGCTGTTCACTGGATATCGCGGCATACTGGAAACCCAAGCGGGAACTTATGTAACGCTCAGACACTTGCCAAGCTGTGTATTGCTTTGGTAGAATGCTGTCAGCGCATCTCATATGGTTTGAACTGTCAATATGGGACCCATCCAGGTGAAGATGGCTTTGAAGAAGAACTAGTCACGCAGTCGCTTGGCGATATTGCGGGCTCAAAGCGTGTAATTGGAAGGTTTACACAAATCTATGCCGAGATAAATGTGGAAGACCCCATCACGGGTCCCGGTGCAAAGCAGCTTGACAGTGTCTCTCTACATGAGTACTGCCTTCAGGAATTCCGATCTGAGCAAATTGCGACTCTTCTTAATACTGTTAGCCAGTCCCTCATGGGTATTGAAAGCAAGGACATTATTGCACTGGGCTTTCTCCACTATTGCAAGGCCGGAACTGGATTCCAGGCTGTGATCTCTGATACCAAGCATGGAGGTCAGTATCTTCGAATCAGACAAGGTAAGCCGCAACCCGCTACTTTGTCTTTTTATGACGCTGACTTTTCAAAAGGCACTCAGACAATCTCCAAGTTCATGGCAAAGGAGCTTAAAGAGGGCTCTCTCTGGCTTTCCACCCCAGTGACCCATATTGAGCAGTGTCAGGATACCGGTGTCTGTATTGTTCGATCTGCCAACGAAGCCGTCTTTATGGCAAAAAAGGTCATTTTGTCCGTTGCCACTCCTTTCTACAAGACGATCCAATTTTCGCCACCCCTGCCGACGGAAAAGCAGCGTCTCGCTCTGGAAAACATCCTGGGCTATTATAGCAAGATGATCTTTGTCTTTCAAAAGCCATGGTGGCGCACTGCCGGACTTTCCGGGGAGATCAAAGCGCAAGACAACGGGCCTATCTTATTCTCTATGGATACCAGCATCCCCGAGGACGACCAATGGTCAATCAGCTGCTTCATTGTTGGTGGGCGTGGCCTCAAATGGTCCAAACTGTCGCGGGAGGAGAGATATTCTTCTGCCTGCAGCCAGCTTCGCTCTGGGTTCGAGAAGGTTGAACTGGAATCTGGGAAACTAGAGGTCCCAGAGCCGATTAATACCCTCGAGTACGAATGGACTAAGCAGGAGTTCTTCCTTGGTGGCCCCTGTCCAGCGTCGCCACCAGGTCTGCTCTCCTCCGTCGACGGGGCCGCTCTTTGCAAATCCTTCGAAAATGTTCACTTCGTAGGCACGGAAACATCACTTGAGTGGAAAGGGTACATGGAAGGAGCTATTCGTTCTGGAGACAGGGGCGCTGCGGAGGTCGTTGCGGAACTCCAGGAAAGGTTTTGAGACTCATTGACATGGAAACACATTGCGGGAATGGCAGTCTCTGTGTCATTTTTCACATTTCCGACTATATTGTATTTTGTGTGATGAAGCATCTGTTGGCAATTCTGCTCTGATCATCGCGTCTCAGTACAGCGTAGATAGACCGTATGCAGAGATTAGAAACTGCGACCCCTATATAGCACATTTGTTGGTTCCCTAATAATTACCAGATTTTGAGTTTGGCATTGCCAGGGATGGCTAGTAAGCTGAATATCAAGCCGAAGCTGACCTAGATCAGATACAATAACTACCAATGATCAGCCTTCTTCTCAATCCTGAGCTTCACCAGAACTGTACCAATCTTTTAGCCACCACTTACTACTGCGTGGTGTTAGTAGATTACATTGCAATTGACCCCGCGTACGGCGTTACTACGTCTGCCACAGTGTCGTTCAACCAGACACAATCGACTTCATGCCGGAAAGTGAGGCTCGGCATCCACGGCCTTCTGGAACCAATTCTGCCAGTTCCCTCCCAAGCGGAAACCATAAAGTCCGTACAGGAGGTATTCAATCACTTTTCTGAGTTGTGGTCGTAGAAGCATCTTTTGGAATGCAATATCTAGGTTGAACATCTCGGATAATGATGGACAGGTCATGCTGATATTGTGCATCGTTCCATTCAGGACGCCACCCGTAATTTCCTCCCTTGCCCATCTAAGAAGGCTTTGAAAGAATATCACCTTTGACTCCAACAATATAATGTCTGCAACAGTTACCGTGCTTTGTGAAAATGTGACCTCTTAGGTGTGCATAGGGCCACAATCTTGTTTTGGGATCAATACCTGAGACTGCTTTCTGGATACATTATGCATCAATACCCCGTGCACCCGGTCGGGCACTGGCAAGTCATCTTTTGAAATCAAGGTTTTCCTAAACAATACGACTATAGTACGGCGGTGTGATGTGCTAAGAATATCCCTGGACTTACCACAAGTCAGAATGTAAATGACCCTTGGGAGTATAATGAAGACTAGATTAATGTAGCCTGATTTATTAAGAAGACCGCGACATTGCCCACCTTTCCTTTAGCTTAAAAAGTACCGTGTTCTATCGGATCAGACTCTTTACATTTTGGCCTTGTACCTAAATCCAGATATCACCTATAGGGTTACTATCAAGATGGCAATCACTTTGTCTGACCTTACTATCTCGGACGTGCCTGGTATGATTGCAGTCGGTATTGCAGTCGGTTAAGCTTCACGTATATTATCGAAAGAGTAGGTCAGAAGAACTAACGCCGAAGATAAGTCCAGCTTCTCATTCCAATAACAATGCCAATTGTTCTACTTGGATTTATGAGATCCTCGCTGCCCGCGTTATCTGCTAGTACTTGGTCAGTATTGACAGGAATCTACCAACCGGGCTATAGTCAGTTAAAAGCTAACATCTGACAATAGGTCTGACTTACCTGGAGAGCTTCATTCTTCATCTTGGCCCACAATCCTAAGTACAGACTCTTCGGCATCAGGAGGCTATGCGGTCTCAGTGGTATCATGGTCGAGGATTGCCGCGAAAATCTTAACAGCAGTTGTTATTATAGTAACACCCCTATGGTTATATCAAGACATTTTTGCACATCATCCAGGCATTTTTATAAGCAGCAGAAGAGATCCAGGTACGGAGAACCCCTATCTGTCTTCGGTGGGTCCCAGGACACTGCGATAAACTGGGGAATAAGATGGCGGACCGCCTAGAAGAGGAATCAGTCAGCCCCAAGAAGCAAATACCCCTTTCAACATCTCCTATCCCGAGAGAGAGGGTTTATTCGACAGAAGATTATAAAATAATGAGAACAAGAATAGACGACCTCCAAAGGCGGGCACCTCTGCTAGATTAATAAAACACTACCCTAAATTCACGCACGAAGGCTATACGGCTCGCTTCGACAGAACCAAGCATACTTATACAACTGAGAACCGGCTACTCATAGCTAGCTCTATACCGTAAATTACTCGGTTGCCAAGAAGACAATATATGCGTATATAGGGTCAAAGAGACGGTAACTCACGCACTAGTCAACTGCCCAAAGCTATGGCAACCTCGCCAGGATTTACAGGTGAAGATCGGAGCAGTATCTCGTGGATATTGGGAGCAACCCAGCAAGGCAAGGAAGGTAAGGGGGGCCAACCTTCGCAAAATACTAGCATCGTAAAGGCGGTGCTGGATTTTGTGGAGGCATGTCAGGGATTTCGCAGTCGCGCGTCACAAGGACTGCAGAACAGAACACTAGGTATTGGCCAACACAGGCTTTGACGAGGCTCCAAGTTAATAGTCTACTGCAAATGGAAGAGAAAGATAGATACCCATAGTTGGATCTTGCATATCGCTATAGGCGGGGGGTCAGTGTATGAATACACCCCAACCCCCTTGTAAGCTTTGGCGGCACCTTCTTTAAAAATCTCGAAAGTTCGTCCGGAAAGGGATGGGATGCCTTTTCAAGGGAGAAGAGGCGCTTTCCTTGTTCTATGGCATCCTCGATAAGAACATCCACAACCGATATATTATGGACACTTATCGACATATTGAGGCTACAATCCAGAGGTAGTTCAGGAGACCTTAAGCAAGTGCCTGACAATCCCATCATGGTTATGATAGGATATATCCCAGAAGGCGACGCGCACAAGGCTTCTTCCCCAATCTCGTATCTTAGTAACAGCCCCAGGAGTAGTTTCACTACTCCCACGCTGCCTGATACAGTATAGGACCAGATTAATCCCAATCAATTTAACGTCCAGCATGTACATAAACCCTCACGTTTCAGAAGAGAATAAAGGAATAATCGATCTTCCTCTAAGTACAACAGTCTATAGAATATATGCTGACCGCGGGTTCCCTCTTTGGCCTACCGCCTACGCGTGCCTTTGTCAGATAGTCACGCAGCTAAGACCTCAGAAGTAGAAGAATCAACGTTTTCGACCTCCATGATAGTTTATCAATACATATTATTCTTGCCCTTCTGATTCATGTCATGACAGTATCGCAGCAGGTACTTAAAAAGTTCTTCCCGACCCTAGGTTGGCCAAAAGTCAGCGACTTATCAGTTCCTATCTAAGAAGCGCTCTGTGGATTTCTCGATTAACTGTAACCATGACAAGGTGCGATAGCAAAACACTGATAATAATTCTGAATCGACGATTCAGACTCCCTGGTCAGACCTATATAGCTTCTCACCGTTACAGCGCCATTGGAATCCCTGGAGTATTTGTAGGGTCTGATAAGAATTATCTCATGATGATTCAAGAAGGCCAGTAGTTTTTTAAAAAACATATTGTCAGGACCAGTGGCTCATGCAAGTGCTCTCTCTTTACCTCAGTATCTCTTTCTATAACCCTACCTGCTTCATATACTCTATGTAAACAATGAAGGTTAAAGCAAATATTGCCATACTGTTTATAGGTTTAACTATAGCCGGCGCAGTTCTTAACAGAACTAAAGAAAGCCTCGCAGTTAGAAGACTTACAAAAAATAATATCTGCGGCTACAGCGGCGTCCTTAACACTAATGGCAACTGTAATTACTACACCTGCCCTAGTGGCAGCGGACAAAACTCTCAGATCGCACTCTATCAGCACATGTGCAGCAACCTTTGCGGTAGCCATATTGACATCAGTACCTACTGTTGCGGGTCTTGCTGTAATCCTGGACCTTGTCTTCATCGCTGCACCTAGGTCACTACCCTCATCGGTGAAATTTATTGCGACGCTAATCTCTGCCTCAACTACCGTAACTGCTAAATATTCTATTTGCAACCTTCTGATAGCCATAAATATTTTGGGTTTGAAAGCTCTCAGCCGTTGAATTGAGTTTCTCATTAGCATTTAAGCTCGGCCGACTACTAGCAGACTACAGCCACTCAGTACTTATATATCAATTTAAAAGTTCTTTAAGCCAAATTCATATTATACTTTATATTGCATCAACTGTCCCATCCCCACATCTTATACATAAGGAAGCTCTATTCAATGGCCAAGAATAGCGATATACAAAATTCCCTGCATAAGGAAAGAAAACACAGACCTCTCGGGGGACTCTCGATTAGATATCTGGCAGAGAATAAGTAGAAATTCTACTTAACTGAATACTAAGTGAAGCCTTATCAAAGAGCTTGCTGCTGACAGCCAAACATGAAGCATTAAGGCCTAGTCGCCGGAAGTGTCTCCTGGGCCCCTGCATGGCCATCATCCCTTTACAATAAGAAAATGTTACCACCATGTCTAGGAGGTCACTGAGCCGAGGTACATCAATACGCCAGTGCCCCATTACATATGTATCTTCAACAGGGTTCAGAGACTAATTTGTAACAGATCGGCTTATACTGTTCCTCCGAATACTGCAGATGTACTTTGCAGGCGCTTTTAATTAAGAGCTACTCATACAATTCAGCCAGGCCAGTATTCATACCAAGAGATATGTCCTTACAAATAGATATACATAGGAACATCAAAATATGGTCAATAAGTGGTATGGATGGCAGAATACACCCTGCATCCCTGACGTACCAGGGCATAGAACCCAAAATACGGAGCGGGTCCTAGATGTAGAACCTGGGTTGGGTGGGCTCGGGGCGGGCCTAGTGGGGCACCTGATCAACTCTCCTACAGCACGCCGGAGGAGCCCTTTTACAGACCCACCCTGACCCTCAGCCACTAAACCCTGATCTCCTCGGAGCTGGGACCCCGGTCCTTACCGATTACGTTATATAAGTTTGCCGTGATTCCACTAGATTTCTGCTGTGACTTACCTTTTCCCTTAAAATCACCGCCCATATCCTGCTCACCGACACCTAATCTAACTCTCTAGACTGCCCGGTTTTCCCTAGCATCATGACTGGCACTAACTTCCGTGTCGCCATTCTCCAGAATTATCCAATTTCAGCACAAGGTGGTGAACGTATGATTGAGAATATCTCGAAGCTTGTCCTCAACTCGAAACCCGACGTCGAAATCAATGTTTACGCACCGATCCAGGGCGACGCATTCCCTGATCTAGATAACAATGATCTAATCATTTTCACTGGGGGTCCTTTTAATCTTTTAGAAGATGAGAAGCCTTCATGGGTATCTGAAACCTTGGATTTCATTAAAGCCGCCACCACAAATCGGGCAAAGCCGAAGCTTCTAGGTATTTGCTGGGGTCATCAAGCAATTGCGTTGGCCCTTGAGGGCTCAATGGGGGAACTGAAGACAGGTCCTTGTGTAGGCAGTCCTATATACAAACGAAAATGACTGAAGCTAATGTCTTAGATTGGCGTTGAGACTATTTCGTTGACCGCTAGTGGTGCCACATTCTTCAATGCTAGATCACTGGTCTGTGCCGCGGAAAATATCAAAATCGGGAACGCTAAACTAATTTCGGTAGGACATACACAAACACCATAAACTTGCTGTGATCGACATTGGCCCTCACCTTTCTTGCTTGGGTGTCAACAATGAAATTCTTTTATCGAAGGATAACCAGGTCCTCACGTTTCAAGGTCATCCAGAGCTTGATGCAATTCTGTCCCAATTACTTATGGATACAGACGACCCGTCCGCTTCGCTTCAACCTAAGTTAAAAACAGGCATTAAGGCTATTGATGCACCCCATGATGGCGAAGTGATCTTTACGGCAATTATGAAATGGGCCTCGGGGGAAACACGTCACCTAGCTCCATAAGCAAAGCTAATTATGTAGGTTGGCAAAAATACCATAAACTAGCTGAAACATCGTACGGGGCTCAATTGCAATTGGTTATGGTCGCTACGCAATTGTATATACTGCTAGACTCACATGGAGCAACTCTATATGCCGCAATATATAAACATGGATCTATTATTCAATGAAAGCTAAGCTTTTGATGGTAAGGCTAGACGTCGTTACCACTATTTGCCTCGTCGAAGTTGTTTGCGCCGTGTATTTTAGAGCTCCCTATATCATTCTTCTATTAGGGGTGTTCTACCCCCCTCTCCTCTTTAGTTTTATCTTTTAGTATGAACCTGTGAATAGGATCGCTCCCTATTCATGGAGGTTGTCACAAAACTCTAGATTGAAGAAAGTCTGTAAGATCTTCTTATGGCGTAAGGAGCATCTTAGATTACAGTGTAAGTTGTGCCTCATGAGAGTCCACTGGCTGCTCAGAGATTGATAGATGTGTAACGCACTCAATACGCGCACAAACAGTGCGCAAGTTAATTATACAAGATATTCGCAGACTGCCTTTTCACTTGCCAGGCTTTCGACCACGTCACTGAAATATCCAACTACATAATCCGCAGAATCTCTATCCAATACTTGATTGGATATCGTCATGGTGATCATCAATGTGGGCCCATGAGGGACAACAAGCACATTGGCCGTGCTCGATGGTCGATTCGGAAGACTATACAGACCTGTTTCACAGGTATCTCCATCAAAATAGCAAGTCGATTCGTCATTGTTGGTGAAGTTTTGGAACCTCACAAAGCTGCCAAATTTTGTGCCAGCTTCCCAAGATGTGCAATGATGGGAAATTTCGCCAAGTCCAAGATTCTCAACAGGCATGGTTTGAATGTGCTGCTGTTGGACCTGGTCAAGAAGGTCAAATTTATTCGAGCGCGGAGGAAAGTGTACTCGCACAGGGATGATGTTGAGGCATGGACCGACAATCCGGTCTTCGTGGGAGATTCCAAGTCCTCGACCATGTATGACCTGCCCAAAAACAACATCGTTCAAGCCCTGCTCGCACCCATCATCTTCCTGAAATGAGGTAAATAGTCGAGAAAGAGTGATTGCCCACGCCAGTTTGACCAATGTTGCCATTGTGATGTTGGGTGGAGGAGAGATCGGTGAAGTCTCTGCAATTGCCGTCACCACTCTTGGCTGTTCTGAATTTGTGCCTATATTTGGATTCTCCTTTTCGCCGAGCCTATCCCAATTGCGTGAGAACTTGTTGTTCAAGGTGGTCATTGGGGCCTCTCCCAGTACCTCCTTCCATACATTATAGGTCTCTGGTGTCCTTTTATCCCAGACATATTGAATGTGGTCCGAAAACTGAGCACAAGGCGGAAGCGATTTTCCGCTGTATGCAGAACTGAGATCACCGCAGATGATACTCAAGGAAATCCCATCAAATAGGGCATGAGGTAATCGCAGAATTAGAAACATCCCTGCGTCCCTCACAGTCACGAGCTGTACCTGAAATCCTAGCTCACCGTTTATGGGTACTCCCATGGCAAGCGAATCTTCTGCGCAATGATTCTCCAGGCTTTCGATGTTTTCATAATGAATGAAGCTGATGTGAACCTTGCGCAGGATCAGTTGTATGACCGATGTGTCACTGTTTGTGTAAAAGACAGTGCGCAAGACGGAGTGTTTCTCGACGAGCTGACAGCAGGCTTTCAATAGCTGCTCTTGATTCACTACGTCAGGCAGGGAGATCCATAAGTATCGGCAGTAGAAGTTATGGAGCGTCATTGTTTGGAATTCAGTGGCGGGAATGGCCTCCACAATGTTGTCGACAATCTCCTGTGGGAGGTGATGAAGGAGTTTGTCATAAGCAATTTTGCAGTGATGCGATGGATTCATGCTTGGTGCAGATAGTTCACGGCAGATAGACCGACTTTTAGAGGTCATACTATTATCTCCATTGTCTATAGCGGACTGCGACGCTATTCTTGAAAGAATCTGGTGTGTGAAGATATTCGCAACTGTCAAGTGTATTCCTCTGCGTCTTGCAAGCATGGAGGCATGCATAGCCGAAATTGAATCCCCCCCAAGGCCAAAAAAGTTGCTGTTCATGGGTATTGATTTCGTATCCAGATTGAGAGCTTGGCCAATGATCTGTTGGATTTCCCGGCCATGCGCCGTGATAGGAACTTCTTCTGCAGGGAGATTCCTACTTCTTAATTGATATAACTCTAGTCTCTTGAGCGACCAGCTTGTGGATTGATCCCGGAGTAGGCGCCGATTCACTTTACCCGATAAGGTGAGAGGAACATCAGCAAGCGGTATGAAGAAGGATGGAAGCATGTATGCCGGAAGTATCTCTCTTAGAGATGTTTCCAATGATTGAATAGTCGAGTAAAACCGATCGCTTGGGGGCCCAATCAATTCTAAACCACCGATCTCCAATGATTCGTCGTTGAAGGACTGTCCCCAGTCTCCTTCTGCCTGTGGACAAATAAATGCAACAAGCGAGACTCGGTTGTTTTGTTCTCGAATCTGGATACACTCAACAGCAGCGATTCTGATAGCTGTGCATGAAGAGGTTATGCAATGTTCGACTTCTCCCACTTCAAGCCTCTGCCCGTGCAATTTTACCTGGTCATCTTTCCTTCCGACAAACAGAAGTGATCCATCCGATGTCTGTTTGACCAGGTCTCCCGTTTTGTACAGCTTTCCACTGTAGGAACGGACCTCGGCAAGCCAAGGCGGACTAGTAATGAAGACTTCCTTTGTCTTCTCTGGGTCGTTGAGATACCCAGACGAAACTACGGGACCTTCAACGATCAACTCGCCGACTGTGCCTATAGGAACGAGCCGATTGTGATTTGACGGATGAGCTACCCAAGAAACTGCTCCAGGACTTCGACCAATGTTGGAGTGGTGAGTGTCGGGCAAAATTCGCGTGATATGAGAGATAACGGTACATTCCGCCGGTGCGTACATCGCGAATAGTTTCACCCTGTGAGCCCACACGTTCACAATATGTGGAGTAAGAGGCTCGCCAGCAGATCCTAGGACTTCCAAAGTGGGGACATCTGATGGGTCGAACAGATTGATCACAGAGGGAGTTAGAAGTGCCCAGGTTACTTGGAGGTCACATGCGGCTTTTGCTGGGTTCCCCCTTCGATCCTCCTCATGGGGTACACAGATACATGCCCCTGCCGCAAGGGTAAAAAGGATCTCGCCGATGCTTATGTCAAACGCAAAGGAGGCGAAATGAAAGACGCGACTGTTAGGGGCAAGCATTCCATAGTGGCGCATGACAGATGCACTTGTGGCGAGAGCACTATGTTGAAGCACAATGCATTTAGGCAGCCCGGTAGAACCTGAGCTGAATACGGTGCACGCAGGGGCATCAGGAGTGGCAACTGCAGTGGGTGGCTTGGGTTCAGAGGCTATGGTCTGTCTACCCAGACTCTGTACATGAGACTCGGGGTCAAAGATGATGACCGAAATTAGAAGATTTTCACTGATATGGGCATGCTCCTTAAATGAAACGACGATTCTGGCATCAACCATAGAACACATCGTTCGCAACCTCTGCATAGGGTGTGAAAGGTCCAGTAGCACAAAAGCAGCGCCAGTCTTCAGAACTGCGAGCATGATAACTGCAACCCAGGGTGACCTCTCTAATAAAAGGGGTACAAAGTCACCCTGCTTGACTCCTATTCCTATCAAGCGGTGCGCGAATTGATTGGAATAATTCTCAAGCTGCGCATATGTCAGGTCCAAATCGTCGGAGTGAACAGCAAGTGCTTCAGGCTGGGTAATACATAAATGGCGAATGCGATCATGGATGCACGTGTCCACAGCTTCCGGGAGCGAATAATTCCATTTTCTCAACATAGCCATATCCTCCGGAGGTACCAGGCTAACATCTGCGATGCGTATTGAGTCGGATGTCATAAGCTGGCGGATAACATGCGCCATCTGTCTGAGAATACTATGTCCGGCGGTGGGTGCCAGAAAAGCAGGCTCAAATGCTGCTTTCATGGTGATTCCACTCTTTTCTGGGCGGCAAACTAACATCATCGGGTAGCTGGCGAAGACTTTCGCGTTTTCAGAAGAAGAGGCTGAGTTGACTGGTGTTTCGAACATAGGAGACGCGGTTTGTTGCTCATACGGTTGCACGACGAGTAGATTCTGGAAGTTGCATGCCTCAGCAGCCTCTCTCCCAGCTTTTCGAATACGAGATAATCCCGTTTGTTCATAACCCATCATGTTGGCAAATTGTTCTTGGACCTGGGATAGGCCCTCGTGGACAGGTCGGCTCGTTGGCAGTTTGATGCGCACCGGCAGTGTCGCCAAGGTCGGTCCGCTAATTTGATCGATTCTATCAATGTTTGCGTTACGGCCACTGACAGTGGCTCCAAACACCACGTCTTCGCTGCCGGTTTGGTGCCACAGGACAATCGCCCACGCAAGCCGTAAGATGGACGAAACGGTATACTTGGTGCGAAATCCGGTATAAAGTTGCAGGCCATGTTCTAGAACTACCTTCTCGGTCGCATGTCCAATGTTGATCGGGCTTGAAGTGCTAGTTGGGAAATGCTCCACCTGGAGGCCAGAAAATTCCTGACGCCAGAAATCCTCTACGGTAGTATCACGTTCATGAAGAAGGTGCTGAACGAATGGACTGAATGGCTGCGTATGAAGCGTTTCCCCCGCGTATGCCCGCTCAACCTGTGCCAAGATCAGGTCAAGGGACCATTCGTCAAACAAGGCATGATGAATATCCAGCCGGAAAGATTTTTTGCTGTAATAAAACTGGACAAGTGGACCGTTATTGATATCAATTTCTGTCCATTTTTGCCTATCTCCACAACCAGTGATATCAGTGATATCAGTCACGGTTTTCCACGGCATATTAGTCCTTATGACGACCTGGAAGATACCGTCTGGGATTTGCACGACTCTGGTACGAAGAATTGGATTGTGGAACCAAACCTCCTTCCATGCATATTTGAATCTCTCCGTGTCGAGCGTTTTGGCCAACTCCCAGGTGTAGCTGCCAATATATGCATGAGGGTTTTGCGCCGTCAAGGCTATTAACCCTTGCTGCATATGGGTGCATGGGTATACATCCTCGATGTCGTCAATGTGCATATTAATCTCTTCCAAAATCGCATCAAGTACAATCTGGGGGTTGTCCATTAATGAAAAGGGGGCAGGTGCTGGTGGCAAAGGCTTGTTGTCTTTGACTAGCACTGACGCCATATCCGACAAAGTCGAAAATCTAAAGATATCAGACACCGATATAATAAAGTCTTCCTGACGAAGGCTAGCAGTCAATTTGATTGCTGCAATGGAATCCCCGCCCCGCCGAAAAAAGCAGTCGTGACGCGTGATACTTGCATCTTTGATAGCCAGAATATTGGCCCAAGATTGGATAAGAACTTTCTCTCTTGGGGTGGTTGCGATTTCGTTGTGGTTTGTATCAGATGCATCATGGTTCCTCTTCTGGTCATCAAAAAGCGCATGTACAGCTGTTTCCTGTAGATGGAGTCGATTAATTTTGCCTGATGTTGTGAGTGGCATGTGTTGCAGAAAGATGAAATCCACTGGAATCATGTATGTTGGTAAGCAATGCAGAAGGTGCTGTTTGAGTGCTGCTTTCAGGGTTTCCCTGTCCTTCAAATTCGTTGACATCATTTCACACGGGCTATCAGGCCCTCTAGACGTATCAAGGCCCAGAAAGGCGAGAAGCTTGGTGGAGCTATTTGCCTCGTTCTTGGCGGCGACGACGGCTATATGAAGAAACCCAGACTTGGCGACTTCGAAGCATGCCGCTATATGATGCTCAATTGCCGTCAGTTCGAGGCGCTGTCCGTTAACCTTCACTTGATGATCTTTTCTTCCTACAAAATGCAGCGACCCGTCAAGATTGTACCGCACCAAATCGCCTGTGTGGAAGACCCGCTTCCCCGAATCTGTCTCGCCAAACTCTTCACGAATCCTTTTCTTCCACGCTGGGCTTGAAGTGAACTGCTTTTCTGTTCGCTCCTTGTCACCCATATAGCCACGTGCAACGGATGGCCCCTCAATGACCAATTCACCCAGTGCACCAATTGGTGCCAGTTTATCGGGTTGGTCAATCGCGACGACCCATAAAGTTGATCCACATCCAAAGCCTATATTCCCCGGGTAACAGTCTGCTTGAATATCCGATGCTAACGCTGCTATTCCAGCACTTTCGCTGACCCCATAGGCATTGAAAAGCCGCACGTGCTTGGCCCAAGTAGAGACATGGCTATCGGTCATCGGCTCCCCTCCAAGAACCAACGCTTGAAGGCTCGGACATGATGCAGGAGTCAGGGTACTGGCCAAGGACGGCGTCAGGCTTGCTAAATTGACAGAGTGGCGATTCATGAACCCAGAGAGATCATTTAGACGATCAATCTCAGAAGGGATGCAGATGCACCCGCCAAACATGAGTGTAATAAGCATATCGCGATTGCTCACATCAAATGTATACGATGCAAATTGCAACATCCTCGTCGCAGGGGTAACATTAAGGGCTTTACCATTGGCCATAGCCATCGAATAAAAGGCAGAATGCTCAGTAATTATGCCTTTCGGCGCACCGGTGGTCCCAGAAGTGAACGTTATGTACATGGCGTTTGACGTGCTTGTTTCCGCTGTCAATTGTGGTGGAACCTCATCAACAGGTAGTGAGTCCAGAAGTTCACAGCACTCCTCCCCAATTGGGATGGCCTTGCCAGCGAAGGATTCGGCAAGTGTACGATGTCTTGGCGAGCATAGCACAATTTCAGGACACAGAGATGAGCATAGGCTCTGGTTATAGCGTACTGGATGGGAAGGGTTGAGAAAGAAATACGCGCCGCCAGCCTTTAGGACACCTAGCAGGGAAATGACTGCATATTTCGATTTCTCAAATACAAGGGGGACGAAGATTTCTGGACCAACCCCAAAGTGTTGAAGCCGTATTGCCAGGGCTGATGACAGGCTATCCAACTCTGCATAGGTAAGCTCACCATCCCAAGCTGACACAGCAGTGGACTCTGGCTGTGTAGCACATTTCTGGGAGATTCTGTGATGTATGCAGCGTGTGAAACGTACTTCATCACCCGATACGCTGTTCCATTGCAATAGACAGTTGATGTCTACATCACTGCATATATCGAGCGCTTCAATCTGAGAATCAATGTGGAAAACTATTTGCTCGGTGGCTTTGGCTACCGTTGCCGCAATCATTGCAGCCAAATCAGTTGATATGGTCGAGACTTTGTGGTGAATCACAATGCTAGGGCAATGTGTCTTTGTTCCTTGCGAGAAAGCGATGGCTAGATCAAACTATATTGTGCCTGTTAGTATCACAAGACTTTTTGCTCGACTACTTCAAGACATATAATTACCTCGCTCAGGTCACAAAGCCTCACACTGTCACATTCGTCTTCGTGTCCTTCAATAACATAGACAACAGAGTTGGCTATCAGACCAGTGGCGCCATTTCCTTCATGTAACTCCACGTGGCGTATATTGAAGAGACTGCGCACAGACTGTGATAGCGAAACATGACAGTAGCAACTTCTTCATTTGGAGCTGTCAGTCAAAACTCAAGAAGGCCACCGTGAGCTACATACTTTTTTGGTTTCAGGCATCTAAACCAGACGTCGTTAGAGCCAGTATAAGACCGAAGCGAAATTGACCATGCCGCCTGAAGAAGTGCCAAGTGGCTTTTGTGCTCCTCGTGTAACCAATCGACCAGAAATTTGCTACTTAAGCCTTTACATGGAACGTTGACCGTGGCTATTCGCGTTTCGCTGTCCTGAGAGTCCTGTTGAATCCCATTTTGCGGGGCAAACCATGGTAATCTCGAAGCGGCGGCCATGGGGAGTCACTTTCGAGATAGAGATTACTTGAGTGACAGCTAATCAGAAAGTTTGATGGATCTCCACAGGTCGTAAATAAATGGGCATCGGTCTTTGATGCCCATAGCTGTCTCATGTTCTACTCAACCCTTTTTTAAATGGGTGCTACGTAGAGAGGGACTTGATTGAAACGCCTCACATAAGCTCGAGACGAGTGGCGTTTTCACCGACATGCACTACTTGCGTGCTCAACGGAATTATGAAGTGGCCCGCCTCCTATCAGGTGGAGTACATCCTGCGTTCTGAGGCATGCATAGAGCGGAAACCAGTATTGGATGAAGATGATTGACAAGGATTATTATTTCATTGAATAACTAAGGTGTTTGATACAAGGTCCTCGCGATCCACAACTCGTATATGCAGCTAAGCCATGCAGGTCCGAGATACAATTCTACACCAAAGTGTTTGCCGAGCGGCCTAAACAGCAAAAATATATATCTTTGGCTTGGCAATTAAAATAGCCACCACACTTTGAAATTACTAGTGATTTACGGGATGAAATATATATATACGTATATAGAACAGTGACTGCCGAATAAGGAAATCAATTTTTTTTTTTAAAAACCCTAGCCTTTAATATACTAGCAGTTTGCCGAAAACAAGTGATCCTTACAAAGGTTAACATGTCTTGTAATATCCAGCAGAAGAAGATTGAAGACGTAAAAATAAATCATAAAATAAAAAAAATACAAAGATAAAAAGAGTGATAAAGGAGAATTGATACCGGAATCCAATAACTCTCGTCGACGAGGTAGCGAAGACCGACTCCAAAGACAGACACTCCTGTAGTTGTCGGAAACGGAGTATGTACATTAATTCTCAGTATCGTAATTTATGTGTATCGGAGAAGGAGTAAGAATACAGGCAGTTCAACCCCCCTCGCAGTCAGATTTACTTTCGGGTACGGCGCCCCGCGGAGCCGCCCGGCAGTGGGGCAGAGGGACGGCCCCACCTGTAATACGACCTTGTCGTAAATTACATATAGTAAATTGCACGATACTAGTGGATACCATACCGATTCAACATATTTTCAAGTGAAATTTATGATAAAAGGCCAAATTGCCTTCTCTGTTCAATTTTATATTCTGTCGTCTTAACTTTGATAACAATGTGTGGAATAAGTGCGTTTCTGAGCCACACTGGAGAGGCTAGCTCAAATGAGCATTTCGAAGCCCAAGCCCAGCATGTGGCAGCTGAATTGGAGAACAGTCTGAATATTGTTAGCCATCGTGGACCAGATGCTCGCGGGCGTTGGTTTAGTGACGATTACCAAGTTGGTAGGCCTCTTAGTCCCCGGCTACTGTCTAGATATGGATAGATACTCAGATCTTCTCAACAGGCCTTGGTCATGTTCGATTGTCGATAATGGATCTCAGTCCCAGTGGAAACCAGCCGTTTCATGACGAAACCAACAGCATTCATGCCGTTGTGAATGGTGAACTGTATGACCACGAGCATTATCGTGCCCAGTTAGCGAGTGAATTCCAGTTTGCGGGAACCAGTGACTGCGAAATCGTCATTGCATTGTATAAACATTATGGCCTCTCTTTTCTATCTCATCTGAGGGGGGAGTTTGCTTTTGTGATCTGGGATGCGAGCCGCGAGTTACTCATAGCAGCTAGAGACCGATATGGAATCAAATCACTGTATTATACAGTGTTCCAGGGCAAGTTATTGGTGGCAACGGAGATCAAGTCTTTCTTGGCATTTGGAGTACAACCGGAATGGTGTGTTCGAACATTGCGAGACCAGAGCTGGAGAGTTGAATCGCGCACTTTCTTTAAAGGCATACACAGGGTGAGTTTACTGTCGATCACATGGCTGCCAATAATGGGCCTGTTTCTAAAGACATCCTAGGTTCTCCCGGGACACTATCTGATATGTCGGCGGAACGAGAAAGAAGAGCAAAAGTCATACTGGGATCTTGAGTACCCCGATAAAGTAAGAGCCTCAACCTCTTTCCCAGAAGTCTTGACTGACGATCAATGCTCCCTAGATTTCCCATGAGATGCGATCGGAAGAGGAAATGGTGCAAGGGGTGAGGGAGCGTCTTCTGGAGGCTGTGAGAATCCGACTGAAAGCGGATGTTCCAGTAGCTATCTACCTCAGTGGCGGAATAGATTCATCATCAGTTGCTGGAATGGTGGCCGAGCTCATTAAACAGGGGACAAAGTTAGGTAGCGAGCCTAAATCGGACCTGTCGAACATGAAATGCTTCACCGTGCAGTTCGACGAAGATAGCGGGGCAGATGAGTCGGGTATATTAACCCCCGCCACCGCACCCAATAATATTCCTTCCTTCCTTGCTGACAAGTTCTAGAAATTGCGCGACGCACAGCGGAATGGCTGGGTGTTGATATCCATTTCGTTAAAATGGACGAAGAGGCACTGGTATCACGCTTTGAGGACGCTGTTTGGCACAGTGAAATTCCTCTCCCCGATCTCAACGGTATGGGACGATTGGCACTGGCAGAAGCCGTACACGCTCAGGGTATTAAGGTTGTGGTCACTGGTGAATAGTCCCTCCTAACAGGAAGCATGGTTCTGCTCGTTGGAGTGGCGTCTCTAATATCCTTGCAGGAGAGGGCTCTGATGAGCATTTTGCGGGCTACCTTGCGTTCCGGGCCGATTCTCTTAGCGAGCCCGACCATGCATGGCCAGCGCTACAGATCGCCGATACCGAGCGTGAGGAAGCATTGCGTACGGCTATAGACCAAGTCACATACGGGATCTTCGGCGATTATACTGGGACTGTTCCAAGTGCGACGAGGCGTATGCTGAATCATAGCCATGTCACCAGCTCTATCGCAAGAGTTGGCAGTCTGCCATTCTCAGAATGGACGAACTCTTACGGGGATGATATACCGGAGACGAGTCTCATTGAGGGGTTCGATGGGCGTGTCCGCGACAATATAAAAAACCGGTGGCACCCCCTTCATACCGCTCAATACCTATTCACCAAGTCCTTTTTGCCTCATTTTATCCTGCGGTATAATGGGGACAATATTGACATGGTCAATCAAGTCGAAAGTCGTTGTCCCTTCCTTGACCATCATCTGACGGAATATGTTAACAATGTGCCACCCAGTCTCAAAATGAAGTACAACGCGAGGGAAAAGTCCTTTCGGGAAAAGCATATTCTCCGAGAGGCTGTGAGACCTTATGTTACCGACGAGGTTTACAATATCAGCAAGAAAGCCTACATGGGTCCAAGAAAGTTCTGGCCAGGTGGACCATTACACCGAAAAATCAAGCACCTCGTCACAAGGGAAAATGTGGAAAGCCTGGGATTTCTAGACTGGAATGCTACAGAAGAAGCCGTGGAAAACGCTTTTAGCAAGCAGGAACCTTTGGCACTCCGCCGCGCGATTACCGTGGCCCAGTTTATTGTTCTCGGGCAGCGCTTTGGAATCAAGCCAGCTGGTGCCCTGCCGAATTGAGGGTATCACATATATGTAGCACCTTGTTCGGAGATCTGGTTTACTCAACTCCCAAGATAATAGATTCTCCAGTTTGAACTGCCCTGTCATTTGTATGAACAATACTTGGTACTATACTCGGCCGGAAAGTAACTGGGTGGCAACCGGGCTTATTGATCAGGGGGTTAATAAGAACGTCTGCCAGGTGTCTAAAGATGCAATCTCTTCAAGGCGTAAACGGTTAGGGCATTTGAAAAGCTGCTTCGTGATATTTACATTACAAAGAGAGGCAAAGCAATACACCGGAAAGCAATCGTTTTCAGCATGAATTTATCATCATTTTGACGTGCGCCAGGGCGCTTTATTTGGTAGTGAATCACCAGAGTAGTACGTCGTTCGGTTCTCACTGGCTTGAGAGTGACCACTCGAAGACGTAAACTCTAATCTTTTCTCCCTCTTCTACTATTTTTCATTGTATCATATAATGCGAACATGCCTATCAAACTACCTGGTACTAAATACAAATAAAAAAAAAAAAAGAAACAAAAAAAAAAAGCCTGACAGAATTGATCTTGGGATTTTCACCAAAATGCTGCACATCGTACCTCGATACTTTCCCGAGCTTCAGATACGGTATCCTGGCCGTCCAACTCGAATGCACTATGGATGGCTCCCCCGACTCCCAGATTAGACAGTTTATCGACCCCTTCTTGTGGTGCTCTTGCATACGCTTCCATCTCGTTGTCAAACAGTTGGATTATCAAGACTTCAGAAGGTTGTTGCTCTGAAATGAAGTGCCAGTCATGCGCCTTTTGTTCCTCATCCCGTGGCCCATACGCCAGATAGCCTTGCGATTGAAATGTTCCATTATCCTCGTCCAATGTAACATCCCGAACCTGTTCTTCGTTGGCATCGTTCACGTTCAAAGCGTTGGGATCAATGATCCGCGATAGATGAGCAGGAATATGGGAATCCATAGGCTCAAACTGGTCAGCAGGCACATAATCAGATTCAGGAAAGGAAGCACAGGATGACAAAGCAAGAGGGTCCCGATGGACTGTTTTCAAGGGCCGCCATATCGAGAACAGCGCGAATCGAGGTATCCCATCATCGCCCTTCTGCTCCCCCCGATAAAAGTTCTTGAGGTCATCCCATTGCACCCCAGATTCAAGCAATCGATTCTCCGCTTTGATCACTCGCTCAGCCGCTGAAGCAACTTCGCAATGGTACTTTCGAATGTGGTACCTAGCACCCTTCGGGGAAACATCAAGATGCACTTTCGGGGCAGGACATATACCATCTGTCGTCGAATTTCCCCAAATCGGTGGAAATAGTGGAGGTATGTGGTCTTTGTCTGAGTTTTGTCCGTTCTCTTCTGCTTGTGGAGCAGAAGTTGGATCGCTTTCGTTGTAGATTTCGCTTCGAAGCACTGCTGCAGATACCACCGCCTTCTTACATCCCGTCACTTGTTGAACAAGTGCCTGTACTTCTGGGAAATAAATTTCACGAAGCAGATGCTCATTATTCCAACTTGTACGATCGTATGGAGCTGCATGCAGGGACGAGTGATGTCGGCGCGCGGTGAAACCATGAACGGACAGCTTGTATGGGGACTCCTCTCCAAGTCCTAAAGAGGGTTTCATGTCCGTGAGAGGTAATGTACGAACATCGCCGAACTCGGAAAGAGATGGAAGCAGATATGCTTCTTTTCTTGGAGCTGGCTTAGCCCCTCGGATCAGGTAGCGGAACTTTCCCTGGGGAGGCGTAAGGGTAGCCATATCCATTCTAGGCGAAGACGATGATCTAAAAAAAGGAATATTGAGAGCCCTGTGTGATTGAAGATCAATTGACACGGACGGTCTACATGGGGCTGTGTCGGCGCTTTATGTTTGCGTCATAATACCACTGTATCGCATCTGGCTGCCTGAATCGTGGCTCAGTTGCTGCCCTGCGTGCGCAGATACTTCTAGAGCTCGGGACTATTCTGGCTTCTGACAAACCCTGGTGAAAGGAACCTTGTCCTCGGAGGACCGGACGCAATCCCTAATTCCGGATAGCTAGACCCGGCCACTAGAATATGGCAGACTGCCGGTACTTTCTCATTACGTGGACAAAGGCTTTTTCACCTTTCTTACGTAAATATTGCCAGTCGACTCCTCCAACTGGGTGACCCCTCACCACCACGATTGTTTGAGGGCCAACTGCAGGATGTGACTAGACTATGCATATGCAACCCAATTATACTAGTACATACATATTATGTAGGACAAAATCGAGACCATCGGCCTAGCGCAACAATGGAAGCATATTGGTGCAGAAACTAACAATCGGCCCCGACGAGGATGCGAGGGCTTTCATTTCCGATGTCCATAAAAATGTCTGCAGGGGGCCTGATGCCGAATGTAACTCTCTCTGGCCCCACTTGGCTATACGTATTAGTATTACAGTGACAGCGATACTTTGATGTAACGATATAAATTACAGTCGTATTATCTAGATTAATTTCCAGTGAAGTTGGATGGAAGTACGGAGGAATACAGGGCATCCGTGAATTGCGTGAATCTTACTTGAAACCCATGCCGAATTGAAGGATTCTCTCGACTTATATCAGGTGGGTATCCGTACGAACTAGTCCCCAGCAAGTCCGTGGACGGGCGTGATCGATTGGAGGGTCAAAGACCAGCTGTTGGAAGGTCTCTTGGTTTCGGCCGGCCAGTCTCACATTTTCCGAATTCACACGGCTCACCCTACAACACAGGACGGAGTGACTCCGACGAAAGAACTTGAGTCTGCCACTTTCCAGACGTCAACTGACCCTTCCCGCACAATCTTTCCTTGTAGCACCACAGGAATCGGGTGTGATTTCACTTCGCTTGTGGTCTGGGTAGTGGAACTCGTCAAATCAGTTCTCACCACACCCCCCACCACCTTGTTGAAGCTCCTTGCAAAGTTATTCTCCCATCTGGCGTTTCATCAAAATGTCAGGTCATGACCAGTTAGCGGATCATCTGAGAGATCCGTATCGTCCTAGTCCTCGTTCTAGTATGTATATCGAGCCACCAAGACACAATTGTTCTGTCACGTCACGAGGACAGCTGGTTCATATGTATATATAGTGTAGTGAGTATGTAATGGACATTCTGATAAACTAGAGAACGGTTGGTTCCCTGGAGCGAATAGAATCTAGTAGAAAGACTATTGACATAACATAGTTACTATACGCCTGAGTCAAACACCTATATACAGGGTTAGATATCAAATGCTGAAACTGTAAATATATCTGCGGTCGAAGTCGGCCATGTTTAGAGGAGTTTTATCGATTTCTACAGACTACAGATTCAGTTGTGTATTCTATATGCCACTCTCTGTTCTATTATATGCTCTATAATTGGTATATTACACGGCAATAAAAGGGCGGGGGTGTTGGTAGTGTGTTGGTTGTTCTCTGAACCTGTCTGCTAGACGCAGACCGCCATCCTGCCTGCCCCTTCTCACCCTATAGATGACCACCTGGCGACCCGGGCAGCGGATCGTCCTACACGTTCTCACAAGAGAAAGTCTTGCTAAAAACACGGTTCACCTTCTTATCTAAGCAACTGGCGCATAGTAGCTGAACATCCCATTAGGATCATACTTCTTCTTCAAGCTCAGCAACCGGCTCTGTCGCCAGCTCTCACTACCATACCACCCCTCAGAGCCCTCGTCACCATACGCATAGTTAACATACGCACGCACATGCTCGCGCCCAGTCCCCTCGTGCAGAATCTGTCGGATCTGCTTCCCCAGCTGGGCGGCCTTCTCATCTAAGTCGGCACCGTCCGGCATGTAGGCGATCAAGGGCCCGACAAGGACATTCTGGTCACGGTAAGGGAACGCGGTGCTGTCCGCGTCGATGAACTTCACGCCTCCTGTGGAGTATCCATCGAACGTGACCAGGGAGTTGTTGAAGACGGAAGCGCCGCGGACCCCCGCGGCGAAGACCTCGTAGGCTTTCTTCTGCGCGGTCACGTTGTAGGTCTCGAGATAGTTGGGGAACCGCGGGTTCATGGCTCCGTTCTTCTGGCATGGTCCGGACGTCGTGGTGATACCGACCCATTCGGCCAGGTCAGTGTAGCTGCCGCTCTGGGGCTCGATGGAAATGGGGCCCATAGAGTGGAAGGGAGCAGTGTAGGTGGAGTCAACCGCCTTGACGCCTTCTTGGATGATTATCACTTGGATGACGGGCTAGAGGTGACCATTAGTCATCGACACGGAAGTAGTAGTAAGAGAGAAGGGTAGACTCACGTTGCTAGCATCAGCATCGGGGTTGTTCACCCAGTACGACCAGTTAATGACATCGGTAGGCTGGGTGCCGTTCTTGAGCAGATAGTTGTTTACAGCTTCATAGATCTCCTCGACCTTGTCGCCGCTGAAGGTGATGATCTCAATGGCCCAATCCCTGTGCTCAATGTCGAAGATCTTCGAGGTAACAGAGATGACGATGCCGAAGTTGTGACCGGCACCCTTCACGGCCCACCAGAGCTCGGAGCTGGAGTCCAGAGTGACCAGAGTGCCGTTGGCCAGCACGATGTTCATCGACTCGAACTGGTCAGCAATCAGCCCGTGGCGGCCCTGCAGCCAGCCGTGGCCACCACCCAAGGCCGGGCCGAGGTAGCTGACACATTCGCACGCACCAGTGACTAGCCATATGGAATTAGCATCCACCGAGTAGTTCCGTTTGATGCCCGCCTCTCCATGGTTGCGGTTAAACTTACCGGTCTGCTTCCCAGCTTGCCACAGCGTGTCAGTCACCAGCTTAGACTTGGTCCCACCAGCAATGGTAACGGTGTTGCCATCCTCGGCGATGTGGACCCCGCTGAGCTGGTCCAGGTAGATCTCAATACCACTGGTCATCTTGCCTAGAGTGGTGATTGCTCCATGGGCGCCATTGTAAGCCAGGAAAGGCAATTCCTTCTTCTGGGCGAATTTCACCTATACAGTGACATTAGCGGACTGTTCCTGTGTCACGCGAATGTATTGGTGGAGCCAAGATGCATTGGTCGTGCAGGGGCAAAACATCGCATATGAAGGGACAATATGAAATAGAAAGACACAGGACGAGATTGATCAACAATGTATGGAAAACAAAAGGCTTACCGTCTCAACGACATCATTCTCAGTGCCGGGAACGACAACGATATTCACGGTAGGTGGCTCCAAGTTAGACCACCGAGTGGAAGCCTCCTCAAACTCATCCGAGCCAGGGTAGTAAACCTGAGCGGAGCTGGAAAGCTTCTCGCTGAGCGCCTTATAGTCGACATCGCGAGCCCAAATATTCCGAGTCACAGGCAGGCTCTGACAGGCCGACGTAACTGCCCACGCAGCCACGGCAGTGACCACTGGCAAACGCATTGTGAAAAATGTGTGATTCAGCTGGAACAAGAGAGTTGGCTTGGGGAGAGAAGTGAATGATTCGAAGTACTTTCGTAGGCATAGTGCCGATATTATACTCGGATCTTTCGGATGGAAGCTGAGGTCCCAATCTCGGACTTACTTCGTCCATTGTCTTGGTATAGGTCAGCCTCAATACAAGATGATAGCCTTTGGCGTGGCGCATCGCTTGCATCCTTTGGCCCCTTTGGCCCCAAATCTGCCGATGGCCGAACCAACAGCCGGCAGCAGACCCACGGTGGGCCGGATTCTCGACAGACAGACCCTCCGGTGTACCGATTCAGGTATGTCTCGATCTCGTCCTCAACAATATCAGTCCGGCTTACTACAGCGATTTTGTATGGTCCACAGTAAGCACTAAAGAATGCAGGGCAAGCGGCAGCACTAGGGACCAACCACCTTCCTCATTAGGAAAGGCATGGAGCTAGCAGGGCCTCAAAAGAACGTGCAGTTCAATACGGGAGGTCCCTTGGAAGGGTTCCTGCCGGAAGATCCACATAGCTCATTACTAGTGTTGTTCTACCAGCGTATTTGTTTTCCACTTACCCGTCTAATTGTACTGTAACGAAGTGCCGGGCCATGAGGGGTACAATGATGGCAAATTTCTTTTCTCCTTCCGTCCCCGGAATAATAGACGGCTTCTTCCTTCTTTTGTATTAACCTCGAATCCTCCCAACACACTCCCATACGACTTTCTATTCTCTTAGGTCGCACCCCGTTCCAGGTAATATGTCACCCAAGACTTTCATTGTCACCGGTGCCTCGAGAGGTAGGAAATTAATCCCGTCCATCGCTTACGTGATCATCGCAGCCTATGCCCCGAAAAGCTCACTCGTCTTCCCCATGGGATAGGTATTGGTCTCGCAATCTCGAAGTTTCTGCTCACCGCACCTCAATCCCACAACGTGGTCGTCATCGCCCGCAGCGTCGAGCCCCTCCAGAAGCTGAAAGACCAGTATACCAAGCAAGTTGAGGTCCTGAATGGCGATCTCGCGGATTTATCTCTCGCTCCGAAGGCTGTCGATCTAGCCTTGAAGTCGTTCGGGCGTCTAGATGGATTGGTTTTGAATCACGGCGTGCTAGGCCAGGTGGGGAAGATTGCCGAGGCTGATCCGGAGCAATGGAAGCAGGGATTTGATATCAACTTCTTCAGCTTGGTGGCTTTTGTAAGTGGATTACAGGAATTCTATTTTTACCGGGGGAGTGGGGTGCGGTATTGGGGAGAGGGCATTTGGTCCATAGTTATTAACGCTGACATTGCTCCAGGTTAAAGCTGGACTTCCTGCGCTTCGGGAATCCAAGGGAAGGATCGTCTTCACTTCATCTGCGGCTGCTGTCTCGGCATTTAAGGGATGGGGTCTGTATGGCGCGAGCAAGGCGGCCATGAACCATCTGGCTCTGAGTCTTTCAGAGGAAGAGCCTGACGTGACATCCGTGTCGGTTCAGCCGGGATTGGTCGACACCGAATTGCAGCGCGAGATCCGCGAAGATCACGCGACCACCCTGGACCCTCAATTCCATGCCATATTCACCACGGTCCACAAGGATGGTGGATTGCTAAAGCCCGAACAGCCGGGTCATGTTCTGGCCAGATTGGTGATTGATGCTCCGAACTCATTGTCTGGCAAGTTCTTCGCGTAAGTTCTACTCCTATTCTCTCTACAACCTTTTACTCTGCAGTAGAACTGACGAGAAAAAGATGGGACGACCAAGCTCTGGCGGCTTTTCAATAGACTACCAGAAGACACCTGTACATGACAGTCAGTATATACCGCCATGGAAGATTGTCATGCGTTGTAGGCAGCTTCATTGTGTAATAATGAACCAAAAGATGAAAACCAATCCACTTTACAAGCATTAGGTGCAGTACGGCAGGATTATACGTAGCGTGGACTTTGTGTCATCATACTGCCAGCACAAAAAGCAGTGTAAAGTTACTCTATATTTGTGCAGTGTTTTATAAGATTAGAACGGCATGGACTATTCCCGACCACCAATTGACACGAAATTGCCCATCTCCAGTAAAGGACACGATGGATAACCTGAATTTGTTGCGTGGGACACCCATAGAGGGGATGCCCACACTCGCCTGGCCGTCGCGGGCCGACCACAGGACACTCCCAATCTAGGCCCGTGCAGTTTCCCGCACCGTTTATACATAACGTACCTAACCCACGGGCGAGTGGCCATCTTGGGTAGAGTTGATCGGGGTTCCCCGCGAAACCCGCCCCCGGAAATCACCGGGCTGGGGCGGGTCCGGGGCGATATTAACTGCCGTAGTTAACATGTGCCCTGGATTTGGCCCTTATATTATAGCCAGGGGCTTTCGGTGCTATGTTGACTCGGTGTCGGGGAAGGCCCCGCCCGTTGGAATTGATCCTGAGTTAAATCAGTTGGAATTAATGACAGGCCAACCATGATGGACTGTCCACGGCGGCCAACGCAGTAGACGGCTAGTAAGATGATACTTTGGGTTACTGCATGGACTGGCAAAAGTGAACCGACCTTCCTTTCGGAATGAGGGCCCCAATTTCTGAAAACCTTTCCTAGGTAATTTTCAACGTCGTCAGAGCCAATAAGAGACTTGAAAAGACGGTCTGGGGATCCCGCATCAGGTAGAGAGTATATCCGTCTATCTTTCCGATCAGCTCTCCAACATAAGCGGCTTCTACCCTTAAGCTTGTATTGGATGAAAGTGGCTTGGTGCAAGGGGCCACGAAGTCGTAAAGACGTCGCCTTGACAAGGCCCGTGCTTTTGCCCAGGATTGGAGACGTTTTTGTATCGAGCGGCCGTGATAAGTAGGAGGGGTGAAGGTTGGGCAATCTATCCAAATCCAATTCAAAGTTGTCAAAGATGTGCGATATAGCGCCTTTAATTGAAGCCTGTGACAATGTTGGAGCTTTATATAGTTGTATTCGATGGCAATGCTCGGGTTCCTCAGCGTGCCATATCAGTTGACATAGTATATAATGTTTCCAAAGCCCAGCACGATATTCGTCCCTAGTGACTTTTACAATCTAGTTGGCGATACGAGACAAAGCAGCCAATTTGTCTGTGTCCTATGCAAACTCCTTTGTACTATAACACTCGACAAGATGAGCGCAAGCGCGAAAACGAAGTCTATCCCAGTGTTGAGGATTGATGAGCGGATCCTAATTTTCTAATAGCGGATCATTCATAGCCAAAACCCCTGCTTGGAACTGGATGCTATGCAGCCGCTGGTCATTGCTATCGTGCGATTTCTTCGTTTCCCACAAAGGTTGACGCGCACCGAAATGGATTGTACGTGGAGAGAGTAGTCCTTCCTAGATGACCCATCCTCGCGAATTGAGAGATGCCTCATCAACTGCGGTATTCCAATTCTCGTTTACCATGGTATACCCCTTAGTGCTTTCAGAAAGGTCTTTCCAGTCCGACCATTTAATGCTGAATTCCAGGGGTAAAACCGTTTCGGTGTTCCTTGACTTGAATAGCCCTGTGTCGTTGTCTTTACATGCAACTACCCGATAATTGCAGATTCGGTTTCTGAACGACAAGGCCATTTGCATTCCCAGTCTGCAGGAGAATCCAGAATAATACATAGAGACTCTATCTATAAGTACTTGTACCCAAGGTCATCTGTGACTATGATGGAGTGTTGAAACATTCTCGGAAGAACTTCAAAGTTAATGTTGGGGACGGGATCTTTGAAGTTGTGCGTCAAAAGGCAGGGCATATTGCCACCCCAGCGGTAACGAAGAGTGAGATACTGAGCATCTTCAGGTAGGCCGGTTTCCTGACGTACTGTGACAAGGCATGTCCCATATGCTGCTAATGCGACATGTAAGAGCCTTGTGGGAAAGTTTTGGTCGAGTTCAAAGGATCATTCGTATCCGTAGTGATGCTTGTTTGAAGCCACCGGGTTGTTACTTCCCTGGCTTTATTGAACCATGTACACGGGGAGGGATGATCGATTGCTATGTGCTAAAAGGACCGTAGTTTAGTTTGAACAATCTTTATGGTGGTAAAAAGCATCAACTTACACGGACCAGACACCGTTAAATCCGAGATAGTGGCTGTCGAGCCTTGCGCATTTTTGTGTTGGAAGAAAACCATAAAGGCGCCGCAAAGGAAAATAATTCTATATAAAATCCCATATCGCACCTTTGATTCCGTCTCCATATGGCACCGAATCTTTGTAGAGAGTGCTGTGATACTCTCAAGCAATAAATAGCAAATAGAGCAACGCTGCTCAGCTGCTTCTACTAAGATGTCATAGGATGATAGGTGACAGTGACTAGTGAGGACGTTTGTCATCTATATTATATGAATCTGGACTTTTGTCCTGGAGATTGGAAAATTTCTACTCTTCGTGCATGACAGATACATTTGCAGGCATTGACCAAGGACACAAGATTTAAGATATCGGTCGCACAAACGAAGCGCTGGGCCAAGCCCGGGCGATTGTGCGGTGTATAGTCAAATCGACGGTGAAGAGAAAGCCTTCTAGTGAACTTGGCTGCGAGCAACTTGGGGATATGTAGAAGAGCGAACTGCCAGTAACCATTCCGTGACAAGACTAATCTGGGAGCTCATTGAGACAAACCCGATTAAGCGATTTACAGGGCCCTGGTTCAGTACGATCCAATGATATTTATGGCAAGGAGGCCGGTCGGTGGCTGCACAATTTAAGGTTGGGAAATCACCCGTTCTCATGATTATGCCACTCACCCTTCTGAACCCTAGTCGCGCCACGGTAAGTCGGCTCTAACCCTGAACGGACACAAGATGAGGTCTCTGGAATGTAATTGAGGTGCGGCGTAACTTTCCCGGCCTCACCGGAGGGAAGGTTGGTTCCCAGAGTTAATTTGATCACACAGACTGTGCCGCTTCATAAATAGCCGAGCTTCCTTCAGGCTTTCATTTCACTTTTGCGCGTAATAAAGGAGAAATTATTGATTTGGTCCTCAGAGACCTGACTTAGATGCTTTATTACCAGTATGATTTGGGTATATCCTGCTCATTGGACAGCTTACAGTGAAGTCAAATGTTTGTAGTGCCACCCAGGTTGCAAAAGGTCTCCTCTAAATGAGCATCCTATTTACCTGTGAGCAATCTAAGACCCAGCTATATGTTAGAGGATAGGTGATCATGAAGGAAGACGTTGTCTTGACATCCTCGATTCTACATAAACGCGCAAAATTGCTCACGGTGTTATAACTCGGTGGAGGTATGATCCATGGGATGCAAATCCTCCATCGCCCGGGCATTTGAGTCCATCGTTAAAATCATATAAAGCCTGTGAAGGGAAGTGATCCGGCAATATCCCACCCCGGCATAACTGGATTCCTCGTCATCATTCTCGTCACCGTCGCCGTCATAATCGCTGTCACCCGAATCACTATCGCCCTCACCAAAGCAGACATCCACGACTTTGATAGTACTCTCGTGAAAAGCATCATGGTCGTCTTCAATGCGATCGGGAAACTCCAAGCTAGCAAGCATGCGAATCGTATCTGCATCGAAAACCAAACACACCATGTTCCGCGCAGGGACGATGAGACCCCTACGGCCTAGCCTGTGACGTAGGACGCGGAATTCCTCACGTACCCGATCGTCCGAGGCACCACCTAACGCCTCTTGGCTCTGGACAATGTCGATCTTAAGCCGACGAAGTAATTCTTCGTAGTAAGGCGCTACACCAAACCGCCTCAAACTGCGATTAACGACACCGATAAGATTATGGACAGCCAGAGAGAGAGAGTTTTGGCTCTGGCTTGCGTAATCTGTCACGAAGGCGAAATATCCCCAGGTGGGATCGCGTTGTCCGATACCAGAGGCGAAAGATTCGTATGTTGTTATGATCTCGAGGAGTTGTGGGGTTTCGTCGAGGCTGACCTCGTAGGAGGCGAAGCCGGCTTGTTCGTATGTTTCCACACTGACCTCTGCCTGGACTTCGTTGAAGGGGCGGGCTGTGTTTTGGATATTGGTGGCAGCGCCGGGACCAAATGATTCAATATGCCGATTGGGGTCCATGATGAGGTACTGTCGTGGTGGACTGATAGATGCGGGTGGGAAGAGATGAAGGGATGAGAGTGTGAAAGACGAAGTGAGAAAACGGACGCGGGGCAAGGTTAAATGGAAATTACTCAAAAAAACGGGAAGAAAACCACCGGTTCTTCCCGTGAGGAGAAACTCTGCTTTCAAAACAACTTGATTGAGTTGATATCAAGACTCAATAAGGCGCGGGAACAAACAACGAGAGTCCGTATATCCGTCGCTTAAGAGCTCACGGTACATACGAGACTCGGATAGTAAAATCATACTAGTCTACAGAAATTAACTACAGCCCCGTGAGAGCCAGGATAGTATTTATATACACCAAGTCAAGCCTACTCCAGCGACGTCTTCACAATTTCGATTTCCGACAGTTTCCCCTCCAGCTCGTCCAGTTTCTTGAGTACAAGCGCGGCATTCTTGTTGGTGCTCGTCGCCCAATATTGCCTCATCTCGGCGATACTTTCCCTGGCCCATTTTGTACCATCTTCGACCATGCGGTCCATATGGCCCCGGATCCATTTATCCCAGTAGCTTTGAATGAATGTGGGCTTGTTACCTTTATTAATCCACACCTGGTCGGCCAGTCCAAGTTCATAGCGAATGCCATTGGATACTTTGACCCAGATCTTCTGCACGTCATCATTGTTCAGATACGTGAAGACGTTGATAGTCATGCGGATATTCTTCAACGCAGCGCACCATTTCGTGGGATCTTTGCTTAGTTTCGCGCGGGTGCTGGGAGCTATGGGTCTCTTTCCACTCCAGAACTACTTGCTGTTAGCACATAATCGTGTACAAAAGATATACAGCAGGTTGGGCGGGAAGGGGAGTTACGTTTTCCTTATAGCGGTTGATTGTGCGTTCGAGCAGCACGAAGTCATTCCAGTGCTCCTTCCAGCCGTGCCGCTGCATGATACGCTGGATGGGAATCTGGCTGGCTGCCTTCGCACCCGGTGTAGGCGGAGGATTACTCAGGACAGGCTCAGAGAGCATGTCGAGAAAGCCGCAGTGGATCTGCTTGAAGCCAGACTTGCTCCTGTCGGGCATCTGATTCTTGTGCACATCCACGAAGAACAGTTTCATTGTCTGCAGTTCCATAATGTGTTCTGTAACGGCCTGGTTCCCGTATGTGCCGATGTTTAAAGTCCCGATGCTGACCTCCGATGCGTCGTAGGCATTCGCTGAATCGTAGACATGGCGATACCGCATGTCGCCCACGTCCCAAGCGCCCACAGTAGGATAGGAATACGAAGAATATTTCCACAAACCGTCGTTGCCCCGGTCATCCTTTTTGCACGGGACATTCTTGAAGGGCCGTCTGCCGCCATTGAACTTTGCAGGGTCACGTTTAGCGAGGGTTCGACCTGAGCTCACCGAGAGATCATCGAATTCATCAACCAGCTCGTCCTCGATTGATCGGCCCTCCACGGTCCCGCCGTTCTCATCGTCATCATTGTCAGGTGGCCCCGCCTCCATAGTGTTGTCATATCCCGCTATTTGACTTGCTGGTTCAGGGCATTCAATAATCGTCCCGCATAGTTCCACGTCGCAAATCGGGTCCTCCTCATCTTCATTGACCGGACAGGAGACTACCCCCTCCCCGCTCCACAAGGCAGGATCCTCTATGGGAGCGTTCCAATCGAGGTTGGGGTATCCGTCATCCTCCTCAGGGTTCTGTTCGTGCAGAAAGCTCCTTCCTGACGCCTTGCCTATCGGCTCTCCGCCCTTCGCAGTTTTCCAGTGGGCTTGATCGCGGCCGTCGTCATTCACGTAGTATTGTGCCCCGCCGACATCCAGCAGAACGCCCCTGCGGTCGTAGCTCAGCAGGTTCTTGTTGAATAAGCTAATCATATAATACAGCAGCTCCTGGCCGTCTGCACGCTTTTGGATATCTTCACCGGCAAACTCCGAGAAGTCAATAAACATCCCGAGGATCGGTTGAACGGTGATAGCGACATTGCCATCGGTGGTTTTCATATGGCCATTGAATTGACCCTCGTCAGGCCTCTCCGTAATGATACTGCCGCGCGTAGCCCCAGCTGACCCACCCGTCATTATCGTCATCATCAGTCAGGGTACGGATCGTTGCAGTAAAATCACCGGCAAACGTAGCCTTCTCAGCCTGCACTCCAATATCGACATCAAACTGGGGTTTAAAGTCGAAGAGCCCGGGGTGGGAAAACCCAACCTCCTGCTTGGTCTTCGTCTCCGCGGACTTCATACGGAACTTCGTGTTGAGCGCTGCGTTCCCTTTCACTCCGATCGTGGTTTCCATATCAAATTTGAAATCGATGAACCCGTACGCCTGGGAGAGATGGAACTCGTCCAGGGTTCCGATAAACGTAAATCCGAATTTCGTCCCCACTTTGCACTCGCCCTTTGCCCACATCGATAGGTATTTCTCCTGCTCGCCTTTGCAGTTGTCGATCTTCTCGTAGAACATCGGGCTGTCAAAGTCATACGAGAGATCTGTGTAATACGGCGCGGAGACGAGCTTGTTGATCTTCCTGCCCCAGGGGGCACTATCGTCTGAGAAGAATCGTTTGTGTAACTCCTTGTGAGAGATATCGTGCGCACTGATCCTAGGGGTTATCCCTCGTCTGCGTTTATCGGAGGATTCCTCGCCCTCCTCATCGACAATATCGTTCCAGTACCCTGGGATATTCGAATAGTCGACGCGAATCTGCAGCCTGTCATCTACGGATGCCGCACGCTTTGCTAGCCCGAAGTTGTAAGAGAAGTTCAGGTCCATCACCTTCCTGGTAGAGGGAGCACGTTTTACCAGGTGGTCAGGGAGGGTCTGGTTGTCGGATTCCTCCAGCGAATGCGCAACGATATAAGTACCTGGACCGCAGCCCTCCGGCATTCGAACCACAGTACCGTTCAAACCTCCTTTTAGGATGTCATCACAGTTGTTGTCTTCACCGTCATTTATACAGATCAGCCGTGTTCTCTGGAACTCCGTTCCAGACTTGAACGATTCACAATCGAGGAGCTCAATATCCGAGCCATCGCGCTTGGAGAAGCTAGACAGACTATCGTCTGGACCTGCAATAAGGACGAACCCAAATGCCCGGGTGTTGGGGTCGTCGCTCGAGTTCTTATCCACCATCTCCCCGTCAGTCCCCTCATAACCTCCGAGGATCTGGAGATCCCACTTCACACGATCCTCGACAGGTGGGGGGTCAGGGAACAAATTGTCCAAATCAACGGGGAGGAAAGGCTCAATGCCATCGGGGGCATCGCAGCAGAGGCTCATGGTGTACGGGGCTGGGCACAGATACACCCACTGCCCCATGGGGTTAGTGGTTAGCAGGAACTCATATGGCTCGCAGTTACTCTCCGTGCATTCATTCTTCTTAACCCAATGACAATTCTTGAGCTGCTGCTTGCAGCACACGGGACGTACTTCGTAGTAACTGCTCTGGTCGTTCTCCTTTGCAACTTGATAATATCCATTGTCGCAGCCGTCACGACCTAGATGACATTCATCACGCACCTTCTGGTACTGTTTCGATTCGCAGCAGTAGGCATCGTTCCCCGTATCGCAGAGGTCGCTATTAGTTGCTAACAGAACAGTTCCGGGGTCGCATGAGCCTATGCAGACGGGCTTTGCTTCGTCAGGCTTCCCCGACGTCCACGTACAGTTTTGTGGTGTCCGCTGCGGTGGACAGCAGATAGATTTCTCCCCGCATCGAGTCTTGAACGTCTCAAGAATTGTCAAGCCAGGTGCACAGGTGATGTCGCAATCTGTGACGAAACACTTCTCGTAGTCATCCGATGGCCAATTCTGGCCACCGTCGTGGCTCTCGTCCGGTCCATTACCACCACTACCATTATCACCATCATCACCACCATCGCCGTCATCGCCGTCTCCTTTGTCCGGTGGTGGAGGTGTCCAACTACAGCTGTTGATGTACGCGTGGACCTCTCCGCTGGGCAAAACAACGAGATAGTCGGCCTTTCCATCGCCGTTGATATCGGCGTACGCCACGGTGCCCTCGGTGCTAGCACGGTCTGAGACAGTGCCAAGGTCGACCCAGTTCCTGTCCTTTCCTGCATCTGGGATGTTCCCTGTGTTGCGATATCCCTTGGCTGAGCCACCGTCATACTGGATGATGTACTCGGCCTTGCGATCGCCGGTGATATCGGCGAAATGCACCTTGCTGCCTGGTTCCTTGACACCGGTCCCGACAGTAGTTCGGCCTCCCCAGATGCGCTCTCCACCTTTCGGTGGGATGTTCTTCTGGTTGAGCCAACAGTCCACTGCTCCGCCGTCGAAAACAATCAGGTAGTCGGCGTATCCGTCTCCATTCAGGTCAGCAAACTCGACCTTTCGACCAGGATCTCCAACACCTTCCGATATGATAATGCTAGGCTGCCAGATCCGATCCTTCCCTTTGTCGGGGATGTTCCCGTTGTTGAGGTATGCCTTGACAGCACCACCGCCATAGACAACAAGGAAGTCATCCAGTTTGTCGCCATCAACATCCGCAAAATGGATCGTCGAACTAGACAGGTCCTCATCCAAGCCGGGTGCAATCTCGCCAAGGTCGTCCCATTTGTTGCCACCTTTGTTCAGCCATCCCCTGGCACGACCCTGGGCGTCAATGGAGACAATATCAGCGTGGCCGTCTCCGTCCAGATCTGCAAAGCGCATACTAGAACCCTTGCCACCAACGATGCCCAGGCTTTTCCACATGCGTATACTTCCATCGTCGGCGATGGCCAGGAAATCGGCTTTGCCGTCTCCGTCCATGTCGGCGAAGCGGATCATATTGCCTGTGACACCTTCAATCCCAGGAGCGATAGTGCCGAGACTCTGCCAGTTATGGCCCTTCTCGTTGAGGCTCCCGGTGTTTCGCCAGGCTTTCACAGCGCCCCCCTCATATATCACAAGATAATCTAGTATACCTCAGTTATTGTTCGGACCCACGTACTTCAGGTGATGATCGAGACTTACCCGCCATGTTATCCCCATCCAAGTCAAAGATCTGAGCGCGATTATCGGGTTCGCCGGCTGGGCCAGGTGCAATCGCCACAGCCTTCTCCCAGTTGCGTTTCTGATCATCTTGACCGTTGTTATGTGTGTTGCGCGCCCAGTCCACTGCCCCTCCTTCGTAGAGAATGACATAATCGGCGTAGCCATCACCGTCCATATCGCGGAAATGAACTTTCTCACGAGGCTGATCCAAGCCAGTGGCCCATTTTGCATCTAGTGACTTGAACTTGCGCCCGTTATCGACGTTCTTCCAGACCTTCGCCACGCCATCCGAATACAAAACAATCAAATCCGCCTTGCCGTCGTTGTCGACATCCGCCATGCGCACCATCGCCCCAGACACGTCCGTCCAGTCCGGGTTGATGTTTCCAAGGCTCATCCACGGGCTTTCACTCGTTGCGGTGCTGACCCAGGCCCGGACCGTGCCATCGTCGTCAGCAAGAATGTAGTCGGTATGCCCATCTCCATTGAGGTCAGCCAGGATAACATTTTCTCGACGGGCACCCTCCATTGCGCCGATTATCGTTCCTACAGCTTCCCAGGTGCGGAAGCCATCAAACACCTTTCCCTTCCCTTTGAAGTTATCTCCACAGTTACCACCACTGATGGGGCTTGCGGCACCGTCACCCAGCCCCATACCTGGGTGGTCATGCGCGTTGACAGCGGCAGGAGTCTGGATCCATCCCCGGGTTTGAGCTTCGAGGATCCCGTCGTACCACGCCGCAGCCATCTTGCCGTATCCGACAGAGTTTGGGTGTTTCTTGTCGGACAGATCACTCGCCGTGATGCTAATGGGGACCTCAAGAAGATGTTGGCCCTCCTGCTGTCTTCGTTTAATTATTGCACGAAGCTTCGTATTATACGCATCTGTATTCTTCTGCATACGAGGATCATTTGCCCAGATGACCGGTGCAATCAGAACGGTAACCCCCCGCGACCCTTCAAAAAGCCTATCGATGATCGACTCGATCAACTGATCTGCTTTATCAAGATCAACCTCTTTATCCATATTATTTGTCCCTGCATGTACCAGAACGATGTTTGGCTTCGCGTCGATTGATAGTTCAAGATATTGTCGAATATCCGCCAGATATTTCCCGCTGTGGCCCTCGTGGTCGTTATCTTGCATTCCACCATCGCGCAGACTACCGACCATGTCGACACTGAAATTGGAATCCTTTTGGCTGGATACGAGCCGTTCACGAAGCTTGGAGCGATAGCCGTTCATGTCTGGGGAGCCGTTTCCTTTCGTGATTGAGTCGCCAAGGGGCATTATTCGGAGTTTTGGGACGCCGTCAGCAGCGGCCAGAGGGAGCACCATGATGGTGAGGGCCAGCACCCAGGTGAGGGCATACTGGAGTAGACTGGCCATGAGGGCTAGGGGGGTATTAAGCTGTGCCCTCCAAAGTCAAAACAAACAGAGGGACGTCCAATTATAACAATAAAAACGAGAGACGATTTAGCTTTCTTGACAAGTGGTGATTTGGCGGCCGACGTTTTAATAGTACATATACTTTTGATTCATCTGCGCCGCCTCGTCCGCGTCCTGCCGGAAGATCAGCATGCGCGACATTCAGGCGAAAGTTTGGTCCCCATGAAGAGGCAAGACATGTACAGGGGTATCTAAGGCAGGTCCTCACTCAATCTCCCAGTGCTCAATCCACAGTGCACCCCAACCCTTGACGTTCTTTACCCATTCTGGACCAACTCTGAGTTCAGGCCTCAACTCAGGCGGAACGCCAAGATAGCGCAAATTCAGCGTCGCCATTCTTCCACCAGTCACCATTCCATCCGCGGGAGTACTACGCGCCAAGATCTGGAGACGAGGAGGCATCTCCCCCCCATTCCCTCCTGGCGGAATCTTCGCTAGGTGGGACAACCCAGGAACACCACTCCAGGTCGTCCAGTCAGGTTCCTCGTCCAGGCCCTATTTCGCATTCCCGTTGGTTGTTTGGTGGGTCTTCCGGCGGGCCGCTCGGTAAGGCGTCCTGTTGATCGACAACACTGCGCCTTTCAATACGAGGTGGTGGGCCTGGTGGGCTGCAAATTTTGCGAGCAGTCCAATAGGAATGAGGGTCAAGGGTGATGTCGAGCTTTCTTCGCTTAGGGAAGTTGAGCTAAGCTTGCTCTGATAAGATTAAGATGTGATGCTTCGATCGGAAAAGTTGCTTCGTTGGTTTCGTGTTGTCGTTAATGGATTGCGATGAGATACTAGTACATAGCCCTTGCAGTCCATTATAGTTGGGCTCTTCTTGGATGGTATGATGTTCACGAGTCCGACTGTTGGCCGTCGTGAAGCATCTTGCATCAACATGCGAGAAGCGTTGTGGTGTTCTATCCCAAATTCATCGAAATCACTCACCCTCCTCATAAAGCCGCATGAAGCCTGTGACCTGTCTCTCGAACACAAGTCCCAGTCCCCTTGAACCACAAGCCATCACTTGCCACAGGCTATAGAGGGCATACCGTAATTAACTTAGTTGAGTAGTTCACTATTCCTTTTTCGTTCTCCAGGTTAGCGCATGGAAGCCCCACTATTGATAATGGTATTGAAATATATTTCCACACTATTTACTAGTCCACCTCATGATTCAGTGCTCACGGCCATTCTGGGAAGCATCAGAACTACGCCAGGGATCCCGTGTACCATTCCTCCAGTAGGAGGTTGTCATCCAACCTTGTACATTACGGTGCAATAATACACGGCTTCATGATGTTGGCAAAGCGTAACCGCAAGGCGGACTTTGATCCATATGCTGTCTCTGATCATCAACGGATACCTAGCCCTCGGCTAAAAAATTCTAAATAACAGCCAATAAACAGATTATTAATCACAGGAACCTCAGTAAATTACTGGCTCATCTATATGAATGCCACCTATTGACACCATGATCCAAGTTAAAACCCTTACCTCTATCCCACATGCACTAGCTACGGTCGATAAAAAGCGAATGCGTTACAAGTATTTGGAAATGCAGGCACAGCCAAACGAGCAATTGCTGGAGGAATTTAGAAAACCAAAGCATGTTGAGGGCATATACACACGATCTTTATGCTAGCACTCGTCGGCATAGATTGGGCTCCCTGTGCTCTCTCGCTCATTCAGATGTTGTTTGCCCTCAGGACTCAAAATGTATTTACTCACTTTCATCACAAGATCTGAGGTATCGGTATATGTTAGTAGTTGGAGCCTGTTCAACGTAGTCTAACCTGGACAGAGGCGCGACAGACACGCTACAGCTTTGCAAGCCCATTTAAGGCCACAGCCCACATATTCTGCCGCCGCAAGCCGGGCTGATGGCCGTTCTGACGTCAATATCAACTAAAATTACCAATAGAATTTATGATAATGAGGATCTCGATGAACTCTTCATCGTCGCATAGATTTCTCAAAAGCGCTGTAGCCGCTGTAGGTACACCGAAACCCTTTTGTCAAAGAACTACACGTGAGCGCGCCATGTACCAGGCCACAGTCAAGAGAAGAATATATAATCAATTACTGCAACCAGTTGAGAGTGATAACTATCGAGCATTGCAACGCGAATTGGGGTGATATTACATAGATAGACGGCGCAATCCCACGTCGGAATCGCTATCTGGAGCTGTGGGTTACGTCCTCTTCGCTCTGTGTGCATCGTCCGTCCGCTTGACTAACTCAGTAATACTTGAGTACCCCGGTGCTCCCAGGTACCCCTCGGAGAGTTTCTGTCTATATGATATAGAGTATACATTCTACCGAAGGTAGACAAAAGCCATCAACGACGGCGAACATTAACATCAATCGCCACCGGCTTATGCAACCAATATGATGTCGTCTGGATCTCCTCATCACTCCGGAGTTCAAACGCATAAGACTTTAAAAGCTCCGGGATGGCCTTGTAGATTTCACACATCGAGATCTAAACATCAATTCATCAGTTTACACATCAACGGATAGATCGTACTGATAAATGAAACGAAACTCACATTCTTGCCAAGGCAAGTCCTAGCCCCCATCCCAAACTGCATAATATACCGATCCATCCTACTAACATCACCATCAATCCACCTCTCGGGTCGAAACTGATCTGCATCTTCGCCGAAAACTGTCTTGTTGAAATGCATAACCCCGGGGTTCACGCCTATCCGCGCATTACCGGGGATATAATGGCCGCCGATCATGCACCCAGCTGGGGGTGCGTGACGGGGGAACGAGACGCCAGTGATTGGGTGCATGCGGATTCCTTCTCTGATGCAGGCAGCTAGGTAGGGAAGTTTAACAGCCTCGTTGTAGCAAATATGCGGGGTACTAAGTTGGTTGCATTTCACGGCAGAGTCAATTTCAGCGGTGAGCTTTGCGTATACGCGGGGGTTGCGGAAGATATGATAGAGGATGCCGGAGAGCGTGAGAGCTGTTGTTTCGCTTCCGGCAAAGCTGCGTATGCCTCTGTTAGCATACAAACACTCATGAGCGGAGAGAACCTACAATGCACCAAACGACTCCATCTTGATATCGTCAAGCACGAAATCAAGTTCCTTTCCTCTTTGTTGCGAGATTTCGAGCAGCTTCCCTAGGATGTCATGTCGCTGAGGCTTAGACTGGGAATCGCTTTGTAGAGTAGCGAGGCGGTCAGCAAGCATTGCGTTTGTCGCCTCAGTCAGATTTCCTAGGGCACCTAAAGCCCGTCGGACCTTCGGGATCAAGATCCCAGTCAGCATGAATAAGCCCCGGACGTAGGTGGGCATATTGGCAGCCAGGAACTGGACAGGGACCAAATCCTCCGTTGCGTTAATGTACCCTAGGTGGTCGTCGCCGGCTTGCAGGAAGCCGAACATTTTACTGAAGTACAACTCGCCGATCACGTCGTATGCGTACCTATACAGATATCAGCAATTGAACTATGGGGGAGGTAGGAATAGCTACATTCGAGTCCATATCCACAGGTCGAAAGACTTCTTGCAGTCAGCCATCTCGGCTAGTTTGTCGAGCCAGACGTCAATGCACTTCTCAATGTACTTTTCCGATTGGAGGATGCTTGTCATTGTGTAGACATGGCTAACGATGCGGCGGCGCTCCCCGTGTTGCTTTCCGCCTTCTGATGAGAAGTGGTCTGGGAATCGTGCTGCTCTTATCAGCCGTTGTTCTAGACAGACTGGACTCTGGCGTACCCCATGGTGGTCTGAAAGCCAAATAGAAGTCGGTCTAGTCCGTTAGTCAGTGAGATTGTGCTCTGAGCGAGGGCCGTACCTTGGCTGTAAATGATTTGGTTCCGTAGAGCGTTTGGATGGCCTCCGGGTCACTGGTGATGAGCTCGTTTGGGGCGATGCGGACTACGGATCCTATACTTTATAAGTGTGGTTCAACCATATCTCACCGAGGAACGAAACCATATTTCGCATGTAGCTTCATCTGCCTCTTTTCAGCATCCCCAGGAAGCACATGAAGAAGCGTCCAGACTCTCGTGATAGACGCCCAGAATGGTCCAGGAAAGTTGGCGAGAGGGTGAAACCATCGTGTGTAGACGATCCAAACAGCCCAGTACGTGACAATTCCGACGAGCGCGCCCTGACCCAGCAAGGATCTTTCCGGAAGTCTCAACAAGTCCATTGTTGGCCTGATTCAATCGCACAGGTGTGTAGCGATCAGAGAAAGAACCCTGCGGGCGCACAGCCCCCTTAATATAGGGAGACCCACCCACACTCTACTAGTTCTACCTGTAGATAGCTTGAAGGGGTGGGGCCGGTAGCGACTCCCTTAATACAACAATCAAGTACGGCGCACTTCCATGCGTATCTAGCACGAGTCATGTCCGGAGTCCAGCTCCACTATCCAAATCCAGATGTGGGGGACAGGACGAACCAGTTCGCTTTGATTGCAATACTAGTGCGATTCAAATCAACCGCAAACCACCGTCTCGCAACGGCCCGGGATGGACTGGTTTAGTGTCACACTAAAGAGTGATCCTGGTCAGTTCGCGATCTTTTATTCGAGTGCAGTGATCAGTTGCATGAACTCACGAGTGCATCGCGAATGGTGCCAAGGGAATAGTTGAGAAGCCAGATTTGGATAAGCACATGGGCGAAACATTTTAAGGGTTGATGTCCACCAGGTCTTCCCAACGCCAAACTGTGTCATGCTCTTTCTTTACCATGCGAAGGGCTAGCCTTTCTAGCCTCTGGGCTGTCGCTCTACTCGTAAATGGAGTTACTTGTCAGCAAATGCCTCCATGCGCGGTAGGCTGAATTCACCCAAGCGCGGTAGTGTGGGCTAATAGTTTCCAGGCAACATGTATGGAGACAGGGCTCGGGGGGTCGTCTTGCTCCCCGATTGATACCCAGTGTATTTGCGCTGATACAGCGCTGCAGCAGGATATCAGTGGCTGCAATGTCATGACGTGTTCGGTTAAAGAAGCATTGAGTATGTGCCTCTAGTAGAGCTCACCTGCATCGCTGACTTGCATAGCTTCGCAGAATGCATCAAACGCAATGTGCGGGATCGAGCCTCAAGATATCTCCCACATCATGACAACCGTCACAAGTGTTTTTATGAGTCTCGCGATAACATTTACCATCATGCGGTGCTCCGAATCGCGTGATCACTTTGGGCCGGAGGATATTTTCGCCATCTTAGCCTTGGTATGCATCGGAAACAGACGTGAAAAAAATGAAAGCTAATGCGATGGTAGATCTTCGCAGTTCCAATGGGAGCCCTCGAATACCCAAGTATGTTAGGTTTCTTCTCAAGCTTGACCCAATGCTAATCTCATCAGTGGCGAAGGATGGCTATGGGAAAGACATCTGGATCCTTCCCTTTGACAACATTACGCGCATTGTGAAGTTCACTTGGCTCCTACAACTGCTCTACATCCCCTCCCTCGCCGCAACCAAAATGGCCTTCTTATGTCTTTATCTACGCATTTTCCCAAGTACAGGCATTCGACGAGCCACCTGGTTGCTTATAGCCATCAACGCCATGTACCTTCTAGCCTATGCCTTCGGAACCGCGTTCAACTGTCTCCCAGTTTCCTATATCTGGACGAAATGGCACGGGAAAACAGAAGGATCGTGTCTCAATTTCAATGCCTTTGGCATCGCGAATGCGGCAACCAATATTACGCTGGATCTGGCAGTTATCGGGCTTCCGCTGCACAAGATAGCTGGACTTTCTGTCAGCTTGTCGAAGAAGATTATGCTCTTGTCCATGTTTGGGCTAGGATTCTTGTAAATATCCACTTTACCTCCCAGACAAACTGATCGCTAACCTATGTAGTGTAACAGTCGTCAGTATCCTCCGACTCCGGGTTGTGATCACCTACGCAACAACCACAAATGCCACATGTACATCCCCCTATATCTCTCCCAGCAAGGTTCATATCAATTAACCTTCTATCCCGCAGACGACACTGTTGCCACCTCTTACTGGTCTATAATCGAATGCTTCAGCGGCATAGTCTGCATCAACCTACCTTCCGCCCGCCGGTTCTACCGTAAAGTCACCCACTTCTGTTTCGGCACCCCCCAGACGGGGCAGGAAGAGAGCTATCAGAATGTGACACCCGGTTCCTCGTCTACGCCTAAGACAAGCAAGCTGCCGATGAAACTATCGATTCTCAAAACGACTGAGACTACAGACCGACGCGAGGAGACGGGGACGGACACGGAGTCTTTGGTTCCGGTTTCCAGGAGCCGCTAGGAACCCTTTTCTTATACAGGGTATGACTGGTTAGTAGAGTTTCTCTGGGCTATTCCAGTCTGCTAAATGTATACATACTTCAGATTAGGCGTACCACAGCATATTAGAACACGAGATGGGCCACGCAATGTCACGAATTTTACGAGGGACGGGACGGGAATTAGTCACTTTAAACTCTGATTACTACAGCTTTACTAGTACTGCCTACATTCTAAGGTTCTGGTAGAAAAGTAAAGGGTATAGCTGAAGATAATTCATTTATATATCTAGCTTATAACCCCAGCTAGTAAGTAATATTTTATAGGTTAATAGATTTATAAAAAAGAGCAGGAATATCCAATGGTTAACCACAGCTACCTTCCCTGGATCTACTAACCTAATATATAATAGGAGGAGCCTCTTTATATATATCTTGGCACCAAGAACGTATTAGAGGTTGGGTCTTACTAGTCTCTAGAATAGCCACGCTAGATCGCGCCAAGCAAACCTGCTCACCGACAAGTCTTCATCAAGCAGAGAGCTAGACCAGCCTACCGCAGGACTCCCTTTCAAAGAACGTATGAAACCAGGGATGGTAGTGCTCTGGGTCCCGCCGGTGGTGTTGTCCATTCGCCTGTCTGTGCAAAACTCTCCCCCCCTTTCTGTGACTTGTTTCTGCCTGAAGCTCTGGTCTATTCTTATGAACTTAACGTATAGCGTTTTAACTATTATTGTTACGTGTACGTCTATGCCAAGGTCTATGTCACATATCGACAGAACAGAGGTGTCTCGTTATTGTTCGTTAGCAGGACCGAAAAGCCGTGAACAACGGCCTATTTACATTTTTAGATCATGTTGTAGTTGGGATGGACTATTTACATAATGAAGGATTGCTTAAAAAAAAAAAAAAAAAGGCGTTGTCTCACATACACTAAGACTGCCTGCCCACTCCTCACTGATACCCCGTGCAATGTACCCCACTGGCTAAAATACAAAATCCAGTTTCATGCTCAGGCCACTGTAACACTTTGGCCAAGCCACTATGTGTCAGTGTTGGCACAGGTAAAAACAGTACTGCTGGCATCATTATGAATGGCCGTCCCAGAAGCATATAAACCTAATGCACATAAGATAAGCCCAATCAGTGCAATTCCAATGTTGAGTATCGTCAACAATATTTTCTTTGGGCTGGAGAACCATTGGCCATAGTTCAGGTGCAGCCAATAGATTCCACTCAACCCGTAACTGAACCAACTCGCGAAGAGAGCACTCTGGAGAACCGTTAGGCATGTTTGTTAAAAGGCTTTGATGAAAGGGTGACATACGATCAGGCTGTTCAGATTGCTGAAAACAGGAATACCCTCTGAGATGATCCACGCGACAACCCAACAGGTCAAGCCTAGTGCGAGCCAGATACCGACGGACTTCCAGCTGCGACTGTGCAGTAGATCTGACTTGCGACAGGCCCGGAAATAGATATACTTCAGACCAATGTGGCCATTCACAACGCCAGCGCCAACAATCTGGTACTTATTAGCAATATTCCGGGTGTCAGATGGATCAGTTCGTACCGTTGGGATGGCAAGGCCGTATGCAACCTTTTTCATCACAGGTCCGGCGGAGGTCAAGGCAGGAGAGTGAACATCAGTGCCAACGTAGTAGTAGATGACGACAGCGGCAGTGAGATACAAGCAGATCTCGAAAGATTGCAACATGAGTAAAGACTTGTTGAAATCCTTGGGATTTTCCATTTCAGCAATGAGACCAAAGAAGGCGACATGAGCGCAGTAGGCGAAGACAATATTAGACACCGCCTGGAAGCCAGTGTAGAGATTTGTCTCTACCGTAGCATGAATAATCCGATCGGGGTGGTCCTGTACACCCACAGAGATCATGGTAACCATGACCGCGCCGAAGATGCTCAGGAAGGAAGCGAATGAAACCCACGTCATTCCTTTCATCGTTCGCGGGATGGATAACACCATCGAAATGACCATACCTACCACACTAAAGACGATTGAACAAGTGCCGTGCTCGGTGATCGTATTCATCATGACACGGAAGGTCAAAATATGACTTCCCATCACAAAGATGCAAAACAGAAATTGACCTAGACCGAAGAGCTCACGCCCAAAGCGGCCGAGCAGAATTTCTCCGGCATCTGCCAGACTCTGTATGTGAGGATAACGCTGGCGAAACAATCCAATATTGTAGCCTGTGTACAAAGCGAGAAGACCGAGGCCAACGATCAAGATAACACCCCTAGTTCACTGTCAGTCACCGGATGCGCATTCTCCCTTCCTTGTAAAACTTACGGGACGAGACCCAATGTCGCCACGGCAGCTGGCAGAGACAACACACCCAGGGAAACAGATTCACAAATCATCACTACCTAGCAATTAGCGATAGCCTTGGGCGCATGACGAACGGACTTACGCAAGCCACATTGCCTAGTTTCTTTTTAGCTTGGGATAAGTCTTGTAGGGAGACGGGATACATACCACCAAGTCAAGGTCTTGTACTTGATCTCAGCGTCCTCTTCACTTCCAAATGCATCCTGAACTTGACCAGCCATGATATCCCTCTTTTCAGCATCTACATCATATTCCTCCTCTTTCTTGTCCACCCCGTGAGTATTGGGGTACGCTGGTAAAACATCCATGGCGTGTGGTCTAAGTGACTTGTACGCAAGGCAAGAGGATCGGGGGAGGGCGCTGTAAGAGACTGCTGTATATAAAATCAAGATATGAGATAGGAGAAAGGGTGAAAGGGGTGAGGAAGGGCCGGAAAGCCTGCAAAGATGTAGGAAACAAAAAGGCGGGTGAGACGGGGGTACCGTTGCCATCATACGGTGGATCCTGGGGTATTTGGGGTACACTCGACTGAAACCACAATAGCTAATCGCCGGTGTGGAGTAGCATGATTATTCCCGCATTTTGCAGTTCTCGTTACCTAATTGCAATGGCCCTCAGCAATTCAACGGAAGATGCTGATGATATGTGGGTCTATAGTATAGGCCCCAGAACCCACCATCGTTCCACACCCCGCCATTCCCATTGGCTCATGAAACATTTTAAAAGGTGGTTCTCCATGTTTTCAGAGAAGTTGTCTAACTTGTTGCGGGGAGACACGTTTCGTCCCATACGGACTCCACTGTCGAAGCAGAATCGTAGTACGCAGTATGGCCTACTGTCTGTCTTATGTCTTCCAATATGTTTCTACAGTCAAGACAGATGGATGGTGTGACATTTTAAGGTTTCCAACAGGCCATTAAACCTCGCACTAATCAGAAATTGAGTACGGGAACGAGGCGAGGATTGGCTGAATGGGTTCTAGCTTCAAATAGACTTTTTAAGACGATTCTAGAAGGACTATCGGCCTATTAGGAGGTATGTTCTGCATCCATTCCATCCTCATTGGGTTACTAGCCAGAGGATCCCATGCCAAGTTCATATGGCTTGTTGGATGATCCTCCCCATTATAGTTTGTCAACATTAATTCTTATCTCTCCCGCTATAGACGACGGCCAACCCCTCACCGATGTAACCCCTTGCCCTAAGCCCTTATGAGTCTTTGCTCTGAACCACACATGCTGGGGGACATGACACGCAGCCGACCCAATCCGGCTTCTGAGCGCCATTGGAGAACCCAGCAGGTGTATGCTTCGCATCGCCCAGTGGTCCCTACTGAGCAAGTATGACAGGTGGGATGGACATCTTATTAACATGACTCCACCTAGAGCTGGAATGCTATTGGCAGCAGTTGTCAGTTCCTGGCCTGGTCTTGGCACTTGAAAATACGCTCAAGGACCAAACGCGGTACCGATCCTTCAGGTCGGACGGAACACGCGGCAAATTGTGGCGGTGGCGCCTGCTCCTCCGATCCGGACTGCTGTATTCTTTCAGGTGCAGAATCGTTCTCGGGCACAACTTGGCCCAAGATATGGTTATCTTCTTCTATATTCGTCTGTACAATACTGGTGACAATAAAGGCAAACTCCGGTTCAAATTTCGGAGCCCGTAAGTTCTTGTTGGCGAACCACTTTTGGCAATACTAGCTAGCTATGGATTTCTCGCAGTCGCCACGTCAACGTCAAAATTCAGACACAAAGTGGCTCTGACCTGTCATGTAAAAGCCCTAAGGCCATATTGATAAGAGATAAGTGGACAATGTGTAGCCAGTGGTAGCGAATGGGGCAATTTGAGAAAGAAAGAACCCAAGGAGTTGAGCGACTTGAAGGTACTTGCGGCCGAATTCGGCCAGCGAATTTAAACTATTTGGGGCGAAGTGAAGGCCAGTAGTGAGATATCAGTATCCAGGAGGTTGCCAACTGTTCTGTTGTCGAATTTGATAACTACAAGTCGTTGATACAGCGCACTGGCGTCCATGAATATGTCGGCCACATTGTTGGCGTCCATGCGCTCTGCGTTAACAGGGCCACTGTGCCATTCTGGAACATAGTATTAGGAGGCTTAGGACCTTTTTAATATCTTCTAATAGTACCCAAATACAGTCTAGTCTTATAAAAAGCTGAGCTTACTTAATTCTAAATGATAATACGTAAGTCGTAGATTGCTTTGGAACTTATGGATCTCCCTTATCATATTACCGTAATAATTTACGAAACACCTTTCCTTTTTTACTTCAGCTTATAGATAAGCTGCCGAGCCAAACACAGCATTGTATGGTTCGAATGTGGATTAAGCAAAGACAATTCAAGTTACGGTATCAGTGCAATAAGCTCGACGCATCTTAGTTTTGCATCATAAATAACCTATCTCCGATCCACATGAGTGAGCCACGCCTACCAGGATATTTAGTTCCGTATCTCCCGGTGTTTCTGCCAAGATGTAGAGCTACCATACTTGGTAGAACTGATAGTCCGCTTAGGGATCAGCCGCCGAGTCATCAAGAGGCTGAGCTAAACTCAAGTTCAAAGCACTAATACTAAATCTAATTGGCAAGTGGCAGTGATCCCGATGTAAGGTGTTGTATGGCGCCGACAGTGGAGTATACTATCTACTTTGACTTTGTACATATTTGTATGCTTCATAGTACAGCAGCAGAAGTTATTAGATCGAAACACCTCATATCTAAATCTAATCACTATCTTAACGGTGGGGCCAAGTGTTTCGAAAAGGAAAAGCAAAAGCAAGGGAAAAGTGGTTATATACATAGCTCTACTTTCTCTGTGGTCCCAATCACTAACTGAAAGTCCATATTAACACCTACATTGTACATCGAGTCTCCATCGATATCTCAAGGTCGTACCAAAAGAGACCAGAAAAGTGCTTGCTATACATCCCAATATTCTCAATGGCCATTATCACAGAAACAGCCTCATGGCATTGCCCAATACGAAAGTAACAGACACCAGTCCTAGTAGAGGCCGACCGAAACGAGGCGATGGACTGGACTTCGCCCGTGCTCCAATAGAACATCATGCCTAGCGTAATAGTTTATACCAGCTTTTCTACCACCTTCTGGAGCGCCGCCATCGCACAGGCTTCGTCGAGATCTCCGCTGGGAGCACCACCGACACCGACAGCGCCAATTGTCTCGTTTCCGACTCTGATTGGCACGCCACCAGCGAGAACGAGGAAATCATTCACCGCCACAAGTTGGGCAGCGCCAGGATTTTGGATGTTCTTGACCATAGTACTTGTCGCTGTGCGCGACGATGCGGCCGTATAGGCCTTTCGACGCGACGCCTCCGGTGTGTGAATAGCTGCATTGTCAGCCCGCAGCAGGGCGCGTAGGACACCCGCACGGTCTACTACAGCTGCTGATACACTGTATTGCTTGTTGGCACAGTCCTGTACTGCATCCTGGGCGATTTCGAGGGCTAGGCTGAGTGGAATATTGTGTTCTTGAAGGGTGTTCGCAGATGTAGCGGTTGAGAAGGCTGCCGCTATGCAGCCAGCCATGATCCAGAGCTTGGTCATCATTGTTTCTTTTCGTCTCGGAGTTGCTCGTAGTAGTATGCTGATTGGTGAACGAAGGGTAATGATAGGTTTGAAATATCTTTCGTATGAATGTGTTATGCAGGATTGTGACGCAGTGGGCATAGATGAGAAGGTGTATGGTTATTCGCCATACTTAAGTATGATTCCAAGCAGAGGCAACCCACGCCATCGGGGAACTGCCAAGTCGCCGCCCAGATACCAAAGCCGGGACTTTGCGACGCTGTGATGCTAAAGACTACAAATTGCTAAATCTTGTACAGAGAACTGATCCATGGAATTCAATGCTGCGCCTCCACGAGAGCGGAGGGATCAGGGTCCAGGAGGCGATGATCTCCCGCAGGCCACGCTGCCAAGCCAAACGTATAAATTGGCTACCACAATTGTCTGTCCTGTGATTGAGCTAAATCGCAATTACGGTTCGCTTAATTCTGAATGTTGACTGCAATTGCTATTTAGGGTAAGGGTGCCAAGTGTGGGGAAGCGGAAATGGCGGAGTGGCTGAGAGACTGTCAAGTCAAGTAAGCGGCAGGAACAGAAGAATCCAATTGCGCTTTAGGCAGCATAATTCTGAGGTGATTTTGGGGCTTCCAGACCATTATATGTCACCAGCCGGCAGCTACCGAGCGGCGCATACCGCCGAACGCCGTGATTTCATGTAATCCGTTCCAGTGTAGTGCTTAGAAGTCTGCTGCCATGTGGATTTTGCGATTCATTGAAACACAAGTACTCGTCAGACAGGTTTTCCCTTGGCCTATCTGGCGACTTTTTCAACAGAAGAAAGACGGACTTCAGTTCTCAAGTCTGTCGGCTATGAACAAGGGAACCGTGGCAGCTAGAGCGCTTTCTAACTGACAGGATATTACAATTTGCTTGAAGCTCCCAAGCCTGGTTGTATTCCAGCGCCACGATGGGAGATCCACCTTTCCTTTGGTGGCTTAGGCGGTCTTCAGTTCGAACTATTGTGGACATAAGAGAGGACGGTATGATTCGTCAACGTGGGGAGGCCCATCGCTTCCATGTATGAACGTTACAAAGAATGACTGCTTTAGCATAGTTTACCATCATGGTAACTCAGTTTAACAACGGATCCGTGGCAGGCCTAACCCCAAGCATGCTCATAGGTCCTACTAATACTCAACGCTAGGTATTAGCATAAAGTGCCGGTATTATATCCTGAGGCAATCACATTCACACCACTCTACCAGTCGAATTATATTTTCTATGTACTTATGCTATAAAGTCTAAACGTTGATGGCTAAGGTACGTTACTCGGGCAGCCGAGCGACCATGTTCTTTATATAGGAGTAATCGACTGCTAAGCCCTATAGTTATGAACTAGGTCTTGATAAAGTCGGGACAGAAATCAAATGACTATTAAGGGGTTGTCCAGAAGTGGTTCTTGAGTCCCTACCTACGTATACACGTAAAGCACAGTGTTGAGGGGAAATCTGCGTAATGTCTATGCGTTCCTCCAGGAATATGCCAGGATAACATATCAACTCTACTGCCCCTCGCAGGCTCAGCTTTACATATTTTATAGCTTTCTATCGATTAAATATGAATGGCAGCTCGTGTTGAATGCCTGCATGGAACGCCTTCGGTGTTATTATAGTAGAGTGATAGACGGATTTATTCGACCGGATATTTAGGCTCCAAGTTGATTGATTGTTTCAGATCACACTCGCCTATTAGTATCAGGTTGCCATATGCTCGGCTCCTTCCCTTCACATAGTAAATAAAGCTGTTCAATGACACCGATCACACCAGGATATGCCGCACGAACCACCCGCATATCCATGGCTGGCGCGTCGGCAGGACCAAAGCCACGAGCGCCCACTCTTCCCCCGGTCGAACGACTCCAAACATTGTTTATTTGCGCCCAAAACACACGGAATTTCGTATTATCCTCTTGTTCTTTCAGAAGCTTGATTATATATTGTTGTGTGGCAAAAGGGGCTGAAGAGGGTGGGGAATCACTTGCATCATTGTATTACAGTGAAGGGTCAAGTGACGTTTATAGCTCTATGGATCAGTAGTGAAGAACGCCTTGCCATCAAGTTTCGAGTAAATGGAGGTAAATCTTTCTTTATCGGGGCCTCGTTCTCGGGAGAGGTTGAGGAGGTAGATGTGTCCGGATTAGTGTTGGTTCCAAGTTCCATCAACTTCAGGATGGCACCTAGGAGGGTAAGGCAATTCGCTCCATCAACAGCTGTGCCCAAGGACGCCTGCTTTGCGCAAGCCACAGTTGTGTAGACGGCCGCAAGGAAAAGCGAGGAGCTGAGAGCCACGTTCTTGGTTGAAATTGCCGCCAGATGTGAGAAGAAGTATGTTAAAGAAACAGAGGCGGGTAGCGTGTGTGATGCGCAACCATCGGTTCATGGCGGTGTTATATATCGCATGGTGTATAGGAAGCTTTGGGGAGACCTTCATTTCTAGTGTGGACGCGTTGGTGGCACCCAGCTAATGGTAAGATATATATTTCAGAAGCCACAGCTATGGATCTTCATTTGAAATTGGCATCAGTTGGAGATTTCCAAGGGAATTTAGCACCACTGAAGTCCCAAGGAATTTCATATGTAGTTCCAGAGACTTATTCTCTGATTCCTTGCTTCTTTGTCTCTCTCTCACTGTCTTTCTTTTTCTTTTGTCGGTCGTTATTGAGGACAAAAAACTATGACTCTTTCCATGTAATTGAAAGCAAGTAAGAAACCAGTACATATGACCATAGGGTGTGGAGAACAGGGCTTCCCGTCCGCTCAGCCGTACTTAAGCCAACTGTGTAAGCTCGGCCAAAGGACAGTGGCGCCCTCTGGGGCTCGCTGCTTTACGGGTGAGCGACGCTAAGTTGTAGGGTGATTGCGGGTGAGCTGGGTGAGCTAGATGATTTAGTGCAGGCTCAATCGCACATTGAGCTATCCTAGTGTCTCCATTATATGAAATAAATAAGGAGGGTATCTTTTACGCTTCATCAAAGATTTTATTCTCTCTTCCAATCTTTTCCTGACTTTGCCCTGGTGTTATCATTTACATTTGCCGATACAATGTGACAGCATGTCAGATATATCTGAAGAAGAGCAACGACGACGAAAGGTAGAGGAGCTTTGCAAGCTCGGCGAGTTACGCGGCTTCACTGAAGAGTACTAACAAGACCAGGGAAATAAAGAAAACGGGGTTTGCCATAAGCAACGGGCTCCAGCTACTGATCAAAGATACGATCTGGCCGTCGAAAGGTGGAAGATGTAAATATATTTAACCTCTGTTCCTTGCATGGATGACTAATCATCACAGGTGGATGTTGTCCCCAAATGAACCCGAAGACAGATACTTTACAAAGGAGGAACCTGACCCTCCTAACCAGATTTTAAAGCTTTTCTCGGAGAGTTATATTGCTCAACGCAAAGGAAACCTCCCATCGCAGCATTCAGTGCGCCATAATCTTTTCTGCTTTGTTGGCGAATGGGAGAAAAACACCTGTCGAAAATTGCCGAATAATGTCAAGGACGATGTCTATAATGTCTGTGCTCCCCTACATCCTTCAAATGGCTCCGAACTGATTGAATTGGATATTCAAAGTATATTCGGACTGAACTGACACAAAAATATGGATTGGAGACAAAACACCGAGAGAAATTCGTGGTGACTGCTAGGGATCTTGATCTACTTCTTAGACATCTCTTTGAAGAAGATGGTCATGATTATGTCCACGAGCGCTATAGATTCCAGGAAGCATTTGCTCTCTCATTATTTTCTAACTCTGGTGCTAGAGCTGGCGCTATTGTTGAGTCTAGTGCTTACCGGGGTAGTAATGAAAGCCTCTACTATAAGGTATGTCGGCGGAATAGAGTGGCTTTAGCTAATCTATATACTTACCTCTACTTGAAGCATCCAAGTTTTAATCTCCAATGGGGGTCAGACAAAAGGATCAAATACTGGGTCACAATAGATCCCGAGTTCCTTAAATGGCATCGCTACGATGAGAAGCTGGTGTAAGTGCTCCCAGTACTTTCAGTGTGATCTACAATTAATAAAAACATAAATAGTCCAAAAACTTGGATTCGTGAGCAGGAAGTCCTTAGAAGGAACTTTGCCTTCTATGTTATCGTTGCAGGTATTGTGGATAAGGCTTTCAAGGGAATACGGACCATTGATGAGTTACTGGCAAGGACTCCTCCGAAAGGACGAGAATCATGGACCCTTCAGTGGGAGGACAAGGCCCAAAACCTGCTAGTGCTTCGTATGGTGACAAGTAGAGGGGTTGACCCTACACGCTCATTGACCTTTTCGTCGATACGTCATGGGTTCATGTCCTTAGCACAACGCGCCTGTTTTCAAGACCCTTTAGGGATCCACGGAATAAGAGGCAGTGTTGCAAATGCGGTTGACTGTATGGCCTTTTACAGCATATATTTGGTATATGAGCTAAATATGTTACAGTGAAGGCATCTGAAGCCACCCGGAGCCAAGCGTTGGATCACCAGAACCCCGATACATATCTAAAATACCAGTCAAAATATAAGCGTGTCGACATACAAGCTAGCTTTTGGAATTTGGAGCCCGACTATGAATGCCTCCACACTGAAGAAAGCATGAGCCACCACCGTGATCCTAACGTTCCTCAAAGGCTTGATGCCGCCGCTACCGCTGAAGTCGAGAATGACGAAGAAATGATCGAGTTATACCGCCGAGTTCATGAACTGACGAATACAATAGGTAAAAGGCCACATGAACATGATGACTTGGTGAATGAAAGTGCAAAACTTTACAACAAAGCTGCAAAGAAACGCCGCAATAAAAAGAAAGAATTTATTGCCAATTGGTGGAACACCAGCTACGATGAGTATATTGCCGGAAATGAATTCACAGAGCGGGACCAGACATGCATTTTTATTATCAGCTGGGTATAGGTTCAGCTATAGAACACTCCAGGACCGAATACCCTAAATGTAGAGCTAAATGTCTCGCACTCTATACACGCTTAGTCTCAATTCGTATCATGCTACCTGTCGACATATGAAAACATCGTCGTTAGATGATGCCCCTATTAGAATGTGGAAAGCAATCCGCCCAGGATATGTCGTTTATTTCGAGAAAAATAATACGCTCCTGCTCCAACAATGCTGAATTCTATTGCTTCAATATTTGATAGTCTCCAAGTCACTGAAGCGAAAGAAAAAGTCCCTGAATACTTG